GACAGCGCGAAAGGAAAAGTTGTTTATTTGAATGAAATGGGATGAAGCAGGTGAGCCAGCGGTTAGACACTTCGTAACCTTTTAACGATGGTGGCGGCAGCTGACGGCAACAAAACAAACAACGCTCGCGTTTGTCCGCTCCGTCGAAAGATGGCACCCCGGTTCTTTGTTACCACAGTGTGCCTAGATCTGAGAGGGTCTCCCAAAGCTCGATTGAGGCGACGCGGGTTATGGGCCGCGTTTGCGTTAATGTTGCAACATTATTAGTGTTATTTATTTAACTATGCACAGTTAGGTCGTCACAGATGGCCGCAGGCCCATACCCGTAGGTTTATGATGCCTTGCAAATTACCATACTCTATTTTACCTTATGATGTACCGTAGGAAAGGATACAAGCGCGAGTTCCTTGCTCCAGGACACATCTCGGCGGCACCAGCTCTCGTGCAAGAAGGGCAGCTGCCAACGCTATGAGTTCGCGCTTCTAGCCTTCGCTGCGGTACAAGATAAGGTGAAACGAAGTATAACAGAACGGAGGAAGCGAAAGCGTAAATCATCTGCAAGTGTTCCCGGGCTTTACTCAGCTTTTTCGAGTGATATCCTTCTTGCTACGCTGCGACGCGCGCATGTGCGGCATAAGCAACCAATCTGCGCCGCAAGGCGCCCGCCATTAAATTGCGAACGCACTACGGGTTTAATAACGTTTTTGGTTTGAGTTGCTTCCCCTCTCAAATCTAGGCTCTCTCACCGACTGTCAATGGTAGTGGCGGCAGCTGACGGAGGCAAACGAAACGACGCTCGCATTTGTTCTCTCCGTCGATAGATGGCACAACCATCTCTTCAATTAGATCAGATTCAATGGGCCACCGTTCCAGATGAATACGCTTCAAGCGGCACGGCGGTTATTTCATTTTCTGCTAATAAAAAACGTTTGAATCAAAATCAAATCCGATTCAATGGCGCTGTGTGCGCGCCTGCCGAGTGCATGCTGGAACGAGCTACCGGAGCTACCGGTCTTGGCATTGGAATGTGAGCTCTTTATGGAGCATGCGCTCTAAACTGTGCCCTCAAATATGGCGTCCAGTGGAGACCCCCCAGGGTACCCCCTATTCACCACATGCTATTCACTGCCGCGTTTTTTGGTGGATCCATAACCAAACCAAATTTGACGCTCGTGTTTATACAGCGTAAGGTCGGCCTGCGTTTGAGGTGCGGCGTTTGCTAATTTACGCTGTAGATGAGCCAGTGCAGTACCACCAGTACCACTGCCAGTTTGGGGTCTTTAACGGGTACTCTGGCGTTTTCTTTATTTGCCTGAAAATTTGCTAAACACACGAACAAACACCGCTGAAATAAGAACCAAAATATTGGGCGAGAATTTTTTTTTCTTTTTTCGCGAGGTTATTGAGTTTACAATTTTTGTCCTCACCCAAAAAAAAACAAAAATTACGCCGCTGACGCCACTTTTTCATTGGGTGAGGACAAATGGCTATCCTTGCCAGGCAACGATAGCCATTTAGTACCCCCTATCCCTGGTTATGTCGGCTACATTTAGTCGGTTTAATCGGCTTGCTCTTACCTAGATTGAGCTCCCACTTCTGTACCACGTACAGAAGCTGCAGAAGTTAAACTGCAACATATGGTAGGGATGGCGGATATTGTGATAGTACAGAACAAGGGTCTTGTACGCCTGATGAAATCACTTGATTATCATCTCCACCGCATGCCTTTGTCCGTGAGGTGGAGTACCGTGGCACTTGTGCCGCTCGGTGATCGCGTCGAGCTTCACCGCTTTGCACCAGAGTGCTAGGTGTAGCGGCTGACCTGGGGGAGCATTTGGGTTAAGGCCGGTTCTCACATGCAGCGAAGCGCTGATGTAGCGCTCCTCACGTGCCATCAGCTACTCATCGTATGCCATGAGCAACAGTTTTGACGGTGCGATACAAAGCTGGTGAACACTGCCGTCAGCACGTGCTTAGCGCGAGGTTAGCGCTAGGCTTGTAGCGCTCCGCTGCATCTGTGAACGGGCCTTTAGCGCGATTGTTTCGGAAATTATGCTCAGTATCGTAGGCAGAAAGTTTTCTTTTTTCAGTTTTAAATTTATCGCCCGCCCCCCCCCCCCCCCCCCCCTTAGTCGGCGCCAATGCTTAGTATTATTAGAGCTCTGCCCTCTTTAGTCTTGACTATAGGTTGACCTCTAATCTTAAAAAGCTGTGCCAATAAAATATTTAAAAAATATATATTTATCCCGATTGGAGTGTTGCGCTGTGATTTGTTATCATTCTTTTTAATTAATACCCACTGTGAATCGAACCTGCTCTGACCAGAGACTTATTGTTAAAAAGAAAAATGTGTGCCCCTTTTGCGCCCTTTCTACTCGTATTACAAAAGGTAAAAAGTAATATGCTCCAGTATCAAAAGGGAACCCTCAGTCATGATCAAAGTTTAGCCACGCGTTCACCTTTTTATTTTCAAGTTAGTGTTGTGCTAACAGATGTTGTCGTCTGCTCTAAAAGCGTCAGTGGCCGCTCCAAACTAATATCTTGCCCGATACAAGACCTGCTCTAAAAAGGTCAAACTCCGTTACAGTCACTGATAGAGCCGAAGGGAAATTAAGCCACCTACCCTCAAATGCATACTTTTGAGAGAGGTGGACTCTAAATCAAATCGGACGATTTCGAATATTGAATCGTATTCCTTCCAGAATTATTTTTCCTTCGTTGAGTGGTGTTCTTTCATGGTAACCATAATACCTTGGGCTTTACATGCTTCCTAAATTAAAGATGCAACCAGAATCGGAAAGCCTGTTCAAAAGATATGAACTGTAATTTCCCAATCGAGCCCATGGCATTTAACACCTCCATGCCCAAAACGATCATAATGTATAACATTATGCTCGTTTTAAAAAGGTCACCCGCCGTCAGACTTGCTCGGGTGTGGCGGGAACCCTAAAGTCAGGTTTTATACATTGGCGACAAGTAGAATTTATGGTGAGAAAAAAAAAGCAATGTCAACAATTACACATAATAATAATGATAATAATAATTATAATAATCTTTATTAGCACAAAGAGCAAACTGTGTCCTAGGGGGCGTGCGAGGCGAAGCAGATAGGCGAAAGCCCGTACGCGAGAGCGTCTGCTGGCCCCAGGAAACAAACAGGAAGCTGTTAGTGAAGACTCTAGGGAAAGCCGGCGAGCCTCTTCTGCAGTCAGAGGACGGCTCTATCGTTCCTCAACTTCCAAAATTATTTTTGGTGCACCTTATAACTGAATAAAAATTTTATTTTAATAAACACGCCCAGCTTTCAAGTATGGTATCTTCCCCGTTTTCGCAAGAAAAAATTCACAACCACTGCATCATATGTTACGTTGATTATGCAACAAGCAATCAATATAGAACACAAGTATTTATACTCCAAGTAGAGCACCACTGGATATGGATTTTATGCGCAGAGCAAGTCGTCTGCTTCTTGTGCAAGAGTTGTAGTGACGTCAGAACGACGCCGACCTCTGATTGGCTTTGTTTAAAAGAACAGTGCGTCGACCGCAATGCTAGGTGCCTTGAGGTCTACCCACTTTTTTTTTTTTTTTTTTAATCAGCCAATAAGAGTTTGGCGTTCTGACATCATCGTAATCCCTGTACAAGAAGCAGACGACTTGCGCTCCGAAAGACCGGTGGCTTCGCTACGTTTTTCTTCCTTTACTTTTTCCTCAAGTAAGTTCCCTCTTTGCAAATTTTACAAAAAAAAAGAAAATGCACCATCTGCGGGTGTGGTCGATTTAAAGAGCCTGGCAACTAAAGGGATACCGAGCCGAAATTTCGAGCTCACAAAACAAGGCTGGATGGATAGACGGGACGTTGCAAAACCCAACAACATCACTAATACGGCGATATCTATCGCCGTATTTTTGGAAAAGAAGTGCGCGATTGAATTAACCCGACCAACGAGGCGACCGAAGAGACAAGGCACCGTCGTGATTCCCGTTCCCTCTCCTCCTCGCCACGCCCCGTGTCAAGCTGGTGAACAGGTGTTGGGTGAACCGAAGCGAGGCCGCGTCCCCTCATTCTCAAATTCTCCCGGAGGACAATGATGTCAAAGACCTCGCTTGATCGCGCTTTTCTTTTCCAAAAATACGGCCATCCACTTGAGATATCGATGTACGAGTGATGTTCTGGAGTTCGTAGTGTCCCGTTCAACGCTTCTGGGGCCTTATTTTGCAAAATCCAAATTTCAGTTCAGTATCCCTTTAACTGCAACAGCTGATTTATAGTCAAGTAAAACAATAAAAGGTACAATTCTCTAGTCTCATTCTACATTAACAAAACATTGCCTCAGGCAGTTTTCTTTAATGCAGAATTGCATTCTTACAGAAGCCCGACTATGCTTTTATAATGAGGCGTACCACCGCGGCCTCTAAGAATGTTGAAGGCGGTCACTTCCGAACGGATTTGACCGGCTAACAAACACCTGCACCGAGAGCTCCGCCAACCACGCAACGCAAATTAAAAAAAAAAAAAAAAATGATTTTTTGTTTATTAGAGGTAGGGCAGAGGACTTAAGACAGGCTGAGAAGTCTTTATGAAAGCTTCGAAAGCAGTAACAAGCAAAAAAGTGTGCAAAAGGGAAACGAATATACCCGTTTTCGCCTCAAGAACCCTGATAAAAAAAAAAATCAGGCTCTTCGCCAAGTAATTTGAATTTTCCCCTTTATGTGGAAAATTAAGATATATGTAGGTGCATTCTAGATATGTTGCCTTATCATGTACACGGTTCAAACGCCAAAAGCATAGCCTCTTCCCCTGACAACAAATGTTGTAAGAACTACTTGCACGGCACAAGAACAATGCGTAAAACTTTTTTTTTCTTGAGGCGACGAGCAAAGACACGGTGTCGCATGCCTGGACGGTTAAGACTGGAATTAGTGTCCACTGCATTACTCATAAAATGCATCTCTGCATGTGACGGTTTGATCCATATACTAAATTTAAATGCAACTGCAAACTTTTTCACGTTTTTATTTTTCTAAGAGAATATGCAAAATACAAAATGACGAAAACATTTAGTTTGACACAAACACTCATGGCCACAGATGCGACACATCCATGTTTCTCAGAAAGGGGTGAACACAAGGTGGAGTTTTACTAGTGGCCTCGGATGCCAACATGTTTCTCAGTTATTAGGTGACAGGCAATACGTCATGACTTTTCTGGTGCCTTCTTAATGTTCCCCTCTGTCTAAAGGTTCTTCCGCAGGTCTCGCACCTGTACCGCCGCTCTCCCACGTGGGTCCTCTCGTGATCCACCAAGCTCGACTTACGTGCAAACTCGCTCCCGCACACGTTGCACATGAACGGTCTTTCCCCCGTGTGGATCCTTTCATGATGCACCAAACTTATCCTTTGTGCAAACGCTAGCTGGCAAAACTGACATTCAAATGGCTTTTCACCCGTGTGAGTTCTTTCGTGGTTCAGCAAGGTCTTCTTGATTGCAAATGCTCTGCGGCAGAATTGGCAAATGAAGGGCTTTTCTCCTGTGTGCTTCCTTTCGTGGATAGTAACGTTCGCCGGAGAACGGCTGAAGTAAGCGCAGAAACGACACTGGTGCTTGTCCCAGTTTTCATCCATTTTCTGCAGATGCACGTCCGGCCCATTTTCGCAGGAAGAAAGGTTGCCCTTGACATCCATGCAATCAGTGCTTCCTTGTCCATTGTCAGGGCCTGCAGTGACAAAAAACATTTGTTGGAGGGAAGGGGGAGGGCACAAGAAAGAAGACAAGCTTTGAAAGTTAGTTTCAGAACTTGGATTGTGGTTGACAGCACCCAACAGGTAAAACAGCACTGAACAGGTAAATGCAGATCTCAACAGGCAAATACAGCACACAACAGGTAAAGGGAAGCAGTTATTGCATAATTCAAGATCCAAAGAGCTAGAGAGCAGGTCACAACAGAAAAAAGTGTTCTCTCAGGGCACTAACAAAAAAAAGGAACCGGAGGTGCAGTACAGCGGAGGCCTATCTGCAAATACATCAGCAAATAAATCAGTGGTTTGGATGCATAAAACCAATGAACCCCAAAGCCAAGAATACACAAATAAAAAGCCAGCTGTCACTGAATATCCAATTCAATACTGCTAAACAAGATAATGTTAAAAAATCAATATCCAAAACCTTAATCTATTATAAGCCACACGAGAAAAAAATACAAGGACAGTCAATAAAATACAAAACACTTACACAATATAAAACACCAAACACAATGAAAAAAAAAAGTAAAATGGTGGTGTGATTGCAGAACTGTTTCTGCTGCCTAGTAACAACAAAAGGTACAAGACAATGGCATTAGTACATTGGCTCTACTTCTCAGGATGGGACAGTTACAGATTAGGTAAGGTGGATCAACAAGTTGGGGTTCAACAAATATTGGAGATGAGGCCATGCCATATTTGATCCACTGCTGTCACATTCCCATACATAAGAACCCACTGCCATAGGTTGGCCTGGCACAATTTCCAAGGCAGCAAACAATACATCATTCACCCTAGTTTTGTGAAGACATTGCCCAGAGACTTTGACCTGCAAAGTTCAAAAGAGGGTGAATGGACAAGAATCATTTGCATATACAATGAGCACACGACAACTTGCAAATTACTGTAAACGACCTAACTTTCGTAAGGACCTAATTTCATTAATTTCACAAATCGCCTACGATTCGCAAAAAAACAGGTCCCGTGAATATGTTTACCTATGGTGAAAATACACAGCATACCGCCCCGATTCGTGAAATTTCGAGCCTGCGAAAGATTTCTAAATACAACTCACCCAATTTGCAAAATATTGAGCCCACAAAAATAAAGTTGTTTACAGTATGTTCAATATCCTGTGAAATACCGAGCACCTCTAAACTTTAGAGATAATCCCCTCAAAATAGAAAGAGGAGCCTTCATCATATATGGGCAAAACATTCAAAATGATGTCACAAAGAAACATGTATAGCAAAAGTAAAAGAAATGCATTCTAGTCTGCATTGTTTTAAAAGGCTTATTTACTAACACTTTTCAATCATGGTTCAAGCTGCAACGCGAGTCATTGGAATCATATCCAAAAACGAGCTCCAGGCATTGTCCTCGGCTCGTCAAAGTTTTCGGGGTCAACGGCGCCGATGTCGGCGAGTCGGTCCTGCAGCTTGCCATTCTATTTGGGCCCATCAAAGACGTTCGTCGCAATTCCCAAACAAAAATGCAGCAGCTCTTCAAAGTGACAGCTTTATTAGGAACTCTCCACGGACATTTCTTAGCCGCGTTGGTCTCATCGCATGTCACAATGTCATGTGACCTTATAGTGTCACGTGACATCAGTGTCATGATATCACGAAACGCCAGTGTCAAGCGACATCATCCTGTGACGCCAGTGTCCCGTGATGTCATGCAACATTCAGTGTCAAGTAACACTGTGACAATGATGTCACAAATTTCCCCTACATTTTGCAGAAAGTATCTGTAAAAATTCTGAAAGTGCTGCTCGTTAAAAACCCCATTTTGTGCTATCGCACCTCACTGCATTGAAAAAATTTCAAAGCCAGGAGATTCCTATTTTTGTGGGAGAATGTCCCGCGCCTTGGTTACGAACCCCAGGATGTACTGCCGTACTGGTCTTCGGGACGCTGTGGAGTGTGCACATGTTCCGCGTTTAGGCACCTTTATGTGGGTCTGAACCCGCAGTCTTCGTACATTGAAGCAGCCAAGGAGCCTGGAAGAGTTGGAATATCATTTACATATAATTTTTGGTGGCACATTTTCACAAAAATATGTAGTTAGACCATATCATTCAACATTTTCGTTCTATTTGCCGGCAATGTCATGGGATTTGTTTGGTGCAACCCAACTACTAAGACGTCTTTAGGGCAAAAAGCAAGGCAAAGTAAGAAAGAGCACTTCATGAACAATATTTCCCTTTGGCATTGTTTGCACAGCCTACAGCATATATAAACCTCATGCAAAATCGAAGCAATCCTAGGGGCATAGTGCAATGCAAAGCACCTTGATAAATCCCTTGGCCACAGTGTCAATTTTGACTTGCCAACCTCAGTTCATGACGTCCCGTCACGACCAGATACTGTGCTCACATTTTGGAATATGTGACTTTCCTTAAATTTATAATAGTGTAGGTGTTGCGCACCGATACAGATAAAATGGTGGAGCAAGTTTTTTTTGTTTTTTTTTGGGGGGGGGGGGGGGGGGGGGGGGGGGGGGGGGGGCTTCTTACGTGGTAGAGTTTGTAGTTTGTGCACATGTAAACAGGACTATGAATGCATGTGGAAGAAGTATACGGGACAGTCATGCTGGTCCATGTTGCCCTCAATGGGCTTCTTATATGATCTGTGATCTGGGAGGGTCATATTGCACTCTGGAGTGGCAGCCAAGCCGCCAGAAAGGTATGGGATGCAGCCAGTCATACTCCTACTTCTCGATAAGTCTAGGCAGGTCCTTACGACCGCAGCAGACCTGTTTCAACGGGGGCTCTCACAAAGAAGAATGGGCGCACTGCATGCCAGTGCCAACTTTATTTTCATGCAGTGCTGAGATGCATTGCATTGCCAATAGGGCAATCGAATTCGAAACCATGCCACTCCTTTCCATGGCCAAAGAGGTCCCATAAATGCATGCAGTGTTGCGCGCAGGGATTTTTGGAAGTAGTCGATTGGCATCCATTCCAGACAGGGATTCACACATTTATGCTTCTGTGTGACTGGGGCTATGTTCCAAATTTTACCCAAATGGATCCGAGGCACTCTGGCAGATCGTGTCACGTGACAACACAGATTAAAAAACGCTGGATACGGGTAGGTTTGCGAATGTGAAGGTACAAAACACTTTCCTTGGAGTAAGATCCAGTAAATCTTGGACCACAGCCTGAGTGTGTTACAACCGTTTGTGAAGGCCTATTATATCTTTACTGCAATTGAGGGGCTACGTGCAATAGTGGTACAAGTGCAAATACAGAGCTCGCCACAAAGTCGCTCAACAATTTGACCTGTGCCTGTCAATGTCAATATAGGTGACATTCACTTGACGTCACTCGCTAGGTTCGCTGGCATCGCCCACCACGGTCGCCATCTTCGAGGTCTCTTTCTATCGCGGGTGTCGTCTGGCCGAACCTTTTGAGCATGATTTATTAGCATTTTACAACTTTAAAGGGTCTTTTTGACCGAAACTAGGGGTTATTCTTAGACTTTGGTACTTTTAAAACGCCGTAGGAGTATTTTTTGTGTGTTTTAGTTAGTTTTCGTCGCTATCGGACTCGTTCACCGCGGCCGCGTGCTCCTTCGGCTCAATGAAGCGCTCCGCGTCACGCGCCGTGCCCACGGCGGTAGCTCTTGCAAGAACTGATTTTTCTACTTTGGTGCTTCTGTAGCACGGTGTGATTACTCTTTGGTTTGTTTTGCTAGTTTCTTTATTGTTTTTCTCTAGCGGATTTTCTGCACTACGGCCGTGTAACCGTGTTGCTCCATCGCCTCTCTGTCGTACATACGTAGTGCCTTTGGTGTTCGTTCCTGTGCAGAAACATACCGTGCGGCTCACAGAGTGCGCAGCTTATAAAAAATGCGGTGCATTTTTCATTAGCCCGAGCGATTTGAAAACCGCATGTAAGCGATTTGGCAAGCGGCGAGACGAGCAACGGCGACCGGCTTCGCTGCCGCTTTGCTGCCGCTCGGTCACTCGCACGACAAGGCAAACCGCATGAAAGCGACGGGAGCACATGACCAAGGCGATGAGCGCTAAGTTTTCTAGAAATCCCAAAACCGAGCTACACGACGAGCGACAGTGAAGGGTGAACCGCATGTAAAAGCGATTTAGCGAGCGACGGGAGTCGGCGACGAGTGACGGAGATTTCCCATGGTCGGTCGTCGCATCGCTCGGTTTTTGGATATCTAGAAAACGTTGCTAATCGCCTTGGTCGCTTGCTCCCGTCGTTTTCATGCGGTTTGCCTCGTCGCGCGAGTGACCGAGCAAAAGCGAAACGGGTCGTCGTCGCTGTCGCTCGTCACGTCCCATCGCTCGCTAAATTGCTTACATGCGGTTCAGCCTTTACACACGATACTTGGCAGCAACAAGGAAACTAAAATGGCCCGCCCCCGAGATAAACCTTTTTCTCTCTTTTGTTCAACGAAGCTTCTTCAACTATATCAAATTAGCACACACTACGAATGGTCGACCGCGTACCCGAGCCAGTCACACCGCGACCTCGAAGATGGCGGATCGACGGTGGCGCTCCCTGGAAAAATCGAACCTGCAGGCTCAGTGAATACCACCTATAGGGTGTTTTCACTGACGTAATTTTGTCCACCATTTTGTTGTTGCGATCTGTCTGGTATGTGCCAAACTCTAGCATTTCAAGGACATGCCCTCTCAAATGCGTAAAGCACCGCTGATATCATTTCAACCGGCTCCGATCTAATCCTTCAATGTAGTAAATTTGTTTGGAAAACCAAACTAACAACAAAATGGCGGATTGACTTCATGTGCAAACAACCTATAGCATTTGAACTTTGAATATATAAGTGTACAGTGTTCCTTACCACCGAAAGTAGAGTGCCACATGTATAAGTGTAACATCTGAGACCGTGAATATGAGGAATGGTACAAGTGTACTTGTACCATATATATTATTGCACGTAGCCCCTCAATTGTGATATAACCTGATGTGCTTCAGACTGGCCGCACCATGCGAGTATGTGGCACGGGTGAGCCTTTGGCGCGTGATATGGATACACAGGAAGAGAGACCGACGGGTCGTTCGTTCACTCACCTTGCGCTGACGTGGCTGGTGCCCACCGCGTAATGGTGCATTGCAGCATCAGCATCGCACTTGTGATAACTGGCAATCGGTGCAGCCTACTGCGCCCCAAATACCCCTAGGTTAACTGGTGTTCTGCAAATGAAATCAATGTAAACACACACCGGTAGGTTGTGGACGCGATAAGGGAAGAGGGACAAAAGGAAGGACACCGGCTCGATGTTAAACAAAGTGACAAATAAATGGCAAGGTGGTGACAACCCAGCCGATGCTCGGCCAAGATGCTCGCAAACATCAGACGCAGCTCTCCTGGCTCTCTGGGATAGCCGAAACCTGGCCGAACCGGAGTTATGTGAATCGCCAATGTCCCGCCTAACCTACTATCTCTCAACTTGCCAATAATTTGACTCTCTCTTTCTCGATTTTCAATAAGACGTATTTTCACTCACTGGGCGCGTTCAGTAGCGGCCCCGGAGTCAAGGAGTCACTGACTCCTTCCACTGGACGGCCAAAAGTCACTTCCGGTGCACGTAACTCCGGGGCTTCGGAGTCAAGCTCCGAAGCACCGAGTCCGGAGACGGTGCACGTAGAGTCAAAGGAGCTAAAATGACGTAATTTCCTGACTGGTGACGATTTCCGGCGCTAAAAGAGGAAAAAACAAACAATATGGCGGGATAAACTGCTTCGGTTCTGTCGCGGGTGCGCGGTTTGCTCGCTTTTGTCAGTATTCCAGGGACTCTACTTTTGTTAATGAAAAGTGCTCTAGGTAAGGCGAATAACGCGTTCGAATATCTTTTTCAGGTAAGGCTCTTTTGGCAAATGCATTGGACAGTATTTTGTTTGGTTTGAATATGCTAATAAACAGCGCAAACGTTCATTTGACGCCGTGTCTTGATCACCGTTGCACGGAAACTCGGTAATTGACGATAGTCCTGTCCGCGCTCAACAGAGCAAAACGGGGTATGAACGCGACTTTGGAAGCCGGTTGGACACTCACGCAGAGCATGATACCGATTAATGTTTTGTTTGCGTAGCTAAATCGGGGTGCACGTTGGCTGAGGCTCGCTTCAGCCGACAAAACCTTGATCGCCGAGCGCGGCCGAACTTCCCGTGTGTATACGAATACATTTTATAGGAAGTTCGTTACGAAGGGCAGAACAAACTTATGGCCGTATAAAAGTATCGCAACCGGCGGGGTAGATTCGCTGAGCTCTGTATTTTGCGTGTGCTGACGACGTTTTTTGTCGGCTTTTATAACAGTAGCTGCCTTTGCACCGCCAAGCGAAGGGCTCGATCGCGTTGCATCGCTTCGAACAGCAGCGCTGATGTGTACAATCACCCGCTTGTTCTTCAACGACCTTGTAAAGACTTCTTCAATACCGGGGTCAAATAAAAGCGATCGTGCTCGCCATCGTCTGCTTCCAGTTTATTCGGAGACCGTCTGGCGCAGGGGAGGAAGCGGAAGTTGCGTAGAAGCAGGTTTGGAGCCGCGGGTTTTTTTGCCGTTCAGTAGGCGCTCCGATGACTCCAACTCGAGGCACTCCCTTCGGAGGCAAGGGAGGCGCTACTGAACGCGCCCACTCGCTCGTCTACAGACTCGCTCACTCAACAAGGCTTGGCTCGGCCGCCCATTTGGCCGGCGGTGCGGCTTTCATTAAGCGCTCATTTTGTTTTTCTACGAGACTTACTCATTGTTCTTGCGCCAAACACAATTATGTAAGAAGGGAAATTAAGCATTCGCGTAGGTGCGGTAGATTTAGCATACAAGCAATTTTATTGAACGCTTACCTCGCTTACCTGGTTCTGACCTGGCTTATCCTCGACTTGCAGTTTAGAACTGCAACAATAAAATCGTAGAAAGCCGATCCAATCCACTAGGCTGGCGGGTGGGCGACACCGACAGATAGGTGCATCAGGTGCATGTTCTAGATTCAAATCGATCTCCGTCAGTTTCATATTGTGTTCCTCATTCACAGTAAAGCGTATATGGTTTGTGTGGACATTCAACGGTAACGTGCTATCCTCGAGTAAAATTTACCGGTCTCTGATCAGTGCTGCCTCGTCTTCTAAAAGCGCCGCAAGAACCCAACCTGGATGGCTAGTTTGAATGTGCCTACGCCACCGAAGGAGTACACCTTCATTCAAGCTGGATGCAAACAAACCTGTCGTATTTCGCTGCCTACGACACTGTTGTCACGGGATGACGCAAGCCGGCGGCGGCGTCTCACTGTGGTTGAGCAAACCACCGTTTGCCGTGCTCGAAAACGAGATCCTCGGTAAACTTCGCCGCGCTCGGCCATATAACAGGTCGCACAGCCGTTCCGACGAAGTGTGAGTTAAAGCCACTCGATATAATAATGTAATAATAATCATTATTTTATCTACACGTAAAAGGATTCAGGTAGTGGCGTGCGAGGCTGGACAGATAGGTGAAAACCCTTACGCAGAGCGCCTGCCAGCCCGCCACCACCAGTGCCAGTGGACGAGGTCAGTGTCTTGAGCGGCCCTTGGAAGCAAATGGCGGCGCAGCACTGAAATGAGGGTGTCTTTTGCGGTCCCACAACAGTGGTCGATGGTACTTGTAAAAAAGATGCCTTTATCAAGGAGTTTTACTTTGACTAGAATGAATGGCCAGTGTAGGACATAAAGCATGCCAGTCAGAAACTCGTTTATGGTATAATAGTGCCGCTGTGAAAATATGGTTCCAATTTCTGTGAAAGTGACGTGTGTTCCTACACCGTGTGTAGGAACATTTGTTTGTTCCTACACACGTGTGTTACCGGCCAAACCGATCACACACAGATAAAAAGTACACGATCACAGCACATTCACTACTCACAATCGACTTGACGATTGCAAACGCACAAAGGTGATCAGTGCAGCGAGGACAGTTTCGACGCAGTTCGATAGGCTTTGTCGGATGGTGGTGTTGGCTGCAGTTGGATGCAAAGAAAAAAAACAGTATAAAATGCTTTGTAGAGTGAGAAAGATGTGCAATATGAAACCGGGCTGTTGCGGGATTTAATGGAATACAAACCTAAATGCAATGAAAAAGGCAACAAATGAACCAATGTTACTTTTTAAATATGGGCCAGTTACTTCCAACATAATTATTAAATTTACGTAGAAATGCATAATAGACCCTTTCCGAAATTCAGTGCCATCTGGTGGTTTGTGAAGCAGTTTAGGTTTTGCCATATCAATGGCGGAAATTAACTTGTATCGGCACTGTCACTTTTGCAAGTCAACCGCATGCGAGGAATTCTTCAGTGTGAATTCTTTCTCTATCACTTTGTTTGATGGTGACCAAGAACTTGCATTCAGAACAAAGCTCCAAACTACTCAGATGCCTCGGGAAAATTCTATACACCAAATGCTTTAAAGCCGATTGTGTGCCGCCAGCAGATTGACTGAATCTGAGTTATTAGAAATAAACGCTTACGTAGCTAGTGTTTCATCCCTACGCTGCATCATACTGACTGCCCGAATGTATAGGCCTCGCATCATCTGCTTAGGAGCATCTTCAAAGTCTTCCTTTACGAGTCACTAGAAGGCCACCATTGGTATGACACCGATGCCTTTCCACAGATGATGACAGCGATCAAAGTGGCCAGACTGAATTTCGGAAAGGGTCTATTATATCAATGTTTGCTTTTCCATAATCAAAACCCTTTTTGGCAGCTCCATGGGAGGCACACGCAGGTTTACCAGAAAGTACCTGCGTGGCGGCACATGCCCACCCACGACTCTTTGAATGTTTAAAAACTAAGCAGAAGACACGTAAAGATTGAAGAATAAATATATAGGGCGGAGACAACAGAACCGCATCTTTCGTGTTCGTCCTGACATGTTTATTATTTCTTCAACCTTGAGCCACACCAACATGCCCTTCGTCCATTAAGACATACAAGGCACCCTCCCCAGACTCCCGAGACAAACTAGCCTTCCGAAATGCTCCACTTGGTCAGCTGCTTCTTTGAGCACCTCGGTGCAAAGTGGTGAAGCCCATCCCACCACGTAGCCCTTCTACATTCTTGCTCTTGAAACTATCGAGCATCTATTGCCCGGGTTTTCAAGGTTATCTCCAACTTTTGGGTAGGCACTTGCTAGATTGATCAACCATTGTAAGGGACAGCGTGAAACTTCAATATAGTTCTGTAGGCAGGTGGTCTCTACAGATACATGCACAACACTGTTAGTGCAAACAGAACATCGCCACTTTTTCGCATTTTATTTCGAAAGGGGAGTGACAAGCATCAAATTTCACCACTTAAGTTAGTGCCCCAAATGACTACTTTCTACCACACTATAGTCAGTGACAGGTTAAGAAAAGTTTTCTGGCTGGGGAGGAGTAAGCAGACAGAATGCTGAAGAGAGGAGCTGGTTTCGTCCTCTCCTCTCCAGCATTCCGTCAGCTTCCTCCTCCACTTACTTCCTTTCCCTGAAAAATGTTTCTTAACTTGTAACTGACTATAGTAGTAGTTTTGATGACAGCCCTTTAATTAAGAAGATTTCTGTTCGAGCTTTTATTTTTGAAAAAAAGGAATGTATTTTCACAGAAATGACAAAAACTTACAAGGGTTCAAAAACAAAACTAAAGAACACAGTTTACCAAATAAAGGAAATCTGCAGAATTATGCCCGTCTCTGGAGACAGAACAAAAACCCCGAAGTTCGGCCCCGTCATCCTATCACAGGTCAGTCTGTTGGACTCTTAATTGCAGCCATCGATGACCGTGTGGGTCAACCGTTGACGACTTGTGCACTGAGCAGTGAGGGACTTGGTGTCTCCACTAAGGACCAAAAACTGTTGTGGACAATTCTTGTTCTCAGGATGCATAACTGACGGATCGAGCCCAATTACGAGATAAAAGGGATGGCACATCACTCGCTTCTCCTATCGACCAAGAGCAGTCGTACGCTTCATGCTTCAAGTGTCACTATCGCCATGGTAGTACCACCAGAGAGCCGGTAGCAACGCCACAGCAGCAAAGACAATATTTTTTTTTTTTTTTTGGAAACTGAGTACTACATTTAACAGGAGCCAACAATTACAAATGCTAGGGGTCGTATATTCCCATTTACGACCTTTGCAGATTGCAGAGAATGTAACATCTAGATTGTACTAAACTGCTGAATCCTACCAATTTTGTGAGCATGCCTTCTAGCCCTGGAGTGCAAAGTGGCACCGTTTCCTGTTACAGGTTACGCTGCACTGCATAGGCTTGAATCCCGGGACCACTCCCACCCGTACGGTCTTCACACCTCCTCTTCTAGACTAGCACAGCCGTCTAATGCACCACTTCTCTTCCTCTGTCACCTCGTCTTTTCTCCAAATTGGTTCAGCTCATGTTCCCTCTTTTATTCATGTTCCCATCCTCTCCCCGACTCGTTTCAGCTTTTTGCGGCAAGCTCGCATTGTCACCGTGGCACCTTTCCCGATGGTCGTTTAAATAAGGTATTTTTGAGTACCCTTTACCACAGATCTCACATCGATACTGTCGGTCTCCCCTATGACTTCCTTCGTGGCGTATCAAATCCGTCGTGTCTCTAAACGTTTTCCCACATGTGCTGCACCTGGACTGCCTTTCTCCCGTGTGAATCCTTTCGTGGCGCACCAGGCTGGTCCTCAGTTTAAACGCCTTGTAGCAAGTCCGGCACCTGAATGGCTTGTCGCTTGTGTGCAGTTTTTCGTGGTTCTCCAGGGCAGCCTTCTGCGAGAACGACCTGCGGCAGTAGCGGCAGCTGAACGGCTTCCTTCCCGTGTGCTGCTTTTCATGACGAGTTACGTTCGGGGAGTAAGAACTAGAATAAGGGCAGAAGCGACACTGGTGCTTGTTTTTCCATTGTTGTTTCTCCAGCTGGTGGTCATCCGAGCCATCCTTGTCGGAAGAGTCCCCGCTCCAACGTGGCTCGCTCTTGATGGTGACGCAGCCGGAGCGCTCTCCAATGTTGGTGGTTCCTGGGGCAAACCCTGCTGGGGAAGTGCACCAAACTGGATTAAACCGGCTGCCAGTTCCTCGTTGAGAGCGAACTGCCAATCTTAACACTGCTAAAGTTTACCCAACAAATCAACAATGTGGAGTAATGGAAGGAAAACTTTCGGAGTTTACGTGCTAACCGACAAAGGGCATGTCCCAGTGAAAGATGCTAAGAGACCACGCGGGGATTTGTAGAAGTGCAACCGAAAACATTATAACATAGAACCTCCTCTGCACACTGCAGCGATTGTGGGTGGCCTTAAATTCGGGAACAGATCACGCACAGCTTGGCACATTTCATTCAATAAAAATTCTAGTGTGAATCAATAAAAAACCACCCACAAAAGGCACCCTGCTAACTGAAAAGCTAACACTAAATTATCCACTGGCCCCCAATGATGTAGCAACGTGTTTGTAAAATGTACCATAGGCAATTTCACGTATATGAAGCGAATATGTTTTATTAAACACATATATTTTATTTAGTCTTTTCTAAACTGACCATCTATAACGACTTGTCGACAACTTAAGACACCGAAATTTGTATTTATTTTCTAATGGTTTAATCGGTGAAATAAATGCCGTGGGTGTATTACCACGGCAGAACATGTATATCCTGCTCCATAATATATTCTAATCTATGTGACAGCAACATATAGGAAGGAAGCCTAGGTGAAATCATGCACTACTCATAAAAAGCATTACTTGAGAATGAGGGTGGAGTAAAGGATTAAGCCTTCTATGTAAGATCAAATGACACTGACAACACATCTGCATCACACTCGCTTCATTCACTTGAACACAGCATTAGTGCACTATAGTCCGTTGCAACTCAACAAGATAGGGCGGGGCTAAGACGGGCCGGGGAGGAGGAAGCAGATGGAGCGCTGGAGAATAAAGGGGAAACCTTCTTCTCTCTTTAGCGTTCCGTCTGCTTCCTCCTCCCCGGCCATCCTTACCCTTGTCCTTCCTTCTCGAGTTGCAACGGACAATAGTTGTACTCCGGAAAAGAGCCTGTTGTGGATAATCTACCATGCCAGTCTACATTTAATTCCTATGCTATCACATTGATGCGTACGAGGAGGCTGGCACAGGACTGGTCATGCCAAAAGGCCAGTAGTGGCTCTAATAAATATAGAGACAAGGCCATCATTCACTTCTTGTACCAGCATGGTTTAAAAGATGATGAACCAAATCAAGAGACTTGCACCTGCAAAGCAAGCAAATGATATTTTTTCAATGAAACAGAACATAACACAATACTACTCTCATTTAAGGCAACATGCACCAGGAAACAATTTTTTTAAAATTATTTACGATATCAATGTGAAATTTTTAGTTTATGTTGCTTAGTCTTTTCTTTATAAATCTGGTGGTACATTTGATATAGCTTGTTTTTTAGGTTCGCGATGCAATGTACATGCAGAAAAAAACATGTTCATGTGCACATGTGACGCATGGCAACAGACTTCATAAAAACCTAGTAAAATAATCTAATTCGCTCCTTTTAAACCACCGAGTGCAATGAACAACTAAAACAGTGTGAGACACTTCTTGAATTTTAAAATAATTAAAAATAACAAAAATTACATTTTAATGGGCTAACAAAAGTTTCTTAAATTTTTCATAAATATTAGAAATGTATGTTCTAACCAAACCTACATAGTTGCATTCTACATATTCTAGAGTATATGCATGCCATATTCGGTTGCAATAAGACAATATTAAGGACAAATTTTTGTGCACAAACTGTGAAGATACCCTAAAATTACATAGAAAGAGAAACATGTTTGAATGTTACCATAGACATGTAGCTATACTCTCGCGGTGTGGAAAATAATATTTTGGTAATACATTTTCATGAGAAATTCAAGCTACAGAAGACTGTAATTGAGAGGAGATCGCTAGACCTACTTGTTAACAAAATATGATGGTGCGCGACGTCGCAACTTGAAGAGTCGGGCAGAGAAAAATGGCTCATATTCATACCATTCTGGGTTGCCTGGAGGTCTTCAAATTCGTATTTGACTCACTTTGCAATCATAACCAACACTATACATCACATATAAAGGTTCAAAAATATTATAACACCATAAAAGCCCAAATCACATTTTTTGCAAAACAATGACATTTTTCGACCCACACCTCCCCTTAAGCCAATGAAGCTACTGGAAGCAACCAAGAATATGAATCAATACAAATGACGAGAACAATAATTCACTTATGCACCAGTCAGTATAAAGTTAATCCCAGAAGTGGCGGAGCCAGGAACGCATATGAACAGGAACATTGGTATCATCACTGAATATGTAGAACAAGCTGTAACTTAGTAATGTAAAATGCACTAACACATATTGTGATTGGAGATGATGCATAACACATGAGCAAATCCCACATTTAAAGGACGGGTCACAATGAACGCTCGTCCAAATAACAAGACATGATAGATTACAGTCAGAGACTGCACTAAAGAGAGCTCAATAGAGGAAGCAACAACACTACTGTATCACACTGGCTTTAACATAAAATGAAACATCACTTGATATGGCCAGGCAGGCTGGCTAGTTGGGATTGGTTAGAAAAATGGCCAATTGGATGCAACTGGCAGAGACCAAGCAGCACCCAATGCAATGATGCTACATCTGTGCGAGGGATCATGCAACAGGGATGGTTGCGCAAAGAGCCAAAGCTGTCGAACAGTTCTTTGACCGGTGGGAGGCCCCATCCTTCAAGCAGCAATGTGCAGATTCGTCACACTTTTGACATGCAAGTACCATCGAGACCAGTTATAACGAAATAGTGGTTACAGTGAAGCAATCACGATTTCCCGTTCCCGTTTTCACTTTTTCAATTACATTTCTCTGTGCTCCTGCGGATATAGCACAGATAAATGTAATAATTTAAAAATAATAAAATTCTAAATTCAGCTGTGTCGGACCGTTGCACTTGTGCTGTCGCGGCCGAGCAGCCACCAAGAACGGGCTGCAGACAATGCTGCAAAGGCTGCCGGCGGCAGCCACTGCATCGTCGTTCGCTCCCGGCTCCTTATGGTGGAAGTGGCTTTTTCGCATCGCACGTGGAGAAGCCGACATGAACCTGAAATCGCATTCCCGACAGTATAATGTGGGAATTTCTCAATGTGTTAAGGAGGGGAGGGGGAGGGTGTATGCTAAAATACGAGAGAAAAGAGGAATACAAATTATTAGGCTTATACTGTTAGCAAATAAGTTATAACTAGGGTTCCATGTTTTCAAAGCTTTCCCACAAAATCAAGTTTTTTTGTTTTGTTTTTTACACAGCTTGCGTCTTTAGGTATCACTCTTTGGTTTTGTACGAAAAATCGGGGTTTATCGGTGCTTCTATTGAAGAAAGTAGTGCAAGGACATGGAATTCCCCAACCTTCAAGGAACATACACATAGCCCGAATATTTGGAAAGCATCCCTGCACCGATAATAAAAGAAAAAAAAAACAATGTGTGTGGTTAAGAAAAAAAACATAGCAGCTTCAAAGGCAGTTTATTGGGGGCCCCATTCCTGGAGTAAACTGGAAATGAGGCTGTACATAAAAATTGATTGCCGTAAAGCTCGGGTTTTTCTCCTCCAAGGACAGCTCGAATTCTGAATTGTTTTGGTTTTTCCCGATTTTGATAAAACCTACTCGGGGGTTAATTTTTGGGGATTGGTGATATTTACCGAAAACATGGAGCCCTAGTCATTATGTGCAATGTGTGTCCTGCTGACAAATCTAGAACTGGAACAGCTTCCACAGACCTTTTGATGAACCAGTATGTTTGATTTGTGACAAACGATTGCTGGCAGAAAGACTTCCCTCCTCAGAAGCATTCGTGAGTGACGACATTGGATGTGTGACGCAAACACAGGAGCGGCTTCGGTGCTTGTCTTTCTATCACAGCTGCATCTTTCTATGCCGTTTAGACGGACAAAATTTTCAAGGCAGAAGCTCGCTCGTGTTGTCGTCCTTGCGGTCAATGCACTTCCATTTGCTGAAGCAGTTCTCCCCTGCTGGGGAGACATGTTAAATCCTATCAAGCGACTTGTTATTCATTACATACCAGTAATGGGCCCAAACACAAAGGGCAGGAGGAAAACAAACTTTAGACCAGTCACGCAGAACAAATCAGCAGTTCACCCACACAAGAGTGTGAGCCAGGCTGTTGAGACAGGAGAGCATGTAATCAACAGTGGGCGAGCGACAGCCATTTTGATTGCATGCTATCGCATTCGTTTGAATGAGGTCGCTGTGCAAAGAGTTGTAGCACTAGTGATGTTGACTTGGCTAGAGCCTGCAGGCTTCTTCAAGGTGGCCGTGTGTCATTCTCCGCAGTGCAGGCTGTGAGCCGCCAATCACTGCATTCTATACCAGAATGCAGTGATCGGCTGTATGTGTGCCCTGCGGGAAAATAGACACGCAGGATTTGTTCATTAACAGTCCGTAAATTCCCTGTGTAAATGCTGTAAAGTGGGAAGGAGAAACAAGGGGATGTCGCGTAAGCAGGGGCTTGTGACCAACCTTGACGGGCCCCATCTTGACCGCGAGTTCTCCTGCAAGGAAGACGGATGACACATTCACTTCCCAAAAAAGGAAAGCCTCGCTTTACCGACTGTCGAGGGGGGGGGGGCTGTGATCGCTGTGCAGCACACAGCCTCTGCAGCAGGCTACTTTTGCTTCTTCTACAAGAGGTTTCTGGTGATCCATGGCCCTGCAACCAATCCTTCACAGAAGAGTAATTGGTTGGTTACATAACGTTGGAATGGCACAAAATTAAGGGAGTGATCTGGCTTTAAACGAGCGAGTGAAGATAAGTCCGTCAATACTGCAAGACATGATCACTGAGTGACGATGATGATCACTGATCATGATGACCACCAAGTGATCATCATTTGAGGTTAATTAAAGGAGACCGGTGTCACCTCTTCTTGGCGCCACTGACGTCACCTAGCTCTACCAACACTAATATAAAATCCCATTTCACCCCCCCCCCATAATTTGGGATATGGCAGCTTCTCAGATAAATCTCAAGTGACAAAAAACGTTACCAGTGTGTATTTTTCTGACATCTTCAGTTTTACCCAAACACACGGAATGTAATCCGTAACCTAGCTAGTAAGAGAGGAATGCCGGACTGTGCAACCACTCGCAAGTAGGCTCTGCAATCAGTGTGTGCTCCAATTCGATTCAATGGGACCCACATTTTGAAGTCTCGATTAAAACATCTGTGTCACAGACCCGGAAAAAAGCTTTGGGGCTTCAGTTGTGCCCCTATCTCAGGCATTTAACTGTTCCTTTCATAATGTACACAAAAACTTTTTATCATTATATAGCTGTCTACTGAACACAAATGCACAATGGGGCCAAGTTATCATTCTCACAAAAAAACAAAAAGAATGTGTAGGTCCCCGTCATGTCAAGCCAGTGCTACCCAATTTAATCCGGAACGGCCCTTGAGAATTCAGCGCTCTGATGCATGTCACCTATTACGCGTAAAAAAATAAAAATTCCCTACCAACACAAAGGAACATGAACGACGAAGTAGGTGCACTTACCTCACCCCGGCTGACGTCACCGACAATCACCATCGAACGGGCAAACCGGAGACCTGCTTCACCGGAGTAGGAGGCAGCACAAATGAGCAAACCAAATTATTGTGAAATTAAGGCTAAGTCCTAGCTAAAACAACAGGGATGTTAGCCCTAACCAACACGCTCAACCTACGGCGATGCCACCCTGCTCATCACCCACCGAGACATCAGGAGGATGATCGGTCCTTGCCTGTTTAGGGTCAGAACGTTACCAGATACCTAGGGAGGCTCATGCAAACTTTTAGTAATAATATTACGAGTGCCGGCACTACAAACAGAGATAAACGGAGGTAGGAACCTGCTACGACTGCTATTGGAGGATTGGTAGTCGCAAGATGACAGAAGAGATGGGGACGGATTATTATCCACGATTTCCCCCGTGCCTGCTTGCTGACGCTGGTCAGCGTGCTCAAATTAATTTATTTGGCTACAGATACAAAGCGGCCAGAGCAGGAGCATATTCCACGGGTGACAAAGATGTTGACGTATGTTAAGAAGATGAACATGCTGATTTTTAGATGTTGCGGAGCGAAACAAAACAATTCTTATATTAAAGCACTCACATTTTTCGTTGAGACTGCACGATACACGAAGCTTGTATTCCGTCCCTGCTGTATTCGTCACACGAGGCTGCCTGGGGGAGCCTCTCGCTCCTACTCGGCTCTGAAAGAGTACCCTGCATAGAATGCAACTGCTTAAAATGGTTGGACGATTTTCAAAGAATGGCGTTCAAACACGAGAGAAAACACTGTCATGACAGCTGTCGATCAGCTCTAGTGCCGCTCGTGATTGATGAGTGAGGACTAGCCTGAAACGAGTGAAACTGATGCAAGCGGCGATGAATGATGGATAGTCAATTCAACCAGCTTCTGTTTCTTTTGAGTGGGATCGACAGTGAAGGCTTTGCTCAAATGAGCTCACATTTCTTCCGTGCACGAGGGCTAAAACACATTGCAGTACTAGGCACTCTGTTTTAGTGAATGATTTACTAGTGAATGATTCAGGATTAATTAAGAGCAATTCGTTGTTTGCATATTGCACAAAATAAATTGTTAACTGCAACAGTGTCACATTTAAGGTCTATTCACACGATGCATCTTGTTGGCGAATCTTGTGTCGCGAAACCGGGTTTGGGGAAACAGATGCCCCACGTGAATGCAACCGAAAAAGTGGCGCACCTCCGAAAAAGGTTGCGGGCGCTCCTCGCTTCTGGAGTGATATTATGCTAAAACCTCACCGAGGCCTGCCAATCACCTAAAGGGGAAACACGGACGCTGCCAGTGGTAGCTCGACATCGCCATGACGCCTGACCTTCAAGACGGAGAAAACTCTTGGAGAAGTCAGATTCTTGGCCGATGCCGTACCCGAGCTAAAGCCGAAAAGAGAAGACAAACATGGCGGTGAGCGACAAGCGGAGAAGCAGTGCGTACAAGCAATATGGGTTAGCAGTACGGGTGGGTGGCGCGGTGCAGATTTATCAACAGTCACGACTAGTGGAAGCACCGCATATAAACATGATGGCTAAGGATAACTTATCTTTCAGCGGTGCAAAAATGGCCGAAATACTTCGAGATTATCCCCATGTACTTTGACATTCACAGTCTTCCCTGGGTTTAGCAGGCATAGTAAACACAGTGAGCCAAATGTGACGAAGTTTATGGACGGGTATTAATAAAGCAGACTCTCTCCTCGCACTGTGCATACTTTATATCATTTTAATGTGAAACGCTTGACAGGTGCAGATGCCAAGGTTTGGCGAAATTCGAGTAAGTCAATACGTCACGGGGTTTGTGTGTCAGACTCAACGTGTGAACAGGCCGATTTCGCTAAACCATTACGCGTTGAAAAGATGCATTGCCTTCAGTACCGTACGGCTGGATAAAGATGTAGTCTTAGAACTGATATGCTGGCGTGAATGTTACACGACCTGTTAGGCGTGTCGTCGAATGTTTGAAGAGTAAAGCTATATGCACCCCGTAGTGCAGTTCAGTCGGAAATGGCTATACGCACTAAGCGAAACTCTTATTAAACAAATGCTTGAAACGAGTTTCTAAGTGGTGGCATAGCATAGTGGTAAGGTGTCGGCTTCGTACGCAAGTGGACGCGGGTTCGATCCGCAATGGGCCTACTTTTTCTAAATTTTTTTCAAACATTTTGTTTCGTCAAGGCGTTTGGCAATATTTACGACTTTTCTTTTTTCTCTACAATAAACACTAAAAAAAAAAAAAAAAAAAAAAAAAAAAACTAATGTTGTTGATGAAACTTCACAGAACTAAATGGTATGGGACTCCCTTTCCGGAGGTGCGATCGGGGACAGCGGGGCTTGGGTTGCCGGCTGGACGCCGCGAAGCGGCGTGTACTGGTTAAGTTTTGTAATTAGCAGTCGCATACTGTTGCCGCGAAGCGGCGCGAACACAGGTGGGGGGCTGTGTTAACGAGCTCCCCAGTGATACACGCGCCGTTTGAAAAGGGTGACCCAAATGGCATGAGCTCTTCGCGTAGTGCGTATAACCATTTCCGATCGAAGTGCACTACGTAGTGCGTATAGCTTTACTCATGTTTGAATGGCAGCCCGTTCATCTGAAAAAAAGATATGATCACATAAACTGGAATTGGATTACTGTGCAAATAATTTCTAAATCTCTATTCACAGAACCGCACATGTTCACGGCGGGGCAGCTGTCACCCATATTGAGCGTAGTGACCAGCGGACTACGACCAGTTTGCTTGTATCCAGCTTCGATGAGACCGCCCATTTTGCCGCGTTTGTAAACGCAGCCATTGGGTTCTTGCTGCGCGTTTAGAAAACGACGCAGCACTAATCAAAGGGAGCAGTAGGTTCTACCCGAGAAAAGCACGCGACCATTTGATGTCCACGCAAATTAAAGCTTACCTGATGTGATTGAAGAAACCCATAAATCAGGTTGTTGAACCGCTTGAACTATGTTACGATGTCAGTCCGGTCAGTCCTCAGCCTAGTGGATTGGATAGGATTCGTACGGATTAAAATGTTCTATTGTAACACCGCTATCCATTAAATGATGCGTAATTGTTCTCCTAGCATAGTTGTATTTTGCATGAAAATATTACACACCTCTCAAAAAATCAACGCAAAAAACAAAATAGCTCATAACCGAAGCCACTAATCCCTGAGAAGAAAAAAGAGCTGAAAGAGCGGTCGAGCCAAACCTATCCAATCCCAAAATGTCGGAGGATTAGTGAGGTGAGGGAGGTTGTTGCATTGCGATCTCCTTGTTGCATTGAGTTTGCGCATTTTTTAAGTGTTCACGTGTTTATTGTAAGCGTCGTCCGTTGTCATCACCTTGCTGTTATTATTTGTCCCTTCATGAACCATCGAGCTTGTTTCCTTCTTATTCAAGCGGTGATTTTTGTCCTACACATTTCTTTCCTCTTCATGACTTCCAAAACAAGGCTGGTGGGGGATGTTGATAGCAGTTGATGGCACCGGCGATAGATGCGTTTCCTCTTGTGGAACGCCGGCTAACCTTGATGTTTTCCGACGTGCATTAGGCTGTACCAAGTGCCAGTCATCAAAAGTGCTGTGCCCCTGTTGACAAGCACCGTTCTGCGGTGAACATCAGTCGCGTCAGCGCAGGGTGAGTGACCGACCTACCTGGCGGTGCCTCGACGCGCCAAAGGTTCATCCGTGTCGCATGCTGCCACGGTTTGGTGGGTGAGAAACACTTTGAACTAAACCTGCCAGGTCATTGCTGGTAGAGATGTTTCGCGAATTAAAATCCTCGGCTTTTTAAGGAGAAAGTGATCACAAGTCTGGGGGTTTGACACCTAACTTTGGACCTTTTTAAGGTTCCTGCACATGCGCGGGCCTTTCTCGCAGCGGCGGAAGCTCGAACTTCGGTTGGCGTTCGGAAGAAGGATTGCACTACCTCTCCCGCGACTCGGATCAGCCGCAGAGAAGGAAGGAAAGGTATCGCAGCTCCCGTTCCATATGCTAACCGCAGTTGGAGTTTTAGCCGCTTGGTGTCATCTTTATGTGAAAAAGGTCCGCTTGCCCCTTTGCTTCGTCAGAGTGTTCAGATGGGAGGACACCCATGTTGTGTAAGGGAGCAACAATGTTTCTACATAACTAAAAAAGTTAGTGTAGTCATTTCTTAACATGCACATGGTGTCGTGCACTTGCCCACATTGCAGAGCCAATAGACCCTTTGCAAAACGTATAGCGCCACGATGGCAGGGAATTTTGGGAACCCTCGGTACAGATCACGTGCTTTCTCGTTGCGCCTCCGCGACTGCTTGCGCGTCCCAGCAGCTACCGCCAGCAGCCGTTGCAGCCATTTGCCATTCCCCCCATCCACCGAGTTGTACGTTGTTGGTGGCGTACCGTATCTGTGGCAGCGTAAAGGCATCGCGACAGGTGAACTTATTTCAATACGTTATTCGTCGTGGCTTATCTTCACATATTGAAGTGTTACTGAATCCATTTACAGTAGCTTGCACCGAAACCGTGTCAGGTTTCGACCAGGTTCAACAAACTGTTGGTGCAGCAGACGACAGAGCCGGTACAAACGAGAGGGATGAGGAAGGGGCAGCTGCCTTTGGCTCGTCGCTCGCCCGACTCGGCTGCTCAAAAGTCGTTGCCGTGGTAACCTGCGCCTGCTCGCGTATGCTGCGTGGTCACGTGGTAGCGAAAGGAGGGGCATACCGAGGGCTCCCATTATTTGTCGTGCGGCACGCGAGGGGCTTTTGAGATTTTTGCAAAGGGTCTATTGGCTCACCTTTGGGTATTTCTTGTGGAACAATCTGAGCTAGTAATTGGCTCTAGTAGCATGTAGCATTTGTTAGAGTACATCATAAGGTAAAATGGGCCATAGCTATGTGGCATAGCTGAATTTGGTTGGGGCTGACAGATACGTCCTCAACCTTAGAGGTAGCGGAATTTCTAAGTCAGCGTCACTCTTTGCAAAAGAAATTTTCGGTCAAGATGTGGTGTGCCATCATGGTTCATCACTGTGAAGTAGAATGCGTCACCTTGGGTTTCCTCTCCACTTCACAACGCTGTCCTGGAATCAAGTCAGACATAAGAAATATTTTCATTAGACAAAGGGACGTGCTCTAAGATATATTTTTCAGCGTAAAATGTTGTAGTGGCTAATTTAGAAATTGAAATTTTACGAGAGTAAGGTGTAAAGTACAAGGATATTTACTACCTTTGCCTCCCAATGGCAGGTATCCGAGGCAAGATCATTGGTTTTGCCCAAGGCACTAAGTTAACCTCTCATTAACCACACAGAACTGGATCCAATTCGCACCGTTTGAGCAGGACACAGATCAGTGGAGTTAGGTGGGACATCTTTTTATGTTTATTGCCTGTTCTCTTGCCTGTTCACCTTCCTTTAAATGTTGCAGGTTCAGCTCTGGGCATTCTTATGCAGAAAATATGTAAAACGGCAAATCGCATCTTTGGAGAGGAGGCTTCACTCTAGAAACGTGTGCCAAAAAGGAGTGTTGTGGTGTTCGGTTGGTCGCGTTTTTAGGGACGAAAAAGCCAACTTGTCATTGTGAGTCTTGGTTTTCTATTATACTTTGGGCAGATAGATTGAGTTAGTACCATAAAAAGAGGATCTGAAAATCCACCTTAGTGTCTTTGTAACCCTTTCACAATCGGATGTTTTGCTCAAAGAGTTGAGCCACAGTGGTCGGGCTTTTTTTCCCCAAAAATTAGTTTAAAAAAAATTAGTGCACAGTTTTTTTTATTTTTTTTTATTTACTAGGAGCACATACAATGCTGTTCAGACTGAGGATTAGGGTGGCAATGCAAGCTAGTTGGTTCATGCTTAGTGGATTCGACACAGCGTGCAAGAAACAAAGACAAAGTAGAAGGGTGTACACAGGACAAGGGACTGAGGGGTATCGAATGGAAATATTAAAGGCGAGAAGTTACGCATTTCTCCAATTCAATTTTATTTTGGTGCGTCCCCTTCCGCAACATTCCAGCGGTCTCAGACTCCGAACTGGAGGTCTTTACAGGGCTTCTCCATTAGATGATGAGATCTGAACCCCCGAATTCGATTGTGAGCAACATTAAAAGTCAAAATCCGAAGAGCCGGCACTCCAATAGCCACTACCGCAATAGCAGCCGGCACACGAAAGTGACCATCTTGCACGTGTCGCGTGCGCAGAGCGGCTAGTAATTTCGAAACTATAAATAATGCCAGCAAAGCAAAGTAGGGTGCGATAATGAATACTTTCATAATTCAACCGAGACAAAACAGATAGCAGAGACGTAACAGTTGGCAGCTAAACACGAAACCGCTCGCACCCGGTAAGGTACTCCCAGGCTGCGCGTGGTTTAGTGTTTAGGCGGGTACTTTGAAGTGTATGCCAACAACCGTCAAGGGGTTAAAGGTGAATCCCATTGGTTCTGCCGATCTGCCGCTTGGTCGTAAATTGACTTCCATCCCAAAATATTAAATCAAAATTATTCTTTTGTTTTTGAATTTGGTGGTTACAGTGTCTGCATAAATGATGACAGGCCGTTTTCTTTTGACAGCACTGGAGAAATGCCTGTTTGTCTCTAGATGTAGACACTGCAAGCAAATGGATAACCCAGGAAGCAATACTCTGTCTGCATAACTTCATGAGCGTCTAAGGTGCACATACACCCACATACCTTGCTCTACGTAAGGACAGCGTTGTAAAAGCATCAAAGTTAGCCAAGGCCATGAAACTGCTTCACACCTCTAGATTATAACAAAGACACGAACCAACAACTGGAGCCAACAGGTGAGCCACAACCACATAGTTGACTGCTGCGATGAGGCCTGCTGAAGCCGTGAAGACTCCTTCATAACATGTCGCGACCCCTCCTTCGCACTGTCAGAGCCAAGGAGGAGGATTTTCAGCGTTATATACGTGACCGGTGTTTGGCAGCAGCTACCAGACACTATGGGTATTCTCACTTCCAGTTCGTAGCTAGCAGCTGGTGCAGCCCCATGGCGGCTATGGAAGCGTGTGCAGATGTTAAACCCAATCGATTCGAGCCACCTCCCTCTGCTGCTGGGTGAGTTACGAATTTCAGAGCATCTAAAGTTACTTCTACAGATACGTTAAGTAGGAGTTGGTACGCAGAAGCATCGAGAATGGCCATGAAAACGCGGAGCGAGTGCAGCCGACGTCGTGCTACACTCGCGCCGCCGCGCTTTCTGGATCGTCGCATGAAGGCTCAGGCTCGGTCAGCTTTTTTACTTATTTTATGACCAAACCCAATGAAACTACACAAGCTTGTTCAGCTTTCTGTGCTGATTTCATATATCTGGTCATTTTCTCAGTCAGTAGAATGGTTCTCAAAATAAATAAAAATTGCCTGCCTTTGTTTGGAAAAACGAGAGAAAAAAAACTGCTCAACAAAATATTCTTTTTAACACATGGCTAGATACTGCGAAGTATGGAGAATACAATGTTGGAAGCACTTTTAAGAAAAACTCATTATTAGTGATTTTACCACACATTAAAGTTCGCTGCTCAATGCATGGCTAACAAGTAATAAAGAAAAAGATCAAATATAAATTTTTCTAGACTTATATCAAAAATTCTGCTCTCAACATTGTATGCTTCACACGTTCAGCTTCACATTTCAGGAACGGTTATATTTCTATCTGCTCTAGATGCTGAGATATCCTTCCTGCGAATTCTCAACAAGTCCAAAAATTGTGTTTTGTGAAAACAATGTTTTAGAGTCAACTTTAATGCACATTCAACCCGCATCGATATTATAAAGTGATTTATAGCTCAAATATTCATCCAGGAAATTATAAGCCTGGTAGGTTCAGAAGAACGACAGCCGTAGCCATTTTCAAAAGAATGCAGTTTTAGGAAGTTTTTGGCTTCGAAGACCCAAGTCCCCCCTTAAGCCAGCACCACGCCAAGACGCCGCGAAGCTAGCCGGAACCGAAGAGTGCAGATAAATCAATAGGCACTTTTCCTTCTTTCAAATCACTCACAGAGAACCAGCCGTACGAGCTAGCAGCACCATTACGAAGCGAGTGTCGATTCAACTTGCCCAGATGTGTATGGAGACGTCGCATGACCCAGCCTTCCTTGACGACACCCCGCAAACCCTGATCAGACCCATGGCCCCTCAGGGACCTCGTGCCTCGCTAAACTCAAACTCACGAACCTCATGAACTCGTGCCCCTTGCTGGACTCATGCAGTCACTGATCTCATAAACTCGTACCCCTCACCGAACTCACAAACTCTCACCACTCGCCAAACTCATGAACTTACCAAACTAGTGAACTCACCGAATTCATGAACTCACCAAAGTCACACACACCCTTCACTCAATTTCAAACTCATGAGTCTTCGAGGCTTATGAATTCACTCACCCTCACCTCATGCCTGATTGGCGAGGGTGAGTGAGGTGAGTGAGTGCACTCATGAGTAAGTTTTTCTGAGGTATTCCTCTAATACATTACTTGCTCGTCTCAAAGTGCTTTGCCCTAATGTTGTTGCTTTCTCTTTTACAGCGTGCCCGGGGGGGTAAGGCATGCATCTATTTATCATCTGTGGCTGGACACTGGACATTACAACCTTATGCAAATATTTGTTCCTATAGCATTTTTGCCATTGTGCATTTGAGACATTAAGCCTGCAAGAGCAAACAGCAGTAATGTTGGGCTGTTCCCTCTTCAGAGCACCAGATATACTAGTAGAAAAAACAAGCTAAGCTCAAGCTAAAATTAGCAGTCCTGGCATACTTATCCCACACTTTCCCAACAGGATTTTTATTTGATTGCATAGCTTAGTTTAGAAATAAGTAAGCTAAGTGCTAAAGTCAAAGTCTGGTTGAAAAGGTTTTATTTCATTGCCAGTGGCATTGTGGCATTGTGATGTAAAATAGATAATCCAACCAACATAGTAGTTGGCTCAAGATGCAAACATTTCAGTGTGGACAGGTCATGACCTTAGTATTAGAGTACAGTAGATACATCTTTTAGTTTTTCCTGCTTCATGTACTTGCTGTGTACGCAACTGTTTCTTGTCCATTCACTCTCTTTCAAACTTTGCAGGTCACGTCTCAACGACAATATTGTGAATGGCACGTTGCTGCCCTGAAAACTGTGCCAGGCTGCAGTCAAGCCAGCCTTTGGCAGTGTATTCTTGTCTACGGGGATGCGTATGACAGCAGCAGATCAAATACGCCATGACCTCACCCCTGCCAATGGTGTACAACTGGCCTCCTATATTTGCTCAACCGTTGCTAGTTGGCCTACCTCATCTGATATGTTACCATCAGATTCTAAGAAGCAAAGCTTTCAACAACAGGTACAAAGCATGGCTTTGTACCTGTTGTTCTCACTAGACAATGCAGACTTTGCTGTATTAAAACCACATTTTTATGTGGTAGATTGTGCTTTGAGTTATGTACTGTTTTAACTTGATGTGTTTATTATTGTGTGATGTTTGATATTCAGTTGACTTTCTCTCGATAGGCTTATACCTTCATGTACAGGCTTACGATGGACAGATGTCTTTTTATATTAATTTTGGACATGTTCATTATACTGTAGAATACCGCACATCCGCCCATTTCACATTAAGCGCCCATTCCCAAATTTGTAAGATCTGAGAAAATATGCACAGTACATTTATATTTAAAATTGATGACCGGACAAGTGCCCATCCCCCATTTTTTTGCGATTATCTCCAAAGTTTGCCCGGTATTTTACGGTAGGTATATTGTGCCGAATATTCAACAACTGTGAACTTTTTTGTTTCGGTTTTCTAAGCTTTCATATTTATCTGTTTCATGAATGCAAACTACTGGTTTGTATGGTTATCTGTTTTCCGGTGTAATGCTGCAGCACTGCAGTCCAGTGTCCTTTTCTTTTGCTAGAGCTGTGGGTCTATCTGTGGCGTGAGTCTTGCTTTCCAGCATGCAGTTAAAATGTCATTTGCAGTTACAGTAGAAAATCATGTTTTCCTGTACATTTATTTTTGCTTGACGACCCTACACCACCACTACAACCTCGCTCTATAAGACGGTGTTTCGGCAGGCATGTTTGCCTCCACATATTTGCCATCCGGGCCTGCTCTCTCGCTAAGCTGCGGATGCAAATGTGGTTTGGAGTGGAAAAGATGTTGCAAGAAAGTTGTGCAAGTGTTGATACATGGCACCACTACACTAGATGAACTGATCTTCAGGACTTGTAAAGCTTATAAAAACTGCACAGACGTACAGTGACCCAAAATCCGGCCACATCCTAAAACAGCACACTGCTTGTGTGGCCAGCCCCTTAGTTGGGGAGCTGTTCTTTGAGGATAAATTTAGTTTTTCTCTAAAACCAAAGAACTTCCTTTAAGGTGAATGAATTGGTCACAACAGGGTTTTATGGAAGGAAGGTAAAATCCTATGTGTAGGCTTTTTTCAATTTCTGCAGTTTGACTCCTTATGAAGTGACTCCTGAACTGACCTTAGATGTGGGACAAATCCAAAATTTATTTTTGACCCCATTTTTATATAAGCATTACAGCATGCCAATGTATCTTGCTTACATTGAAACCATTCTTATCTCTGCTTTGCAATTTATGCTTGATCTTGCAGAAAGGAATTGCTCATTTGGTGTTATAGCAGAAATGCCTAGTATTGAGAAATTTATTCTAAAGTTGTTTCAAAATTCTTTTTTATGAAGCATTACTCGAATTCATATTCACGCAATGGATTTGAAAGTGTTCAAGATCATTGTCAAGTTCTATGTGTGCAAGTTTTGGCACTTGAAAGTTGCAATAACTGCTTCCTTTTTGCCGGCAGTGTCTGTTTGTGCCATCAGCCGATCGAAGTTCAGAAAAATAACTTGAATTTTGTTTGCTCCGTTATGCTAACAGACCTTGCCAAGGCACGCTCGGACGACGGAGGGGAAAACATGGACTGCGTAGAACGCAAGATTGGCCTCTTTTACCAAACGGAGGAGCCGGACACGCCACGACACAAGGCGGTTCGACGACACGACAAGCACCAGTGGCGCCTCTACCCTTACTCCAGCCGCGTCGCGAGGAACGTCGCCGAACACAAAAGGACACACGCGGGGGAAAGGCCCTTCAGCTGTCGTTTTTGCCACAGGGCATTTGCACAGAAGGTCAACTTACAGACCCATGAAAGAATCCACACAGGGGAGAGACCGTTCAAGTGCAGCACGTGCGGGAGCGTGTTCGCACGCAAGTCGAGCCTGAAGGACCACGAGAGAACTCACACGGGAGAACGGCCCTACGGGTGCGAGGTCTGCGGAAGGACTTTCGGACAAAGGGGAACGCTAATTTCGCATCGAAGGAGGCACGACCTCTGAGAGATAACCGTTATCTATGCCTCGTCTCCTACCGAGCCTGACCGCAGCCAACAATAGGTATCAATGGAGCCGACGGAGCGGCACGAAAAATGCATCGTTGCAGCGCTCGTTGTCCCGAGGCCTGTTCGGACACTTGTGATTTCTTGCGACAAGAGACCACACTGGCGCCATCTATGAGGGTACCCTGGAACTGCATTTCACCGGAGCAAAGGTTTTTTGGTATTTGCCAGATCAAATGTGTGTACTACCTATAAGAAATGGTTTATAATATTGTCAAAAACTTTCAAACCAAAAAAAAAAAGGAAGATTCACTCTGCATAACTGGTTCGGCCAGTGATGGCAGACTCGCAAAGACAACAAGCGCCATAACGGTACACTTTTACTGCTGCTTGATTGACTTCGTTGCACCGTTGCATGGACCGCGGCCAGACATATTTACATTCGGGGCTTATGATAGAGACCCACCGCGAGTTCAGTCATGCCGTCACAGGGACGTGGAGATGCTACACATCTGTGGCCAGCAGTGGTTGTGTTAAGTTATATATTTGTAGCGCCCTATATGTTGCATGTTCTACTTTTAAGGAAACGCCAAGGGCTCTGGTTTTATTTGAGCCAACCTAATCTTGCATGAAAAAAAAATTAATACATTAAAACAAACTGCCAGTGGAATTGATTGCTTAGCCAGTATGATTGCAAGTGTCATATGCATCATTGCTTTACTTCTAAGATATTAATTAGATGTTGCAATCAAGTGAATTGGTTATCTGCTTTAACAACTTCGATTTTTATGCATCCATCTGTAGTTGACGAATAAGGTGTAATGGGGTTTTGGTTTTTTCTGAAGAAGCAGGGGTATTGATCTGCATGAACCTAAATATTGGTTTTCACATTTTTCTGACTGTGAACACTGCTCCACATTGAGTTTTCGACCTTACAAAACATTTGTTTGTGCCATTCATGAGTTCTTGTTTCCATTTGTCGAGTCACTAGTTCTTATTGCCAGGGTGCTTTCGTGTGTATGTTCTAATCTTTTATCCAGACATATGAGATTGAATTATACTTTATTTCAGAGATATGTATGTCCTCATATGGGTAAAACAAAAGACTATTTATATCTTCTTTATTTTATGCAACATATTTTCCTTAAAGACTGAAAAATTGTGCAATTTTCTGGCCTGCCCAATTGTGATGTAAAACAAAAATAATTTGGGTCATTTGGGATTGAGAGTGGGCAGATTTCAGACTTGCTTTAGATATCCTCTTGATAGCAGTGCAGCTGAATACATAGTAACTGAGCATATTTGTGTATGTCTCATTGAATGACTGCCACTCGTGGACTTATCTGTTGGATCAGTGTTAACCACTGACTTGATCATGTGATGTGTGCAAGTGTTTCTGTTTCGTTTTTGATTATTGCTAGAATGGAGTTAAAATATGAATAAAAAGTACTTTGATAACATTTTACCTACCTTTCAACAGAGTCTGTCAAGAGTGGTTCTGCTGACAAAGTTGAGAGAATTAGCCAAATTACTAGCTCCTGCTGTTGAAGAGATTGTTTGTTTAGCAAGACATCAGACATGCCGCTTCTGTACTTGCTCCTGCTTTAACGAAACTCATAAACTGACAGAAGAGAGTTTACAGAGGAGAGAAACTGCCCAAGCTCATTTTTTGCGAGAAAGTGTACTTGATAAACAAAGTTTAACAGGGACAGAAAGCCCTTTGTACGTTGGATTGTCCAGAATCTGGTTGCAAATGGTTAATGAAAACTCCAGCTAAAGATGCTACATTTGCAAGCATGTGCATTTGGGTTGGATTAGGTTCTATGCGGACAGCAAGTTCATCTGCTTCTTGTACAGAGGTTGCAGCAATGTCGGAATGCTGAGCTCTGACTGGTTCTGATTGGAAGGATAGTGGGTAGACCACAAGGCAGCTAGCATTGAGGTTTACCCCCTATACTTGCAATCAGATCTCAGCATTCTGACGTCGCTGGAACCCCTGTACAAGAAGCAGGCTCGGCGCAAGTGTAACGCCAAGTTCCAGCAGACGATTTAAAGACGAACTTGCACTCTGCATAGCTTGCAAGTTCTATGGGTTGCACATCTCCTTTAGAGAGCAAGTGGAAACCCATGCATGCCATTGAGGTGGCCAACATGTTGTACATAAAATATGGTGAAGTATAGGCAAAAATAGCTGCAGTTATATTGTTTTCTCAGCAAATGAAACAATAAAAGGGTTTTATGAAATGCTCTAGAAATCATATATTGATGCTGCTGGAGATGTTAGGGCTTAAATGCCGTTGCTGGCAGCCATCATAGACAATTCTGGGAAGTCTGCCTCTGTGTTTGACCATTAGTAAATAAGTAATGTTTCTCAGATGTGGCCAACGCACTCTGGAACTGTTAGTGTACATTTGTTGGCTGCAAATAATGTAAAAACCGTCTGCAAATTTCACACTACAGAGTCCACGGGCTCTCATTGAAACTGCAAGAATGCTACTGTCAAAGAGATCTCAACACGTTTGCTCGAGTGATCTTCAAAAAGTTTGGTTCTTTTCCAGAATTTGTTTTGCACAGGTTTAGAACCGGATGTGGCATTGGTTTCGTACACACAGCTGAGACAAAAGAACAGTCGAGACACTGAAAATAGTGACTCCACCAGCTCATAAACCAGACAATTTTAGCAGACTTTTCGTATTTTTTTTTTTGTGATTTCAAAGGAGTTATTAATTATTTTCATTGATTACTTCAAAAAGGGGCCAGACTCAAATATAGCTATTGGAACCTCATATAGCAAATCTGGAAATCAGAAAAGGTGCCATTGAAGAAGAAAGTGCTCTCCTATCGCAACAATGTGTCGGGCCGGGCTGTGGTAGGATCACTGCAAAATATTGTGAGCATATATTCTGGTTTGACACCTAACATCTGCCATCAATAAAAAAAAAACAAAAAAAAAACAAGAAAGTGCTTTACCCAAGAGACCATCACTAAAAATAATCAACAATTTATTAATGCCACAGTCAAGCTACCCATGGCAAGATAATGAACATAGGATCCTATGCATAGGCTTCCAAAGATTTTTGCAGGTAGATCATTGAACCTCTAAAATGCCTTTAGGTGTCTGGTTGCTATACTTAATTATGAGACTTTTGTTGATATGAAGACTTTTTTTAAGTTGTGTATATATCATTGTAAACAATTGTGATTTTTTTTAATGGCTTGATGGGTTCAGTAAGGAATTGACTTTTTCTGTTTAAATGTAAAACCGTCACTGAAGTTCTAAACTAATGGGCCGTGTTGAGAGACTTGCCACATCTTCATTTGTCAGGGAGCATAAGATCTGTTTTATATTAAAATGTGACACTAATTAATCGGATCAGATATTGAGCTGAGCCTTCATAGAGCTTTACCAGGTCCTCTAAAAGTATATCTTGAAGTTTTTAGGAGAAACCATCCAGTCTTTAGATAAAATGACCCGCTTTCAACGGAACGCATCTTTGCAAAACGAAACTGAATCTCTCCTGATTTTTTTTGTTACGCCACCCAACAGATTTCGTCAAGGCAGAGCCGGTCAAGGAAGAGGAGAGCTTCGACCCCAGAGACGGCAAGGGCAACGTCCCTTCCTCGCAAGATACGCCAAATGCACGGCAGCACAAGCCAGACCAACTGCAGGAGGGGTACCGGTGTCGCTACTGCCCTTACTTTAGCAACCGCGCCCCAAACCTCAAAATGCATGAAAGAACGCACGTGGGAAAGCCCTTCTGCTGCCGCTATTGCCACAGGGCTTTTGCAGAGAGGTCCAGCTTGGAGAACCACGAAAGGATCCACATTGGCGAGAAGCCGCACAAGTGCCAGGTCTGCCAAAAGTCGTTTTGGGGAAAGAGCCACTTGGTCGAGCACCTGAGGATCCACACGGGGGAGCGACCGTACGAGTGCGGCGTGTGCGGGAGTGCATTTACGCAAAAGGCCACTCTGAGGAAGCACGAGAGGACTCACACGGGAGAGCGGCCACACACGTGCGAGACGTGCGGAAGATCATTCTCTGAAAAGTGCATTTTAAGTGTGCATCAGAAGAGGCACCACACGTGAGGGATGGTGTATGATGTACAGTATATGAGCCGTGCAAGGAGAATGTTTCCATAAAGGAAGCTTACTTTAAGGCCCAGCTTGGCTATAGCAGCGGGCCACTTGCGCAATTTGGATCCGTTTTCGTTTGCCTGCATCTTCCCGAGCTCGGGGGACGATTTGACTGAGTATGTCGCACTGCGCCAAGGAGAACCTGTGGTTTCGTCGACGGGCTCTTTTTATGGAGGAATTGGCATTCTGAACTGACAACAGGGTCGACAAGGTTTCGGTTGGCAACCCGGTCGCTCGGCAACTGTCTGTACTGCCAAGCTCCTTGCATAATGTAGACTGTAGTCGTCCACTCCTGGACATTTGTTGCGCACCTCAACGTCTTGTGGCAGCACTGACAAGGACAAGTCATCCGTTGGTTCTTATACACAGTGTGGCTTTGTTCACCATGGAAGAGTGTGCAAAGCACCTCGGGGATCCGCTTTGCCTCTAGTCTGCTTTATTTTTGGTCGTGGAGGACAGAAGTTGTGTTCAGCGTGTACAGTCCATTACTGTGCTTGATACGGCATTGATTTGTTACAGTACCTCATTTTCTTGTTGATTGCTGTAAACATTTTATAGTCCTATCATGAAAGTTGTTGCATTAAGGGGAAACTGAAAAGAAAAACAAGTGATCCTTTTTTTAACCATTTGGCTAGGACACGCGTGTCAAAAAATGAATTTTACGCGAAAAAATAATTTTTTAGAGCAATATTGACAGTACGAGACGCGATTTAGTCAATAGTCACCTCCTTTCCACTTGTTTTTTCTTTTGGCATTTCGGGGGCATGGAGGAGAGGTGGATCGGCTTCGCCTTCAAGTTGGGTTGGAGAAAGAGTATGACCATCTCGGTGAGGTGGAAAGTGTGTGTGACCACTTCGTAATATCATAAACTGTGTGCAGAATTTTTTTTTTTTTTTTCGTAGAATTTATTTTTTGGCTAGCATGTCCCAACCAGTGTTTAAAAATATTTTTTTCTTTTCGGTGGCCCTTTAAGGAACCCAGAATTGTTTTGTTGATAAAGCTTAGGACTATGTTGAGCACCTTGAGTAAATCAACTGCGGTCAATAGTAGTTACTAATTTACCATGGCTGCTTTAAACTGTGTATAAAACTAACTTTGCCTTAGCTGTGAAATAACTTTTGAATAAAATACATTTTTTTCTGGGTTTAATTTTTGTAATTTAGCAGAAATAAAAAAAAAATGCTTGTCACTAAGCATGTTGTCTTATCAGAAAAAAAAAGAATGCTGATTTCTGTGCGTCTTGAAAAATCAGTCTTTAGTGCAGATTGAACCTTCAAGAATGCACACCAATTTGACTTGCGTAATAAATGAGCTTATGGAAAGCCTGCTAATGTTTGCCCACTAACTCGGGCGGGAAAAGCAAACAAAATCCAGTTTGACACCAAGCTTTTTGAGCCTTCTCAAATTGTGGCCTTCGTTAGAGCTGCAAAAGGGCTATCTACACAGTGCGATACGACTGCTACCGCAGAGTGTTAATGTGCATGAAGCAATAATGATTAGACGACTGCACAGTGCAATTATTAAGAGGAAACTGCCGCAAGTGTGTGGTTGTGCTAAATGGTAATCTTTCTCATACAAAAATGTTCCAAAACAAAAATCTACATTGTCAACACCTTGCACGTCTGCCCTCTGGCAAAGCAGTTCTGCCGCTGCTTTGCCAGAGCATGAGCATCCTTGCAAAAGCGTTGTAAAATGTTGCAAAAACTTTGTACTCCTCTAAGTTTTCATACCTTCGAGTAAGTCTTGAGGTGTAATCTTTATAAATATGAGTGTCCAATAAGTCTTCACTGTTCAGTAAGTGACCTATTTGTGGCTTGTCCACTCTGGTGGGCACCATGAACAGCAGCATTACGGGGCCATGAGCTATGCACAAATTGTATTTGGTCAGCAGCGCTGTAAATATACTGGAATGGTCCAATTTTTTGTTGTATTGAATAATGCGCCACAATTATACATATCTAAAAAAAAAACAAAAAAAAAACAATATTTTTGTTATTTTTGTTTTAGAGACAAATGATCTGCTACCAAATCACCATTGAGAAAAGCAGACATCGATGCTTTATAGGATATTCCACTATCTAACTCAGAAATCGGTGTCCTACTTGAACACGGACTGCCGTCAGGAAGTGATGATGATCTTTTAGAGAGCAAGGATGATACATTGATTACGCCATAGAGGATGATCAAGGCAGGTGTGATGACTGCTGGGAAGATGCCAGTCAAAATGATGACAGTGATGAAGAGAATAGCGACATGACACCCCAGGCTCCACCACCAAGAAAAAGACTGAGTAAAAAAAAGCCAACAAAGTTATGGTTATGGAACAAAAAGGATTTTGTTCCCCCGTGCATGCTGTCCAGTGTAGTGGACGTTCTGTAATTAATAAACTACATTTCTGAAAGCTAAAAAAAAATCCTGGGTCTCAACTTTTTATGATTTGCATGGACGCTTTTGAAGTATGCAACAAAGGGTTAACCTATCGAACAAAACTGGTGGATATAGAAAAGTAATCATTTATACCTTGCATAAATTATTCAAGCACATTAATGGGCTCTTATGACCTGAGTTAAGATATAAGATTACCTTTTGCCCCATAGACTCCCAGCAAAATTTTGCAAATAAATGCCGTCCATATCCCGTGATCCCCCACTCCACTGATCTTTACGTCTATTTGCCAGATCACGTTTGACCAACTCCACCTATGGATGGAAATGCGGCCACGATCGGCCATCTTTTTGGTAGAGTTATATTATCTCTAGTCATCATAGTAATATGGCGGACAGCGCTATGGCGGCAGGCTGCCATAAAAATAGCCGTGGGTCTGGTACACGGTACCGTGGGTGATATTTCGTGCTTGATTGAAGTTGTTCGACGAAACAGGTTCTTTAAACCCGGCGTGAACGATAGCCCCATCTTTGAGGTCCCAGCGAAAGTTTACGAAAGCTCAGCACCGAGGGAAAGCGGCGCAGCTCCCATCGAAAGCAGACGCCGTACTGGCGTCTGCTTTCGATGCTTCTTTTGATGCGACTTTCGATGTGTGCTGTGCTGCTTTTTCCCGGTGCTGCGATTTCGTGAAACTTTTACCGGGTCCTTAAAGATCGGGCTACCGTTCACGCCGGGTTTCAACAATGTTTTGTTGGACAATTTCAATCAAGAACGAAATATCAACCACGGCTATTTTATGGCAGCCTGCCATCACAACTCCCGCAATGCTGTCTGCCATGGATGGATGATAGTGGCTGCACCAGCTGTACATTGGCTAGAGGCAATATAACTCTACCAAAACTATGGCCGCCAGTGGCCACATTCGCGGAGCGGGCAAACGCAAGGAGGTTATAATGGGCAGGAGGTGGTGTCCCTATGTTCAATGCATGGAGCGAGGTGTAAGGGAAGTAGGCGCAGCCACAAACTCTTCTAAACCAACGGGGAGCTCGTCAATGGACGCCGCCATTGATTTTTGGGGCAAACAACCCTCGTTGCCATGGCATTTACATGGCAACGCTGTTGTTTGCCCATAATTTCATGGCGGCGTCCACTGAATCGGTATCGAACAGGCGAGATTTGGAGCCCAACACTTGCCTGACCAGTAGGAAGTCGGTGAGTAGCGAACGCTCTCATCACCTTGCCGGGAGAGTCGTCTAAAGCTAGTCGTCGTAGCGCGGCGTAGGAAAGTGAGCGTGTCAGTCATTGTATCTATGAACGCTAAAAACGGCCTGGTGGGTTGAGAAAGCGGTACAAGCACTGCTTCCAGTGATGAGAATGCGAGTTTTTTGGTGCGTTGATCATGTCGAAAGGCAGCGGCAACAGTGAGCAGACAAAGGCGACCGTAGGTAGGTCGTACTAGAAAGGACGAGTGGGGCCACCAGAGTGCTACTTCTGCACCTTCACATCTGGAAAAAAAAAAACAGCTAATCCAAGCCACTTCGCTCGTAGCGCCCGAGAGGGTGCTACGAGTGAAGTGGCTTAGATTAGCCTTTTTTTTGAAAAACGCGTTTTGCTCCAATGCCAAGCTCGACCGGCACACTGGTCAAAGTTATAGAAACAACAGAACGCTGGGCTATATTTTTCATACAACCTAGATGTCGGGCTTCACATACATAAAGTCACCGCGACCTGACTTGTCGTTGCAACACCATGCAACGTCAGGATGACGCCTTGACGTCAACGTCATCATCGATGTTGACAATGTGCGTTTTACCGACCCTAGTTTATTGAATGCCTTTATAGAGAACACCGTTTTACCGACCCCAGTTTATCGAATGCCTTTATAGAGAACCCAGTTTACAGAAAATGGCAATGAGCTTCCTTTTAGCGAATTCGGCCACCGCGAAGCAGCGTGTACGGGTAAATCAGCTAAGTTAACATTTTTGTAATGAGCCGCCGCAGACTGCCACCTCAAAGCGGCGGGAGCGCAGCGGGGGGCATGGCTTAACACGCGCACCAGTGATACACGCGAGAAGTAGGGAAGCCTTTCTTAAAAAGGGAGGCACTCGATCAATGACGTTTTAGCGAACGCCCACGTTTCACCGAATGACACTTGGCGAATAGTCGGACACCGTGAAGCGGCGTTTTCGGGTGGGCCAAGTGGGTTCATATTTGTAATGAGCCGCTGCAGATTGTCGCTGGCAAAGCGGCGCAAGCGCAGCGCGGCAGATGGGTTAACGCGCACCCCCGTTATTCGCTAAAACGCCGATTCGCTCAAATGTCGCTGTTCGCTAAAACGTCATTCGCTCATGTGATATGGATCCTTTTCGATAAATGGCGTTTCTCTAAACCGAGGCTCTGCTTTCTCTAAACCGTGCTTCGATAAAACGTGCCCATTCTGTAAAACATGCGTCGATGAAATGGCATTCGATCCATTTGATCAACCGTAGTAAACCCGTGCCTTTTTTCTGCGGTGCTGCGCTGGCTGCGCTTTCGAAAAAGCTTCTAGAAGGCAACTACAACTGTTTACACAAGATTAAAAAAGAAAACAAAACAAAAAACACATATATATATATATATATATATATATATATATATATATATATATATATATATATATATATATATATATATGTATATATATATATATATATATATGTATATATATATATATATGTATATATATATATATTTTTTTTTTTTTGGCGAATGAGCAGAAAACGTGTCTCTTATCTCGCAGCCGCCCCAACCTCTGCAACGCTCTAAAGAGAGAGAGAGAGAGAGAGAAGGAGTTTGGAAAGGAAGAGATGGAAGAGATAGTCCTGTAGACTCACTCAAATGGGAGTCATGCTAACTATCTTTGGGGGGAGGGGGAATGGGAGTGAAAGATGAGCAGAAAGAAATGAGAATATTTGGTTGAGTTCTGGTACATATAAGATGGCCGTCTAGCCGACTTCACGGATCGGGAAGCAGTGAAGCTTCATGCCATAGTCACCCCAAAAAACATTCTCCCCTCCACCTCCCCCCCCCCCCCCCCCTTATTTATCGATACCAAAATTAAACAACTTAGTTTTAGATCAAAAGCTGAAAGCGCAAATCAACGATGAACAGCCCACACCACGCATACGGGTCCATATCAGAAGAGCGAATGACCAGTAAAGAAAAAACAAAAAAACAACAACAGACAAAGCTGTTCGTTCGCGCTTGTAGCCTTGGCGTTTAGACCAAGTTTTGTTGCTTTCCCTGTGATCTTGCCGGCCGCTTGCTGGCAAGATAGGAAAGGAAGGATCGTAATCGACAGCACAGTAAGCTACAAACATGGCCGCCGCGATGGCCATGCGGGGTTACAGGTTGTGTTTCCGTCTTTGTAAGGTAAGCACGTTTCGACACCAAGCATATCCAAATTACAGTTCAGGCATGGGACACCGATCTTTTCTGTTAACTACACATCAACAACTCCCCCCCCCCCCCCCCCCCCCCCCCCATTCACGATGAGGAACACCACGGAGTTCCGGTGTCTTCGCGGCTCAAATGCTTCTGTTTTCTCTTATTGCTACCAGATTTCGCCCCAAAATGCGATATGCGAGAGATTATGCAGTCAAGTCTCGGGCCCTGTTACCGCCTCTCCGGTTTTAGGCGAAGAAACTGGTAAGTCGGAAATTCCGAACTCGCCCAGCGCTTCCTGCGCAGTACTGAGCTCTGTGGGCTCGCACTGGCTAAAGATTCACACTACCCTTTGCTATGATACTAGCAAATTTACTGATTTAAACGAGAGCCATCTGATAGCGACAAGTCGGGTCGACTCAACTTTGAGCGGTAGCAGCATTGAAATATTTGTGCGAATTTCGCTCACTCAATCCTATTGTACGGTGGAAGGGCATTGATGGCTTAAGAACGTGCAGCCAACCAGCGTTTGTTACTTCATATGTTATATTGAGTTATTTTTTCAAGAATATTTTTTCCTTTATATCTTCGCACCTAGCCTCTACTTTTTTCACCTTCCATTTACACTTCGGCCTGAGATGCATGAGATGACACAGCTGATGTTGGTAATCGTTGCTGAATCGGTCACTTCTGGTATTAATAAATTATGTCACTTATGAATGACTTCAATATGTTTAGTAAAACAGGTTGTTTTTACATGGAGTGAAGGTGTTCCACCAAAGACTTAAGCGGAAAAGTAGTACAACTGTGCATAACTTCTTCCGAGCTGTGCCCAAAAAGATTCTTACTGAGGCTGACGTCACAAGCAACGATTCGAAGCTCACTTCCAAATTTGATGGCTTGGACGAACAACCTACGATTGAGGCTTCTCCGCCGCCCATGGTGGGGCATTCTGATAAAGCTATCCGACTACCCCTGGCCGTCCACACAGTTCAGAATTTAGCAGCTGGCTTTAGTTCAAAATATGACGTTGGCAACTTCGTTGGGAAGATGTCAGACTACCACACTGTGGTTGGCCTACTTAAACGCCATTGGATGTCACTGCAGGCTTATTCTTTCCCTTTCTCTGAACACAACAAGGGAAATACTGCGGAACGGAGGTCCGTCAGAAGTGACCACCTATTGACATATCCTTGGCCGGTTGTCTCTGATGTCAAGGCAGGTTTGTTCTGCAAATTTTGTCCTCTTTTTCTCACTGGGCACATTGGGTGGAAACACAAGACAGTTGCTCTTCAAGCTCTTGTAACGGAACCTTCGAAAAAATTTGCGAAGCTCCTGGGAAAAGATGGAGCTTTGGAAACCCACTCAAAGCAAAATATCACATTGAAGCTGTGGAAGTGGACAAGGCTTTTTTGAAAGCTTGCCATGACCCAAAGAAAGTTGTGACAAACCAAGCAGTGGAAATGGACTAGGCTTTTCTGAAAGCTTGCCATGACCCAAAAGAAAGTTGTGACAAACCAAATTGATACACAGTGAATGCGACAGGTGTCTGAAAACTGTTCATGGCCTCTCTCGATTGTCAACTACGTTGTGTTCTCGCCCGACAGAATATTGCCTTTTGTGGACATTGGGATAACGGCGCAGTGGTCACTGGGAAGAACAACAACAACAGTTTGGAGAATGAAGAAAACTTCAGGGAGCTGCTGTGCTTCAGAGTGAAATGCGGTGACCATGTCCTCGAAAAACATCTCTCCACAGCTACGAGGAGGAAGATGTTCAAAAGCAAAACAACTCGAAATGGCCTTATTGAATGTTGCGGAGAGGAAGTTCTGTCCGTGATCTTGACACGAGTTTGACAGAGCACATATTATGCTATTTTGTTCGACAAGAGAACCGACGTGGTTCGCAAGTCTCTGGTTTTGAGGTATGAGCACAATAAAGATCAGAGAAGATTTTGTGGGTTTCTTGGATCCCCGAGAACTCAAGATTCAAGTTGGAATTCGTCTAAGTCTGACGGCGGTTCCAACAGAGAAGAGAACGACCAAGACGACACACTGGAGCCAACGCTGACTGGTACCAAACTCAGAAAAATCATGCTAAGACTACAGAAGTCATTGTCCCTTGACACAAAAGCTGTGTCGGCATTGCAACCAACGGACGCTCAGTAAGAACCTTCAAGATCTGCGGCGCCAATCAGGAAACTCAAAACGCTTCCGCTTCAACTTCCGCGCTCATTTCTACATTCCTCTTGTGGAATCTGTCATGAACGCAGTTCGATGCCTCTGCTTCATTCACAGCTTGACTCTTCTATAAAGAAGGCATCAACTGTGCAAAGCATCCGAAACACCACCAAAACAATGCGAGAAGTCATTGTGATTTTTACGGCCTCACCGAAGCGTAACGCCATGTTGAAACTCCAACTTGGCAAATAGCTGGCCAAGTTATGCGACACGCGTTGAGTTGATCGTCACGCCGCTGTTTTTGCAGTTCAGAGAGAGCCTGGAAACCATTGCAAAGGCTTTAAAAATGGTTTGCTAGTGGCGAGAACAAAGCTCAGCTGCCAAGGCAAGATCCCTGCTTCCTTCAGTCCTGGATGCCGAATTCGTCATTGCAACCCTAGCTCTACGTCGTCCTCTCTGTCACACTTCCCCTGAGTCGGCTGCTCCAAAACCCGGATCCAGAAATGAACAGTGCTTCAGACATCATAAAAGACACAATTGTCGTCCTGAGCGAAAAGCGGAACCCTTTGAATGTAGGGAAGTCTTTCAAGGAGATTTTCACACGTGCGGAAGACATTGCTGTGAATATGGGAGCCCAACTAGATGTGGCTCATCTAATGCAACGACAGATGAACTGCGCGAAATCGCCTCCACAAACTGTCGAATCATACTTCCGCGCTCATGTCTACATTCCACTTGTGGAATCTGTCATGGAAGACCTCAAGCAGCGTTTGCTGGAAGAGGTGCTTGAGCTGTACTGCCTCAACACACTTTAGGCTCGCCACGTGGATGACAAGAAAACTCAAGCAAAGTGCAGGATCCTGGCGGCGAAATACGGTTTGCTCCTCAAAATGGGAGATGTAGCATTGAAAACCATCCTCGGAGCCGAATTTTTATTCTGGGTGGCGAAGTGGAAATGAGAGCAAGAGAAGGGGCCTCTTCCTTCAACGGCTGTGGAGACGCTTGAAGAGTCAGAGCCAGAGCTATATCCCAACATCAGGACTCTGCTGCGCATCCTCGCCACACTGCCAGTTAGTGTTGCGACGGCTGAGCGGTCCTTCTCCAACCTTTGTCAGATTAAGACATGGGTTACATCGCGGTGTGGCGAAAAACGACTCAATGGTCTTGCCCTCCTCAACGTCCATTGAGATGTCAACATCCTTGTGCTTCGACTGCTACGCAAAAGGAGCACGGTGACTGAAGGCGATGTTCATGGTGTGAACAACTCTTAACTGGATAACTTGTGTATATAATTATGTCTTTGTACTGTCCTCCCCAAATATATAGAGTTATCTTCTTCATCTCATTAGATAAACATGAATCTGTTCAATAAAGAATTTTAATGTTGTTTCATGCAATTTGCCTAACCATTGCTTTGAAGATCATTTGAGCTCAGAGTTTGTTTTCTATTGGTATCACTGCAGGACCATAAAGAATCAAACGATTATTTTTGTTTGACTGTATTCCATAAAACATCAAGTTATTGAGAGCAAAGTCGCTGCGGAATTGCACTCACAGTCTTCCTATTACAGTTGAATTACTCCCACTAAATGTTCAAAATCCTGTCACATCAATCCATTCTCGACAAGTGTGCGAGGTAGTTTGATCACGTTGGTCAAGGAATCGGGAAGTCTATATTTTCGAATTCTTCCATTCGTCTTGCAAAACAAATCTTTTGTACTCCTGTCTTTGAGGTGTTTTTTTGTCTAACCTGATATGTCCTATTTGATTGAGTCTCCACTAAAACCCTGATGCACCAACTAAAGAGAGGTGTGTGAAAAGTTTGAGTGCACTTTGTTCATTAGTCTGTTTATATTAATCTTTTTTTTATGCCCAAATAGTGCTCAGAGGGACGTCGCAAACTTTGATCGAACCCGAGGTTCGACTCGCTCACCCAAATCTTCAAACTTTTGGCAAAGTTCGACAAAGTTTGGGGGGCTATTGAATGGCATGGCCCTTCTACACAGACAATTGAAATTGTGAAGGAAAAGAAAATTGAAACCTCAATTAATTTCCAATTTCAAGCAAGGCCATGGAGAGTGCGTCAGCAATAGAGCTATGCAGCCTCAGGTCCTGGTGCTCCTACGTGGTTTGATGATCTTGCATTACTCCTCTCCCACAGATTGATGGCATGGCACGCGCAAACAATGGCGTCCCCCCCCCCCCCCCCCCCAGTGCGGACGCATTTCAACGGCAAATTGTACAGTGTGGCCCCCCCCCAATTTTTTTTTTTTTTTTCATTGCAATAATGAATTATGCATTGCTGAATGCTTATTCTCCAGCCAAATGTAGCGCTAGCCTTCAGAACCTGATGGCAGTTTCAGAACTAGCCTTGTCGTATTCAAAAGTTATAAGCGACTTTCTGAAAATTTGAATGAAAAAAATGGGGCCAGGTCGCGGCCGTTTTCGGTAACCGGTGCCATTCAGCCCCATGTGTCCGAAAGCCCCGTCCAGTTGCCATTTTCCCATTGAAAATTTCAGAAAATTGCTTATAACTTTTGTATATGATAACGGTTAGTCCTGAAACTTTTAGCATCTGGTTCTTACTGCGAGGGCTACATTTGAACAGAGAATGAGCGTTCAGCAAGGCATAGTTTATTTTGTAAAAAAAAAAAAAAGCTCTGTAAATTTTTTTTTTTTTGTTACGACGGTACGTTGTGGGGTGGCATTTGGAGAAAATGATGCAATGCCCCCAGAGCAGGGGAGATATCCTTTATACATCCTTAATTTCTTTGCCATGTGTCACACTGGCATATTGTTTTAATAGCGAGTGCTATTGCACCTTTACTGCCTTTAACAAGACCTTTAAACAAGAAAAAAAAAAGTTTATTTTTCTTTTTCTGATTGTTGCAGCCGCCATTGTGGCAACCAGGCCGCCTCTGCCCCTGATCACAAACCGCAAGCTCGCCTACCCTCCGAAGTTCACGCAATGCCGGGAGGCGTGGGTCGAAAACCTGGATACCGTCGAGTCCGAGAAGCTTGGCCTTGTGCCCCTCCACCCCAAAATTTTTGCGGGTTTTCCAAGGTACTACGTCCACCGTGACTGTTAGTTTATGCCCCTGTGAGAAGATTACGTGGAAGTCACAAATACTGCTTGCTTACGAGCACATCACCAACAGAAAGCAGGAAGGCAGACATTAATCTTTGTTCGACGTGAGGGGTATGCTGACGTTAGGAGCTTCGAGTTTTTCGGTATTTCTGGTTGGCCCAACGTGGCCACTCGATTATAAATTCAATTAAAATATAGCACAGTGATCCTTATGAAGTGTAATGTGCTGTATTTTCCGACGCGTAAGTCGCATATTTTTCCACAGATTTTTGTTTGGGGCACCTCATTCGATGGTGTGGCCTACATGAGTTTTATTTTATAAGTGCAGATCTTCATTGCGCGAGGTGAAGGCCATTATCAACAGTTACGACGAAGAAAAAAAAATTATTGTTCGCTTGATCATGCTGACGAAGACCAGGAAATGCTAAATCTGTCCTGCATGCGCCACATGTGTACGTGAGACACTGGTGCAAATTATACTCTGTGTCTGGTTTGTGCTAGCCTTTTCGTTGTGCGCCATAGATGTTAGCCAGAGTGAGATCAAGTGAATGAGTGCAACCACACAGATGCTACCTTATATGTAGGATTTTGTGTTTTCCGAGTTTATTTTTCACTGGAAATTCAGGGTTTATCAACGTTCAATGGCCATTGTGGACCGTGGGCCACAATGGCCCATACTGTAAAGAACGAACTTTGAAGGGATAATTTGGAAACTCCTTTTTGCCAATAATAAAAAAAAAACAAAAAAACAAAAACAAATCATGGCTTTTTTGGGACAACTAGCCCCGTGCTTCGAGAAGCGTTATTTGTAAAATATAAATTTGAGGCTGTTTATTTTGCCAGTGTGATTTTCGAAATTGGAGTTGTTCAGATAAATGCAAATTGTCAAAAATTTTACCTGGCGAACGTTTTTCTGAGTTGATTGGATTTATCCGAAAACAGGGAACCCTACTTATATGGGTCTTGCGCGATGCGTGACATCAACCAGGCAGCGGTCTCGCGGTACGACGTGGCACCGCTCTCACCGGTACGTTTTGCCGGGAGCCCACTTCCTCCCCAGCTGCCGTGCTGTGGTGCCTGGGACGCGTCTCCGACCGGCGTGTTTACTGCGTCCAACAAAGTGGTCCCTCGATTTACGCTTGGTGACGTCGTAAAAGTGTCGCGGGTCGTGATCCTGGCGGCATTCCAGCAGCGGCGGTGGATGTAGCAGATGCCTGTTCTGCTGCAGGTCTCTCTCTGGTGCGACAGTTCATGGAAGCTTCGGTAGCCAGAAGTTGGGACGCTGCGACGACAGCGACACTCGCGTTTGCTCGTGCTTTTCGCCAGCATGACACTCCGGCTTCAGTGATGTCATTTGTTGCCACTTCGGGGCCACTTTTGACGTATGGGCAGGATAGGACGCTAAACAGACCAGTCGAAGACGAGTTTAGGCACCATAGCTGCGCCACACAGCTCAGTGGCTATAGTAGTATCTGACTGTAACCCCAGCGACTCAAGTTCGAGACCTGGTGGAGCTCAAGCATATATAAACTTTATACGGGGTGTTTTCTTTTAGGCTTTACAAATTTGTTTTAATAAAAAGCCACGAGAGCTAGACTAGTGCAGTTCATGCAGGTGTTTTATGTGGAGAGGAGTACATAATATAGGGGGCTAATCGGTACGATAAGGCGGCCAATTAACTCTCATTCCTTATTTAACTTTGTAATTAGTGGAAATGAACATATGGCTCCATTTAGAAACTTGCTGAGAGTCATTGAAAACCACTAAATCGGTAGTTTTAGAAAGACTTGGAACTCGTGGGAAGCGCAGCAACGCGATAAACTTACCACCCGTGCGACAGCCACGAGGCTGGCGGGGAGAAAACGCGGATGAAGAGACGGAAAAACCGTGGTGGCGCATTACCGTACCAGTAGCCTTGCTCCTGCTGCATGAGTGGTAACTTTCGCGCTCCACCGTGTTTCCCACGTGATCCATGTCTTTCTAAAATTGACTGATCTAATGGTTTTCGACGACGCTCGGCAAGTTTATCATTAGAGTCGTATGTTTATTTTCACTAATTAAACACTCATTCATGACAATTTTCTCATAGAAAACGACTCGTAAAACACATTTTCTGTTAAAAATGGCAGGCTACTTGCTGACGGCCTGCTCTGACAGAAGTCCAAAGACGGTCCAGAGCATGACAGCATAGGTCCGCGGCTGTGGACCTATGCAAAGGTGCAACTTGTAGGCCAGAATATATGGTGCCCACAGTTAAGAATCAGTGCGTGTACTTATAGCAGTGGTAAGGTAGCAGGCCAGCTGCGTTTGTAAATTCTACTTCTTACGGCGAAGCCGAGCAATGTCGAGACCAGTTATAACGAAGTCGGTTATAACGAAATAGCGGCTACAGTGAAGCGATCACGGTTTTCTATTCCCTTTTGCACTTCGTTAACCAAAGTTGCTTATAACGAAATAGCGGATGCAGTGAACAATTTCCGATTCCCGTTGACTTTGTTATAACCGGTCTCGACAGTAGTTGAGCAACTGCTTTTCCCAGTGACAAAGTATCCTCTCTCCGGTAGCTATTCCCATTTCAAATATCTCGCCACCGTTCTGGTGTGTGGAGATGATGTACGCAAGGTGCCGTTTATCGAACTACCTCCCACATTTACCTGTTTCAGAATCGACACATTGCACTGGAACATTCACTGGCAAAAGAATTACCAGAGAGTTGTAAGTTGCCCGCTTACACGCCCCTCTTTGTTCCCAATTTCGAAGAAAACTTGCGAGCGTTCTACTAACCGTTGCCACAGTAACTAAGAGGAAATACTCGTGTCTAAAGCATGCACACTTCAGACACCTGTAGCCAAACATTGGTACTGTTTACAGGTGTAGTTAAAACCAAAATCTTGAAAACAGCGGGGTTTAGTCACAAGGAAGATGCTTTACGAAACGTCTAAAAGTAGTACTGAAGGCCGAGGGATGTAAATCTGGTGAAGTCCAAGGGCCTCCCCGTGACCTTTGTTTCACATGTTGAATCGTTGATGCAGCGACTAAAGCTTCAGCGCCCAGTTGAACATTCCCATTAGATTTCAATTGGAATTTCCAATTGGTACCAGTTAGGTTTTTAGACAACCAATCGGTCACTGCCAATGGGAACCAACAAAAACCATTTGGAACCCATTCAGGTTCCAACTGGAAAAATTATTCCAGTTGGTGAGACCCATTAGCAAGTATGCTTCTAACTGGAACTCACTAAAACCAGTTGGAATTCTAATTGGATCTAATGGGAGTTTTTAGCTGGTCGGTTTCGGTTGAAATGGCGGTTTCGGTGCAAGGGGGCATCCTTTGCACTTTTTTTTTCCTGCCCACGCTCAGGACTGGGCTACGGCACAAACGCGGGCAGAGAGGCGGGGCGGCGGACGAAAACCGTGGCCGCAGAAAGGCACGGGAAGGGCACGTCACGGCAGCATTCGGGCGCCCCAGTGGAAAGGAGGTAGGCTTCTCGCTTTTTGTCACGTTCCCCCAGAGACATCCGGTGACAGAGAGGAGTTTTAGAATGGCTTACTCAAGCACACATGTTTAACTTGTGAGCTGACATGGAGCGTGACCGTATTGTCGACATCTCGAGAGTGCTAGTAACATGGCCAACCAGGGTCCTCCCAACGTGGCGGCAGCGGTTTTGCCACCCGCCAGTCTGGCTGACTGCCCATCTCTACTGCGCCCAGGCCACCTTCATATTTTGCCTCCGGCGTACAACAAGACGATGCCGATCTTGAAAATGCACGACGCCCTAGATTGTCGTGTTTGGCGCACTTGTATGACGCTACGCAACAGAACTGCCTGATCCTTGCGAACAAAGTCGCTGCTTGTGGTAGAGGAGGTAGCCGTGAACGCCAAGAGTTGCAGCAGTCGACCCCATTTCCTCCTCCCAACACCCTGGAAATTGTCAGATGTCCACATCGCAAAACATTCTGGGAAGAACCCTGTGGCCAACTTTTGTTCCTGTTACCCAACCTTGTATGACGCAACCACCTCTCTGTCCCTAGGCGGAGTATCCATGGGGCCGCGGGGACCGAGGACCTACTTCTACATGCTTCCCTTTTTCCGGCGCGTCGAGGGTCTCATCACGGCACTCTCGGTGAAGTTTGCACAGGTGACTGAGATGCTATGCACCTTTTTGTTAACAATCTTTTTGAGCACGAGACCATGCACCATAGCGAGGCCTTCCAGTTGTCCCACCTCCAGTGCAAACCTTCTACCTTCATTAACGCTTCAGCATCTCACGAGCCCAGAGCGTGCACGTGCTGCTAAAGCATGGCAATATCAGATGAGCACGTGTTGGAGGCTGGGCATTCGTCAGAGATGCCCTGCCGTTCTTATTCTGTCCTTGATTAGAATAGGGTTCCTGTTTTTGGATACCTCGAGCTCACAACAACTCTGTGGAGCAAAATTGACAGGTCCCTTCAAGTTTGAATAAATAAGGTCATGTTGTAAAATTTACAGGGTCTTTTACGTTATCCCTAAGATGACTTAGAAGGTTGAAGCGCCGATGTAAATGTGATAGCGAATCTCCGAAGACAGCGTGCTCTCTGACGCCGCACTTTTGGCGCCGTTTCATTTGCTCACTCGGATCGTGGGATTGGCTGTGGTCTTGATGCTAGCGAACCTCTAAAGACAGTGCGCTGTCTGACGATGCACTTTTGGCGCCGTTTCATTTGCTCACTCGGATCGTGGGATTGGCTGTGGTCCCGATGCTAGCGAACCTCTAAAGACAGTGCGCTGTCTGACGATGCACTTTTGGCGCCGTTTCATTTGCTCACTCGGATCGTGGGATTGGCTGTGGTCCCGATGCTAGCGAACCTCTAAAGACAGTGCGCTGTCTGACGATGCACTTTTGGCGCCGTTTCATTTGCTCACTCGTATCGTGGGATTGGCTGTGGCCCGATGCTAGCGAACCTCTAAAGACAGTGCGCTGTCTGACAATGCACTTTTGGCGCCGTTTCATTTGCTCACTCGGATCGTGGGATTGGCTGTGGTCCCGATGCTAGCGAACCTCTAAAGACAGTGCGCTGTCTGACGATGCACTTTTGGCGCCGTTTCATTGGTACCTTTCGTGTCGATGACGTGTTTTTGCTCAAGGACTTTGAAGGTCAACTGAACGATGAGACATATAAGGCTTTCACCTTAATAAACTCTGGCAAATCTGTGCCTTATACAGCATTAGGTAAAGTACATCTAAAAAGTACTCCTTGAGTACCTTGAATACTAAAAAGTAAGAAGTAAATGAGCTTATGTACTTCAAGAAAGGTAGTAAGTACAGCTGCAACGGAAAAAGAGTAGCGCAAGTGACCGATGATTGGAGCGGCAAAATCACGACACGAGGCGCTATTGTTCTTAAGTGCGCCAATAGCGTGACTGACAGTCATGTTGCATGTCTTAACGCGGGGGTGGCTGGCAAAAAGTTGAGGGATAAGATAGGTTTTAAAATGTGGGCTTTAGGATGGGCTGCTTTCGGCTGGCCACCCCCGCGTTGAGACATGGAATGTGACTGGCACTCTTGCTCTCAGCGTGCTTGTAAACAATAGTGCCTCAAGTCATGATGTTGCCGCTTCGGTCATTGGTCACTTGTGCTACTTTTTTCCCGTTGCAGCGGTACACCGGGTGCAGTGTAGTTGAAATAAAGTACAAGTGCGTATTTACACCATCTTTCATGATGCCCTTTCAATTCCCTATACAGTAATCCTTCGTTACAACGAAATCGCTTCTTTCGAATTATCGCTTTTATCAAATGTTCAGTGTGGTTCCGAACGAAATGCCTGCATTTTTAACCGGCTTATTCGAAGTGTATCAGCGGCCGACCATGCTCATTACGAAGGCCGCGGTGCTGAAAGCACTCAAGCCCTCACGGAGGCGCACGGAGACCCTTGCGTTCCCTCCCGTTCTCCACCGAGGCAAACGGCAAACCCTGCTTTGCGCCATAAAGCCCTTAAACAACAACAACAGCAAATGGTAAACTGGGAAAACGAAGTAAGCAGGTGACAGAGGGCAGAGCACACAGAGCTTGCAGAGCGCTGTTTCCGATGCCAACGTGGGGCGGGGGCAGGGAGCAGTGGGAGCAGTGTCAACCTTGAGGTGCTACTCACGCAGGGGCGGATCTAGAGGAGGGGTGTACTCTTGATTTTTACATGTGTAAAATTTAGGGCGTAAAACAAGGGAGAGGGGGTTCCTAAACATATGGTACGCTGACCAACACCTGACCTCCCCTTCATGAAATTCCTGCATCCGCCCCTGTACTCACGGCGCCCGCGGCTGGCGCTGCCCGACTCCTGTTGGAATCGGGCCAAGGGAGCGATGGAGCCCGGAGTAGATCGTCCCTTTGGGAGGCCCCATCACAGCTCCTGCGGCATACCACATGCACACATGCGTCGTGTGGGAGATTGGGAGCGTGTTCCGAAAGTCGCTTAGACCTGCGAGGTTGAAAAAAGTGTCCGGCCCAAATCCGAAATCGGCAAATGATTTGACATTCCGGTATCAGCTACTCGACACTCTCCACCATTTTGCAGAACGAGCAAGGCATATTGGATGGGCTTGAGAAGTTTCTCATATAGGAGGAAGTGCGCCCGTGCCTCAAAGATGAGGGATTGCTAACTGCTTCGCGCCTGTCAGATTTCCTCTCGCGAGCAAGCTTGCCAAGCTGGTGCACAATTCCCAGAGCTGCAACAATCTCTACAAAAGTGTGTGAAAATATGTTGGCAAAGCCACCGAGAATAACTTTGATTCGTTCGCACTTGTCGATGCAGACGTTTTCGTTATTGCTCCTGTCACGGATGCTGCAGTCGTAGACCTTGCGTGCGACCAGGGTAAACGCGAAGCAACGTTGGAGAGGCACCTCGGGGAAACGCCGACAACTGTGGAGACGCAAAGCATCTTACGACTGCTTCGAAACAAAGTGGAGTGCAGCGGCGGTGACAGTGCTCTTGCGATGCCTGGAGCAGTTCGAGGAGAACTGATGCCTGTATGAAATTATTGGCAAACTCCACCTAATTGTTTTACAACGGGGCTGTTAAGGGCTAGTTTCCCCAGTATCGTGTCCGTGGACAAGCGGCGGATGAGCGACAACGGCAACCTTTCCAGCCTTTCCACTCTGGTTTTTACCAGAACGGAAAGGCTGAATTTCTCTAGGCGTCGTCCTCGAGGTCTTCCTTGAAGTCGTCCTTCAAGTCATCCTAGACGTCCTCGAGGTCGTCTTTGAGGTAGTCCTAGAATTCGTCCTTGGGGTCGTCCTAGACGGCACCCTAGAATATTCCTCTTTGAGGTCGTCCTCAAAGTCATCCTAGACGTTGTCCTCTAGGTATCGTCCTAGACGTCGTAAAAATAACAGCTTCACTGGTCCTCCATCTTCATGCGAAGTGGGAGGGCTCTAAATTTTTTTTTACTCGCTCGGTAAAGCTGCTGCGAGATGTTCATAACCAAGGTTTGTTTGATTAAATGTACGGTCAGAGTGTTCCGCAGTGTTTCCGTCCACCTTCAAGGCTGCTGGCACCGTTTTTTTTTGCTTTTATATCAGACTTTTTTGCCGTCCCGTTGACTTTATTATAACGAGAGATTACTGTACAGTGTTTCTTTAAAAACTGGTATTCATTGCCCCAGGGGTAATTGGGGGTGCATCAGTTATTTTCGGAAATGCTGATGCATCATGGATAAGGTCAAGTGGCGTCAATTTTCCCACTAAATATAACACAATTACGCCGACGGCGACGAAACCCGGAAACGGGTGCCTAAGAGCTGTGCTTTAAAATTTTCAATTCGATTCATAACCTTTACTATTCAATTCAATTCACTCCGAAAGATATTGATATTTGCACACTCCTAAAAAAAATACTTGCAGTGCAAGTACATACTAGAGAATGTACTTCAGGTAAAATACAAGTGAGGTAGTGCTCTAAGTTTAAAGTACTTCCTAACATTATTAGCCTTATACCATGCTTGCTTTGTTAGGTAAATGCGCATTACACTTACCCAACTTGGACTTTGCTTTCGATTTCCTCTCAGGACGACCTGAAGATTGTGGATGCCCTTGAACTGCCCTCTGACGATCCTAAGGTAAGCAGGCATTCTCCGAGGTATTTTTTAGGGTTCTTTATTTCTGGAGGAAGACTAGTTTTAAAGGGGCACTAAAGTGGATTTTGAGATGGTCTTTTATGGCACTAACTCCACCCTCTTGCCCCATGCATCCCAGAAAACCAAAAATTGCAATTGTGCGTGGAAAAAGTGAGCATGTCACTGCTCACTCAAACGTGAGCATGTCACAATAATAAAAAAAAAAAAAAAAAAAAAAAAGGACCCCGCATTTTTGTAATTTTTGGTTTTCTGAGATTGGGCAAAACAGCATGTTGCAGCATTTAGTTGTCTTTTTTTTTTCTTTTTGCTAGAGAAAAAGGCCACGCATGATTGTAAATTGTGGTTTTCTAGGATGCCGAGGTCTGTAGGCCGAGTTTGCATAACAAGACAATGGTCTCAGAATCCATTTTAGTACCTCTTCATGACAATATTTTCACTCTGGACACATTTTCTGCTTTACAAGTGTAGCTCTTCATCAATACAGAAAATGTGCCTCGATGCAGGTGTTTAGGCATTTGTGACAGTAGCAGTCGCTTCAGCAGAAACAGCCACCCAGTAATTTTATATCTAGAATATGGTCTTTATTAAGTCATTCTTAGGCAATTAAGTGTCACTTGTATAATTTGGGAAGATAATTTGAAGATTGGAAGACAAGACCTGCAAAGTTAACTGATTTCAGTTGCCTTAAGAAGTTACCATTTAGGTAGCTATATGAATACCTAACTTCTGGTAATTTTATTTGTAGCTTATCGTAACATTTCTTAAGTATGCCTACCCAAAATGAGGAATAAATGGTGAAAAATATGGGGTGGGCAATCTTTTAAGATGCAACAGCAAAAGTTAATAATAAAAAAAATTAGTGATAAACACCGGGGCACCCGCTACGAACCACATGAAACAGGAACTGATAAAGCAGATTGTGGATGCAGCAGACTCTCGCATCTTGGTGCGATAAACACGCAGGGATCTGCTACAAACTCGGGCATCACGGGAACTGATATTGCACGCGCAGATTGCAAACGCAAAACACGGGAATCCGCTACAACTTCGCACGTCACGGGAACGGATACCGCAGCAGATACGCATTTCACAGTGCAATTAAAACGTGGGAAATCGCTACAAATTCGCGTATCAGAGGAACTGTTATCGCGGATGCAGCAGATTCGCACATCACGGTGCGATAAACATGTTGGAACCACCCACCATGAACTCGTCAGATGTGCCAGTACCAAAGATTGTGCAATTGACGCAATTCCCGTCGGACGTCGCGTGATATCCTGGTATCCGAAAAGAATGGGGGGGCAATCTTTCGGAACTTGGAAGCTGGAGGGCGATCTTTCTCAGGGGGAGGGCATTCATACAAGATTTTACATAGTTGCACTTTTAGAGTAGAGTCGAGAGCGAACTGTGCCTTTTGCGTTTTTCATGTTGGAAACTAAAATGTGGGTCGGCAGTTGTAGCGCACCTCAATGCGACGGGATTGCCCGTCCCCGTAAATGTAATTCTTGTTCTTACCTCAAGAATCGGGGCGAGAAAAGTGACCCCTTGCAGAATGCTGCTAATTTCTTCCTTTATGTGACAAAAAATAACTCTTATATTTGCATGTTTTTTTTTTATCGAAATGTATGCATGTGGAATGCAAAAAGTGCCTTTTTTGTTTTATCCTCAAACGACCAAAAGCTTGTGCGACGTACGAGTTGCACAAAATATGCTTCTTTTCTTGATGAGACAGGGAGGTTAACATGTTTGTGAGAATTTATGACCGCATTAGTATTAGTAACATTACGGGATTTCAGCTTGGGTCAGTTTAACCGAGTATAAGTACAATTTAAGAGGAACTTTCGCAGCTGTGCTGCAAACACTAAAAACATGGAAGTTGGTGAAAAAAAAAAAATGGATATCTGAATTTTAGTGTTTACCTTACCCCTCCAATAATCACAAATATGTAACACAAACGTTGCAATGTGCACCAAGCTTTGGCTAACACTTGTGTGGACTACCGCCTTTGTTCTCTCGCAGCTGAAGAAAAAACCGGGTTATTGTACTTACCCGATTCTGGCGCACGCCTTCTTTTCTAGAATGATATATTATCTAAAAACTGTTGCATCCTAGAATTGGATACAAAGGTGAAATCGGGGATGTGTTAGGTTCACTGTTTTTAGGTATAAAAACTGAGTGCACGTTAGAATCGAGTATCTATGGTAACTGTGGAACTCGTACTGTATTGCCTTTTCAGTTTCTCCAGAACCTTGTGGAAGAAAGAGTATGGGGCCCATCCGTTCTCTTTGTGGACAAGTAGGTGAATTTTGTGCTCAGTTCACAGATGCACCTTCGCGTGCAACGTCTCATTCCTCGCGTTTTGGCTGGCATTGCTTTCGTAGCACCGACTACGTTCCCAAGAACATTGCCGTTGCCTGCGACCAGATCAAGCATATGAACATCATGCCCGTCTACGGTGAGTGTCACACAGATGCGGTGACCTTTCTCGTGACCTGGAGGAACCGAGATTACTTTCTGTGTGCACAGTCAAATTCCCTCCTGACGAACGTGCGTTCTGCTAAAGAACTCATTTAACAAAGTATACCGTATTTTCTGGTGTACGAGTAAAATTATTTTGTCTAAATTTCCGTCACCTCGAGGCACGGTACCGTGCCTCGTGGTGACGGAAATTTAGAAACTTCGACGGCACCGCGCCCCGTGGAAGTTTCTCCACGGGGCGCGGTGCCGTAGGGGCCGAGATGCGCTTCGATTGCAAACCAAAACTTAAAAACCCGTCGAATTTGTGAAAATTTTCAGGAAGCCGTAAAATACTTTGCGTGCCTTCTATCGTTCTGCAATTTGTTGATTAGTGTTTTTCGATGATGCTGAGCAATTTTCTAATTGAAACCATGGCCTTAAACACAATATTAAAAAAGTTAATTATCCCGGACTTGAATAATTTTCCTAAATAGGCCCCTGGCCCAGGACCAAAACGACACAAGCCTTTTTTTGTTGCGTCGCATAGTTTTTGCAATATCGAATTAGTCCACTTTCTTAATCTTACCAGAATGGCTGTCAGCTCAGTTTTGTGGGTTTACGTCAAAAACACAAAGGGCATCTAGCATGGCCCGGCAAAGGACAAGATCCCTTTGCATCCACGTGGATCGAACATTTATGTGATCCAATAATTTGTTTCTCATCTTTTTCTGTGCACAGGCCTTAACGTACACAGCATGTTGAAGTACGACACACTGGTGCTTACGTTGTCGGCGGCAGAAGAGATTGAAGCCAAGCTGCTCTACCAGCTGAACAGAACCGACATCAGAGAAGCGACTGCACAAGCAGGGAGCAAGAGATACATTTAGATTTAAATGCGTGTTAACCACACTTGTTGAGTAGTAGTACGGACGGTAAAAAATAAAGTGTGCGAAGTTTTCAGTTTTGGTGGGTTACAATTTAGTTTTAGTGACACAATAAAAATACACCACACAGGTGAATCTGGTGGTGTTCTTGCATTCGTGGTCTACTTGTCAACTCGGGGCCTCCAGGAATCCTGCAATGCGAGAAAATATTGAGAAATTGCAGCAAACAATGATACAGGCTGCATACAGCAATGTGAAAATATTTAGTGCTTGACACGAAATGAAGGGATACTTTTTGAGCTACCCCAACTATTTTTGGAATCCCTTGCCTTTGCTCTTTTTGATATGCTATTTAGTCTCACGAAATTCAGAATAGTTATTGTGAAATCAGCAAGTTAAAAAGATGCAAAAACCAACATACAAATATACCCGTGCTTTTCAGTGGTGTGAGGTCAGGGAAAGGCAGGCTTACAGGTCAAGTGGGCAGTATGAAAACAGACTATGCGGAGTATTTGTTTCGTGGTGGAGTGAGCTTCCATAGCATTCATTTGACACCATGAAACTGCTTGTAATCAGTTGGGAACAGTCTACAGTCCAAAGAGTGAACTCCTGCCTTTCCGACATCATTTTTTCATTGTTGCCTGTAGAGATTGTTTGAAAAAAACACGGTGTGGACCGAAAATTGTAAATTCAATAACTGCGAGAAAAGTTTATTTTGGCCCAATATTTGGGTTACTAGTTCAGCAATGTCCGTATCTGTGTTCAGAAAATTAGGGACTACAAAAAAAAAAAAAAAAAAAAATGCCTGTGTACCCCTTTAATTAAACTGGACAACAATCTGGCAAAGGAGCAGAAGTAAAAAATTGCAACTAGTTAGCTGCATGTGAAATACTAGAAATAAAATTAAAAAAAAAAAAAAATGGAGGGCAAATGGTTGAATTTTGTTTCTAGCGACATGCAGACAAAATATTACGCAGGCGCCTAGCCTCATCTTGCATAATGCCGAAAAGCAGGAACTCCAAGACATTAGTACAGTGGTTCTCAAATGGGGGTTTGCGAAGCCCTGCCTCATTGTCAAGCCCGCCAGAAAGTCTTTTTTTTTTTTCCAGATTGAGAAGAAAAATTTTCAATCTTGGGGTGAGTTTTCTCGTGTGTATGTCAATAAGACAAGTCTACTTCACACCAGCTCTTAGTTATATTCATTTATTAAATTATTATCCTAACCTATACCTTTCCCTCACTACAAACAGAGACCCCCATCATCTCTAACCTATCCACAAGGGGTCTGCCAAACATCAATGGTTGAGAACCACTGCATTTTGTGAATTTAACTCTGGTGAAAATTTCTCAACATCCCCTTTGTAAAGCAGTGGTGACAAACGCTGTCATGTTGCAGTTTAGTATGTACTTCTGATACTTTCTATTGTGGACAGCGTTGAATGTTTGAACTGAAAGGGTTTGGGAAGCTTGCCTGCGCTTTTATCTGGGATAAATACATCTTGCTTTCCATCAAAATATGTTTAACTTGGGTAACTTAATTTTTTTTTTCCTTTTCTACAACTTATAAAAGTGTTGCCTTCGCATGTGTTTAGTTTTGTAGCTTCTTGTTGGACAACCTGACCTAGCTGTGAGGAAATCATTTGTGTTTGGAGTGCAACTTCAAGCGTTCCCTGGTGGCAAGAACGCAAGGCAGAGAAATGGGGAACCTGTGCCCATCGTAAAGCGAGAGAACCACGCGGCGTACCCCAATGACCAGTCTGAACGAGAGATATGGGCTTGCGAATGGTTGAAGTTGCAAATTACGAGCATAGATTTTTACTAGGGATGTTCAAATAGTGAAATTTCAAGTCGAATTCAAATCGAGTAGTGGCCAAAAAGTTTAACTTCGAATGGAATACAAATAGCAAAAATTAATTCTTAATGTTCCTAAGACTGAGAAAAGGAACCGAATATCTGGAAAAAAAAAAAAAAACGTGCTATTTTTCTGCAGGGCACATAGAACAAGGAGTCTAGCACAAATTTATGTTTACACAGCCTGAAGTCAGTCTGCCTCAACGGGCGACGAATCTCCCAGCTATAGATGAGCAATTTAGCCAGTGCAGTACAACCGCCAGCCTGGGGGTCTTTGACATGCACCACCCAGTGGTGATACACAAGAACAAAGGAATGATTTTGGTTTCCTGGGGATCAAGCAATTAGGATCTGGCTTACACGGCGCTCTCCGCAATAAGTCTCTGTCAGACTGTAGTCGCTGGTTTGCCTCAAAACCAGTTGAAGACATTAATAGATATATCTGACCTAATAACCTGAATTACAAGTCGTAATAATCTTTTTTTTTTCTTCTTCAAAAAGTCACTGAATACTTAAATTCGGTCCGAGAAGCTCTATTGTCGACACTGAGAACCTGACGTCCGATGCTGTACTATGGGGGAAGTACAGATTGTTCCCCGACAAGAAGCTTTAGAAAAAAACACAAAATTCTTTTCTTTTTTTTGACTGCCCGCTTCATTGCGAGTTACACGTGTGACGTCGCCCCGCTGGAGTGCGGAAAAAACCCTGGAAAATTTGGACGTTACTTTTTGCATACCTTCGTTCCCATTTTCTCGATAGCTATTAAAAATCTAAAGATAATAAACAGCATGCTGGGAAGAATGAAGTTTGGGTATTCTGAGAACGTGTTTAGTGTGGGTAGAGACGATGAGCTTAAGACGCAGCTGATAAATGCGGCCACCTAGCAACTTGTGGATACGGAGCATGCTGGACGAAAGACGCATACAGCCGAACCGCCTACGTATTCGGGCGACCTCTAACATCGCCTAGCCCCGTTGCTTCACTCGACGCAGCGGAGAGCGATGGGTTAACCGAACTGGCCGGTTCAGTTATCGCTCGAATTTTTATTGTTCTGTAGTCGCTGTTCGGCCTCCGGGTGTAACTCCCACGTTAGAATTTCCTCTTTTGAAAATCTTCTTTCTCTCTCTGATAATAATTTGTTATATTATTGGTGTAATGAGCGAGAATAGGTTTACAGTGCACAGAGCTGGCTGTGGGCGGCGTAACATACTTAAATTCGAAAGGGTAACGCGCGCGATTTACAGGTTTTCGTTGAGCACGTCCAGGAGCTGGGAGCTCAACTGCTTTGTTTGAGGAACGCAGGAAACGGACTACCTTCTGCCGAAATGGTTCGTTATTAAGGGTATCTGTATAGGCTTGATTTAGATCCATCACAGGCCTGTGAGGATTATTTTGCCCCATGAATGGCGTTTCTGGTTAAACCACAATTTTTCGCCAGCAGCACCGATTCTCGATATATCGAAATTGTACGAAAACTCGAATACTAGGAATTGAAATTCATATCGAATTTTTCGGGCGATCATTATTCGATTAAAATTCGAAGCTAGAATATTCGCACGCCCCTAATTTTTACTCATCCCGGCGAACAACAAAGAACTACGGCGTGGCCAGAGTGTAGCTTGCGTCCTTCGTGGAGACTGCGCTACCTTGGGCAGTTTCTGCGGATTTCAAACTCAACCTCGTGGCAAATCGCTTCAGATCACCACACGACAAACGGCACGCCGTTGGAGAGAAGATCCAAATGTCGCGCTCCTGGCGGCCAGGTTGAGAACTAAACCCGGGGGTGGGGGTGGGGGGGGGGGGGACAACAGCTTAAATCGTGTTTGCGTTTCCGACGCAACCCTCGGCTGGGGCTTGCGTTCGATCGGGGAACCACCAAATTAAACACGAGCGTCGACCGAAAGACGACGTAACACGTGTGTCCAATCTCTACGCCCAACCGCCGGGACCACGACGCCCAACAGCACGCCACTCCGGCTTTCGGACGTCGTCTGTTGCCTCTTCGAGACCATTTCATATGCACAGGCGGTATAGGACAAGAAGCACGCCAGTCGGAGACGCATTCCAAGCACTGCGACGGCAAAGCCGGACCATGAGAAAGTGACGTACGGTGACGACGTCGTCCCTGCGCATCATCTGTGCCCTGACGTTCCAGCGGAGTTGCTTGTGCGCCTTCTCTCCGGGCGCCCTGTGGTGCTCCCAGGCAGCCCTATATTCGTGGTAGCGGGTCACGGGGTCGCACTTGCCCCTGCCCCGTTCCCACTCCACCTTGTTGCCGGAAGACTGCAGCACTGCAAGGTCAAAGCTCGTCTTAATGCTGAGCAATGCGGAGCGCAAGTTTGTCTGCTCCTTTTGCAGGGGTTGCGGTGACGTCAGAACGCCGAGCTCCGATTGAAGGATAGTGGGTAGACCTCAAGGCAGCTTGCACTGAGGTCTACCCACTATCCTTCAATTGGAGCCGAGCTCTGATTGGCTGTGACTGAAGGATAGTGGGTAGACCTCAAAACAGCTTGTTTTGATGTCTACCCACTATCCTTCCATCAGAGCAAATCGGAGCTGGCATTCTGATGTCACCACAACCCCTGCAAAAGAAGCAGACGAACTTGAGCTCTGCATATACAAGGGTAGGGAGCCCCGTAAAGTAAGATTTGTTTGCCTCTTGCCCCCCCAGAAGTGACTTAATAGTCCAAATAAATTATTATTTTTAATATTATCGGGACAGAAATGGCGGGAAGTCTGTCAGTTTTCTCAGTTGCTGGCACGCATGGGGCACAAGTTGGGACGTTGTGATGGCAGTCGGCAATGGTTATACGCAGCAGTGGTTGAAAAACAACTCTGGATTGAGCAGTGACGCAACAGTTTTGAGTAATAATCATGACGCTTAAACTCCGAGACTGGGAAGGAAACTTGAAAATATGTCAGATAAAACCGATGAATGCTCACAGACAAGCATCTGTCACCTTTCTTCTGTTGCTCCTAATATATTTTCAAGTTTCCTTCCCCAGTCTTGGGGTTTAAGCATTATGTATAATATGCACCAGCTCGTCTGCACGTTGTCCATTTTTTCTTTTTTAAGTAAGATTTCATTTCCTTACCATCCAGGAAAAAACAAAAACGGAGAAGCAATTTCTTTTCAAATGATGGAGCTGTTTCTCTACGAGTGATATATTAGATTGAAAGAAGGATGAGAAAGTAGACTGGTTAATGAGGACTGAAATGGAAACATCTGTGAGAAGTATAGCTTTAGAACTTGGAAGTAGGCTAGTTTGTGAATATTAGGAAGCATGGTATAAGGCACAAAAAACAACGGACATAAGGAAGAAGACGTACACACAGGCACCTCTGTGCGTGTCTTCTTCCTTGTGTCTATTGTTTTTTGCGCCTTACAGCATGCTTCCTAAGTACAGCTCCCAGCTTTTGCTTTCTGGGCTTGGCTCGAGTGAAGGAAGAGTAGAAACAGTTCACAACTTTGTTGGCGAATCTAATATGCCCCAATATCTCGGGAGGAAATAATATAAATTAGGGAAAGTCGTACATGTGCGAGACCAAGAATTAAATTAAATTAGCTTACACAGGGGTGGAACTCATGAAATGTACTTGGGAGCAGCCACGGGAGCAGCTGAAACAGCTGTTTTGGAGCAGGTTGGGAGCAGCTAAAACTACATTCTGGAGCAGGCTAGGAGCAGCTCAGATCAGTTTGCATTGCACTTAAGCTTGTATCTTAGACAAGCACGAAAGCAATTTCAATTGTGCTTAGCAGCAGAGATGAACATGAGCGGTTAGGGACCTAGGTAGAGGGGATAACAGTGTAATATATGCGAAAACTTGAATCTTTGTGAGCCTTAATGAGAATCAAACAGCAAGTACTCTATGTTTCTGAAGATAGCGTCCTTGATATTTTCTGAGTGGCCTTCAGACGCTCAAGATGCAAACCAGCTCTGCTTATCGCAGAACCCACACGTGCTCGACATAGTAATTATATGTGCGAACCACGTAGCGTGCGTAAACAACGGACGTGCAGTTGCACGGAGGAACAGGGCAACAAATTTCGAGTTTATCCTATTGTGCAACTCGATATCGAAGCAGCAGACTACGATTAACGAAGTTATCTTATTTGAAGCGATAAGCAGGAGCAAGCTTAAAGTACGCCGAGCAGATAAGTAGAGCTGCTGACCGGCAAGGTTTCGGATCGGACCGCGTTTCAGTTCTATCAAATCACGATTTATCTTGCAAGAATGCAGTTCCAACTCCTAACGATGAAGCACTAAAAGGAATATTTTGCTCATTTGCTTTCGACTGGATGACGCCCGGATCCCGGGCCGCAGAGCCTCATGCAATCTGACGCTTAACGACTCGACCTCACCTCGGCCTACTTGCCCTACCGCTTATGGTTGAAGAGTAACAATCCAGTCGCAGGTGGTGTAGCGCTTAGAATCCGAGTTTTTTCGCGCGCTTCCGACTCGGGATAGACAAGGGGAATAAACATAACAAGGGATTGCAAGGCCGACCAGGCTAAACGCCCTCATTGTTGACAATCGAGTCGATAAAAACCGAAACCAAGACAAAATAAAGCGTTTTTTTGGCGCACGTTTTGCGGTTTGGCGCATAATGGCGCGAGGTATTGGCTTTGGCGCAGTTTCTGCAACATGGCGCAGGATGGCGCAGACACATGCGTCTGGCGCAAAATGGCGCAAACGGCGCAGCCGTTCCACCCCTGCAGTTACATTACCACATGAATCCAAGCAGGGAAGGAATCTGCATTTCGTAAGCACACGGAGTTGTTCCTATAAAAGCTAATTTGAGGGGCTGCTGCAGAGATACGTCTTACATTAGACTTCAACAACATTGATTATGTGCACGTTCCATCAAAAATTGCTTGTAATGGTAGCAAACGCGAAATACCTAAAATGGATCTACTTTTTTGCCCAAATATCAGCTGCGTATAGCGTGGCATAGATGTGCAAGTTCCAGTTCTCAGGCAGGCTGCTGTCGAGCACAAAACACAGAAGGCAGAAAATGTGTAGCCGCAAAGTACCCACCACAAAACAGTAAAAAGTATGCTAGAAAGTAGCTTACGAGACAATATGGATGCTCTCCGAGGCTGGAGTGTGTCCTTGAGGATTGGTTGTCCCTATAAGGGGACAAAAAAGAGAAAAAATGGTCAGCATATTTAAACGAGGTACCAGAAAGTGGAACTGTGGATGGAACGTTGGGTAAAGTTTCAAGTGCCTTATTTCCTTGCACCCGTTTACGAAGACCGTCTGCGCGTCTAGTTTTCCGCGGCAAGCGCAACACCCAGTCATTGGCTAGTCTACATCCATAAGTCGTCGCGATTGGCTTTTGTTGCTCAGTGGGGCAGTAGACGTGCAGGACTCTTTCACTAATGGGCGGGTTGTACGTGCAAGGAAACACCTTGGAATTTCAATGAAACACAGAAATACCTGGACAGCCTCTGGAGGAGGCTTGACAGCTGTCCTTGGAAGCGTACGGTAGAGGCTGCTGTTCTCCTTGAAACTTGGATGCAAGCCTGCAACACTTTCTGGGACGCGAAACCAACTATTAACAAGTGCAGCGCACACCTCGACGAAACAATTGGTCTAAAAAAATGGGACTGGTTCTCGAAAATTTTATGCTCGTCTGCACCACTCGAACTACAGATCCCAATATTGTTTTCTTCTAGAAAAAGAAAAGGTAATGTTTTGGCACAAACCTGAGGAATCTGCACTGATTGTGGAATGCTCCGATATGTAGGCGTGACCATTACGACACCTGACGCAGGGGAGAGAAATGGTTAGAACCCCAGAAATGGTTAGGTGTAATCACTCTGCGATGGCAAAATGGCTGTTGACAGACACTGCTTAGTGAACAGTGTGGCCAATCAAGGCTTTCATTTGTAACGGCATTTAGAAATGACTCTGCATCTCACATTAGGCTCAGGTCATTGTATGACATAAGGTTATCATGGACAGTTCCATTCATGAATTCGGTAGCGTAAATCACTGCTTCAGTCTTTTTCTGGTTATCCTACAATTCTGCAGTGGATGGGAGGTGCTAGTTAGAATGCAGCCAATGATCGATGTCTTGCATCTTTTTGGTGGTTTTGCAAACATGCAATAACTGAAATGTTCTAAGGGCAGGTTAGGTATCGTATGATTACATATAACCAAAGAACTATCACGTCGATTTGGCCAGACACAATCTCCCTTCTGTTTTTTGAGCCATGCTGCTTCCAGAATGACTCGGCACTTTTGTTTAGGCCCTTGGTGGTACCTTGCTTTCAACTCAATTCACCTTAGCACTTTCCGGTGCATTACACGAGGTTCACCGAGAACGCTGTCGCTCGAAGACGTTGAGGTTGTGCTGACTTCGTTTCTTGATGCATTACCCGCAGGTGTTGAGTAGCAGCTGCTCTTGCTGCCGCTATGGTCTGGGTCATTAGGCAAAGCTCGGATTGCACTGCCTTGCTTTGTCTTGCTCTGGCTAATCTCGGATTGACTGGCGCATGGAGTGCTGTAACACGTCGAAGAGTTGTCGTGGGGCTGGAGTTGTGTTGTCCTCTTTGGTTCACTCCTGTCAATGCTGCTGCAGTTAGCTCTGCTGGACACCTAAATAAAAGGAAAAGAAAACATACCATAATTTAATACCACAGCACAAAATAAGATGAAAAATAATAAAATACATGTTTGAAAGTACATACAGTCATTGAGACTGAAGAGCAATACAGTCCCATCGAGTTAACACGAAGAGTCATGTGCCACACTCGAATTGATCAGATTATAAAGAGTTTAATTGACAGGGTCAGGTTTAGAGAGCAACAAAGGTGTCTATGTGACGAACTTCGATCAGAAACTGAGCGTGGCTTGAGTAATTTGAGCATAAACTTATACTAGCTCTCGTCCGTCTCTAGTGTTAAAGAGCTCTTTGCTTAAACAAGTAATTGGGTTAATAGAGCTGTTTCCTCTACTCAAATATTGTGCCAACAAAGTAGAAGTTGATATAATAATACTATAGTTACTGACGGGATCAGGACCCACCCTATCAAAGACTAGATAGTACTTCTACGCTTTCCCGCACTGGCCAAGGGGTGTAGTAAAAAAACGGGCCCGGAAAAAACATCCCCAGAAAAAATGGTCCCAAGTACCAAGTAGGAAAAAAATGATCCCAAGGGGTAAGAAAAAAATATTCCCAGTGGAACCCATTTTGAAATGGGAGATAATGACCTCTTCAATTTCTCCACCACAGTAATCGCATTGTTGTTTTGAGGGCTGTCCATTTTTTTTTTTCGTTTGCAATAAAAAGAAACGGGGCGATGTACTTCAACACACTGGCACAAACATTCTCAGTACACGCAGAAACCTGAGAATAGTGTGTCGCCGACAGCATGCAAAAAGCCCTCGACTGTTGCCGTCCCCAGGGATGTACTCCTTGCAGAGGTTCTTGAGACGGCGCCAAATTTCGACGAGCGTCGACTTGCTTTCCTTCTTGGCAGGAGCGCCGACTCGCCCTAAAACCATTTTTGTGGCTACGGTAGGTTTCTCCGAGCGTAAAGCGTCGATGGCCTTCGACACTGCTGGATGGCTATGGCAGTGACCGGCAACGCTACCAAAGCTCCTATTCTATGCTTCCCACTAGTGTGTCGAAGTGCATCTCCCTGCTGTCTTTTTGTTAATAATAATAATAATAATAATAATAATAATAATAATAATAATAATAATAATAATAATAATAATAATAATAATAATAATAATAATAATAATAATAATAATAATAATAATAATAATAATAATAATAATAATAATAATAATAATAATAATAATAATATATGTTACAGCTTTTTCAATTAGGATGCGATTACTGTGTTGCGTTCCACGAGAAATATCTTTTTGATTACCCCTTGGGACCATTCTTTTCTAACACTAATAATCCTTGGAGAAGGGAAACAAGGGTGACAAAGGACAAAGACAAATCTCCAAACACAACTAGGTGACTGGTGCGCGACTGGAAAAATCCGCCTGGTCCTGGTATCGAACCAGCGGCCTCTTCATTTCCTAGTTTGATACCAGGACCAAACGGATTTTTTTCAGTCACGCACCAGTCACGTAGCTGTGTTTGGAGATTTGTGTTTGTCCTTTGTTCCCCTTCCCCAGCTCGCTCGCACATTTGCATTACTATCATAACTTTAAACTGAAGGCCGTTCGCCGTTGTTGATGTTAGAGTGGTGGCAACTGCTAAAACGCGTTTGGTCTACTGACGTCTAGCTCCTGGTTAGCTCAGTTGGCAGAGGACTCCACTGGAAATGGAGAGGTCGCTGGTTCGGTAGCAGGACCCGGCGGAGTTTTTCAGTCGCGCACCAGTCACCTAGCTGTGTTTGTTCTTTGTCCCCCTTGTTTCCTTTCTCCAGGGATTATTATCGTCCTGCTCGCTTGCACCTTTGCGCATTATCATCATTCTTTCCAGGGATTATTATCGTCCTGCTCGCTTGCACCTTTGTGCATTATCATCATTCTTTCCAGGGATTATTATCGTCCTGCTCGCTTGCACCTTTGTGCATTATCATCATTCTTTTCTACTTGACACCATTTTTTCCAGGCCTATTTTTCCAGAGACATTTTTTTTCGGAGCTCCTGTACAAGGGTAGAGCTTAGTGCCCATGCTGCACTATAAATTACAGCAGACGAAAGAAATATTGTAACTTACGGAGAGGGAGCGTGCACCGCTGAAAAGCGGTGTAGAAGTGTTGACGCCCACACCCCTGTTAACCGCGTCTCGTATGGAATTTTGAAGGTCTGAAAGTAGTTGAACGAGGATTGTTAGCACTCCGCTACGACGGTAAGGCGAACGCGCACACCTTTTTTGAACTGCTGGAACAATTCGGCAGGCAGGTCAGCGTATCCCTGCTTGTAGAGTTCCCTCCGGACTTCGTCATCGGAGATGTAGACACTGGCACTCATTGGTACACCCTACGCACAACGATTACGGCGTAGGGGAACTTCAGAGATGTAATACGGAAATTATTAAGCTGTCTGTTTAGGTCCGTAAACTCGGATATCATCTCGACCTGCTGACACACGAACGCCGACTCTCCATTTTGAAAACGAGCTCGGGCCAGTGGCCAGATGACCGATTAAACTCAGTTAACGTGCGAAACATTATAATAAACGCGCAAACGGTAATATAACTGCTTGTAATATGTAATAACCATGCCAATTTATTTATTATGGCATAAAATCCGCAATTCGCTGTGTCCTGTTGCTCTTTGCCTAACTATAATATAAAGTTTTGGTTGGCTTGTTTACTCTGGCTATACTTTAGACTTGCCGTAAGCTTTACATGTTACGTCTTTGGATTTTGCGTTTTTCGGACGCAGTGATTATATTTCCGGCTAATCCAGTCGGCTTTTTTGTTGTCTATTCGTTTATGCCGTCTATTTAGAAAGTAAAGTTGGACTCTTTTGGCTTTTGGCTTCGACCGGCTTCGATCAATAAACAAATCGTACAATCAAGCCGCATAGGCTGGATGGTTCGCGTTGCTTCTTCGCCGCCGTTGACACTACCGGAGCAAAGCTCTTCGCCATGAATATCGGTAATCCGCCGACGCTTCCAAGCTTTTTACCCTTCAAGGTTTAAACAGGTGATCTCTCGGAGTCCACGGTTCGATCGTCCTTGCGAACCGGACAAGAAAGAAGCCGACAAACCGGGATGCCTTTCGTACCCTCGCGAAAGGCTTAGGAAGAGTCCGCCGCAATTCAATCCAGCCGTCGTAAAGACACATTTTACTGTCCGAATGACGCGGCCAATTTACCGATGTCCTGTAATTTGACGCGTTTAAGTAGTACCAACTTTATATCTTGGGACTTTAACGGGTGTGTAGTAGCACAAGCGTGTACCTCCTCTTCGGCGCGTTTGCCGTTGGTAGCTTCGTTCCGGTTTGACAGGGTCCTTTAGTAATTTGGGGACGATCGCGTTCTCGTATTTGTGTGTCATGCAGGACGTGCCAATATGTGGCACGAGGCGAGGAAGCAGGAGCGGAAGATTCGCGGCATGCTGGTGGATTTGAAAAAGAGGGCCGAGCGAAGGAAGGAGTTCTACGAACGAATCGTGAGTACCGACATCTTTCGCTCCCTACGCTTTGTGTGGCGTCTGGTGCGGCGCTAAGGTGTACTTTGGTTACAAATCTCAAATGGTTGGCGGATTTTAACCACCGAGGCTTCGGATTGTCGTGTAATACGACGTCGAGACCAAGAAATCTACACTTGAGTGCTACCGATGAGCAGTCGGCGCACGCATTTGACACATATTTTTGTTTTTCTCTGGTGCGTGCCGAAGCGTTACCGCGAACTCGAGTGTCAAGCTGAATGGCCGACTGATGTCGAAGTATTGGCATTTGATGGAGCGGGTATTGAATGACATGACTGCTCTACTGCCAAATATAAGCTAGGTGTGAGTATACTGTTGTGCAGGCAGTTCACTACATCTAGAGTGTCTCGAAATAGTTCTCTGCTTATTTTCTAAGCTACGCTTTCGACAGGCCGTTGAGAATAAAGTCTATTCCCGTACCTCTTCTGTATACAATATTTTCCCCATGTTCTGCAACTTTAAAAGGTTAAGACTGAGTCCCCAAGACTAGGAGACGTCACAGTCAAAGTGGAACTATTAACTCTGCGTGGGCACATGTAGCCTTACTCTATGAAGCGATCAAACTTGGAAGTTTTTTGATCTCAAAAGACGACTGGCAACAATGTCACATTTCTGGCAACATTGCCTGATGGATAGTTACAAAAAGACAGAGGGGAAGGAGATTGACGGGGAGGAAAAATCATACTTTTGATTTCTAGACTAGATGCTGCCCGTTATAGAGCGTACAGCTTATAGCTACTGCCCGTTATAGAGGGTACAGCTGTTAGCATCCATCCATACAATCCACGTGATGTGCCACACGCCTGAAATATGTAATTGCACAAACTCTGAACCACAGACAAGCAAAAACAGTCAAATGCTGACCTCATTATGCAGCTTTAAGTGCAGCGAAGCCCAGTTTGGCTGCTTCCTGATTTTGCTCTAGAAGTAATTGTTTTGTGTGCATGATTAGACAGCGTGAAGTTAGTCAGCCCCAATGGGCGTCTGGTGTTCCCACTGTGGACGAAAAATTTTGCGAGTGCAGTACGACTGCTATTCTGGGGCCCTAATCTATATGGCGGGACCAAATGGGGCTAAGGGACCGGGACATTACCGTGTAGATTAGGGCCCCTGGTGTCTTTAATGTGCATCATGCACTAGCGATATACGTCCGCATGCCAGTTTAACCATCCAGATCGAAACGGGCAAGTGTGGAGTTTGAATCCAGCATCTCCGGCTTCTGCAGCGTGAGCTTTTGCTCCACATGCGCCGAGCCGTGGCGCATCAACATATTTGACCACCGATCCCCCTCCCCCCTGATTTTCCGGGTCATTCGGCGCAATTTGCAGAAACAAGACCCGGCCCAGTTCCTGCAGCTGCACGGTCGACGATGCAAGATCCACATCGACCTGGCGATTGCCCAGGCAGCCGACAGCCCGGCCACCATGTAAGTGCCTGGCAAACTGTGGGCTAGGTGGCGCGAGTTACCGCCCGATGCAAATTGTGTGGCCTCTACCGTCTGCTCGTCCGTTGACTGACCTTTGCGGAGCATTACCTTGTTGCTGCTTGACCGAAACCGCCGCCCACGTCCGTTTGCTTCTGAGCATTGTTCCTGTGTAATTTATGCCTCCCTGTTTCTTTTCTTCTCGGCTCTTAACCAGGATGCCATGGCAGGGCCACCCAGACATCATGATCGACCGGTTCGACGTGCGGGCTCACTTGGACACAATTCCAGAGTACAAGTCTCCGGTCAAACCTCTTCCGTAAGTGGCTCTTGATCAATCTGTCGTGCGAAGTATCGCGTGTGGGACGCACCTACGAGCACTCTGTTTGGTGTCCTATCACACTACACACTGGACTGTCCACGAGAAGGCAACGGAATTTGACATGGGGATCTCTAAGAGAAGGGCTATGCGGCGACGTGATTGCTGTGCCAGAGGTCTTACCCTATTGCATCCTGCTACGTTTAGTTTAAAAGTGAAGAATTGGGCCAACATTGCACCAAAACTTGATTTCACTTTATTAATACTGAAAATATAATGGCTCAGGCCCCACTACACGTCCATTATTGTTATGGTAAGCTTGTGCAAATTTTCAGAACTTTAGATTTTGGCTGCAAATAACATATATTATCCTATTTGATCTCCCTGTCAGTGTCATACACTGGCAGTACTCGGAATTTTAGCAATAGTATCTCATGTTTTAGTCTGCTCTGGCGTGTAAGTTAGCTTTGTTGAGTGCGCTTCTCACTGCTTTCTTGTGTACCGCAGTGAAGTGGCAACCACAAAGTAAGCACCGCACTTTTGCTTATCTTGCTTCGCCGCGGTGCATCCGAGTGCTAAAGGGAAATCATTTCCCCAAGAGCGGGGCGTGAAACACGAAAGCGTCGGGTATATTAAAAAAAGAAACTTGGTGAGTGTTAATGTAACAGCTCTTAAAGGGGCAGTGCAACGGTTTTAATGTTGAAAGAATTGCCAGTTTGCATTTTTGATATTGTTCATACAAGCCCAAGTGACCCAAAACGCGTCACCTCTCCCCAAAAGACGGCTATTCTGCTGCGTAATCGCTAGGCAAAAAACAAATTATTTGCCGATCTGCAGTCGCCGGTGGCGGCTACGGGAACTAAAATGACGGCGTCTCTGGGGGATACGCGGAAGTCAACAAACCCTGTCCCCCTCCGCTGCTACACTCATCGTCAGCCCCGTGGCGAACCGTCCTTTTTGTCCATCGCTCGCCGCGACCTTCGACGAGGCTAATCCTTTGAAAGTCGACAATCGCGGAGGAAGCGGCTGGTGTCTCTGAAGAGAGGGCCCAAGGGGAAACCACGTGAACCCCAAGAGACGTCACTCGAAAGTCGGCGTGGAGAGTTGATAGGCACTTCGACCTTCGATTTGTTTAATTTTTTTAAAGAACTAGCGCTCGCAAGAAAATGCGGCTTTCGGTTTTTCGTTCCATAGCTGACGCAGATTCATTTCCGCAGTTAATTGGCCAAAGTCTGAAAATCGTTGCACTGCCCCTTTAATTGCAGTAAAAATTTCTGAATGAAACGGGGATCTATTATTTGATAGACTGCAGTATTCTGGCGATATCATTTTCAAATTCCTGACTTAGCAAGGGTACTTGCAAGAAAATTTATATGAACTGCTCTATAGGTTTATTTTTAGTTGAACTCCATTGTTCGGTTGTCACCTTTATATATGTTTTATTCGTTCGAGGTAGTCAGTAGAATAAATTAAAACTAAATGTGATGAAGCAGCTGGAGGAAGCTTGGGAATAACCTTAGAGGCTGACTATCTGTTCGCACTTTCCACTTTTCCCTCGCCTCTCTTCTCCCTCCTTCTACCTTTTCCACCGTTTTGTTGAGTCCTCCCCCTTTCCGCTCTCTACCCTTTCTTCCCCTATCCCTGCTCCACTGAGCCCACGGTGGCTAAACCATAGACTTTAATGGGAAAAATAAAAGGGGTTAGGATACAAAAGAGCAACCCCAACATGCTTGACAAGCGGCTGTGAGTCAGTGAGATACAATATGGTTGGCGTCAGTGCAGGTTTTCAGTCAGTGTGCCCTGCACTAGTATTTCTTTTAGAATTATTTTTTTTTTTGGAAAACATCTTTTTTGCATTCGCAGCCCCATGCAGACGCTGGTTCTAAAGTTGTGGGTATGAAAACACATGATTGCGTGTTTGAGCGAAATAAGCCACGGCCTCCCGAGAGGGGAGTTAGGTCCTGCTTCCTAGATGCAGTGGCCTGGGAGCGATATCCCGCACCATGTCCTTTGTACACGTTGTGGCTTATTTGCGGCTTACCTTGTGCCTCCCTGAAACTCGTACAAAGAAGCTTCTTCACTCTACCTTCCTTGTGGCTTTCACATTTTCATACCAATGCATTTCAATCCAGGCTTCTGCCAGGGGGCAGCAGTTAGTTAAAAAGAAAACATAAATTCACATTGATTAAAAATTGCGGCGATTAAAGGAGCACTCAGCGAAGACGTACCGCGCAGTGCGAGAAACAAACTCTGCTCTCGTGTCCTGGTCCTGGAAGGTCCCTTTGCTAATCCTCCGTCCCACAGATTGTGAATTGTCCATTGGGGGGGGGCACCCTTTTTGCAGGCTTATCTCCATTCACATACTCTCACAATGAACCACCCCACCAGGGTGTAAGATAGACAGGTGGGGAAACGGCCCATAGAAACCTACCGCAGCGCCGTGACCCGATTGTGTACTCGTCTGTTTGTGGGTGACTTGTGGGTACCCCCGATTTGCGACAGATGGCGCTGCGGCGAGAAGAAAAAAATTGAAATCGAATTTGCATGGAACTTTATGGGAGAGTGCGCAAAATAAACCGAGGGCACGGCAGTCCTCCATTGAAAATCCACGAGAAATCATCTCCGTCAGTTTAACCGGTCGCCAGCGTTCGCCCACCTGGAGTGAGAGTTCGCGGTGCTCCACATAGATGGCGCCACAGAAAAAGAGAAAACCGAGGGAGACACAATCCGGTCGCTCATTAGGCTCTCGTTTCACCACCTGACTATCTTACACCCTGCACCCCACCATCCAAATGGGGCACTCGGACTCATGCCAGGCTTTTTTAGTGCCTTCTTTCCACCCTCCGTTTCCCTCGCTCCAAGACGTGAGAGGAGGAAAGCCTTGCAGAATATTGGGTTTGGTTGTCTGCCCTTAACGACTTTGGCTGGATTGTTTTAAGAAGGCATACTTATCGTTCACATGCCCATCTCTGTTATTATGAGGTTCTGCATACAAAATATCATTAATTTGCATAATTTAATGACAAAAGCTTTTTTTTAAAGTCTGAATGAAGAATTTCTGTTTTATTGCAATCTTTAGAAGTTTATTGAAACATCAATTTATGTGCTTAACATTATTTTAACATTATTTTAGTGGAATATACTATTTGGTTTACATTTTATTTTGTACCTAAAATGACCGTTTTGCTTCGAGTCTGCATGTAATGTCATTTACTGTGTGAAGGCTCGTGCCTTTGGAGTGTGTCTTTTTACTCTTTGTCTCAGATGTGTTTATGCAAATGAAATGTATTTCAGGCTCTCAAACGACCAGCGGGAGGAGGAAAGACAGATCAACTACGAGAGGTACCGGACGCTCGTGCAGAACGACTTCCTCGGAGGTTGGTCTCTTGGTGGTTTCTTGTTTTCTTTTTATATATAGCATCAGTGAGGGGTTCTGATTAGTCAGTGAAGGTAACTGTCATGAAAGACACCAGCCACCATCGCTGAAGCGTGCCTGCGGTGACCATGCGCTGTCTCAACAGGGCGTTTCCTATTCTCGGTGACATGACTACCTTTTGAAGTTTGGCTGCTTACAGACGTGTCTAGTTGCCTTTCAAGTTGCGTCTACAGGTCGAGTCTGCAGCGCCTCGAGGGTTGCAAAAATCGATTATTTTTGCGGCGGAAAAAAATATCGTAAATCTTTTTTAGAGATATGCCGTGGACGAGAAATTTACCCCCGACCGCTAGCCTGAGGTCTTTAACGTGCACGATGCAGTAGTGATACACAATTACACCACCCCTGCCCATTTTGATCCAGATAGAAATGGGCAAAAGTGGTGATTGATCCCTGGGTTCTGCACACTATTTGAAGATTCCTTCCTCCTGAATCCAATTCTTTGTGTCGAAACTTTTTTTAATTTGAGGTTGCCAAAGGGTTGCGACTACTGCCGTCATGTTTTCCAGCACAATGAGGTTGTGGGGTGGCTCTTCGGCTCCAAGTTAACCGTTGGCTAATCGTGGTTGTCTGGCGCAGTGTCCGAGGACAAGTTCTTGCACCAAATCTTCCTGGAGGAGCGGTATGGCCCCGTCGGGAGGCCCGTGGGAACCACGGAAGAGGAGAAGAAGAAGTAAGTGCCCTCTCTGGCTGTCGGAGCTTTGTTTCCTTTGCTCGTTTGAAGCCGAGCCTCCTATGTCTTTTGGCAAACTCCTTGAATCGTGGACTGCATTTTTTACCGGTTGATTCTAATTAGCACACATTTGAAACTCAAAAAAATGTAGAGCCCTTCCACTTCACGTGAAGATGAAAGACCAGCGAAGCTGTTATCTTTACGACGTCTAGGATGATGCCTAGAGGACGACGTCTAGGACAACCTCAAGGACGACTTCTTGGACGCCTAGAGGACGATGCCTAGGACAACGTCTAGGACGACCTCAAGGACGACCTCAAGCACGACGTCTAGAACGACCATAAGGACAACCTCTCGGATGACCTCAAGGACGACCTCAATGACAACGTCTGGGATGACTTCTAGGACGACGCCTAGAGAAATTCAGCCTTTCCACTCTGGTGAAAACCAGAGTGCCAGTGCAACGCGCCCCCGGTTAACAGAGAAGTTCCAGTTGTTTGGAGACGAGAAAGCCACTTTGAATACACAGGAAGTCAAACAAACATTTTGCAGGGCTCTACTTAATCCAGGAAGTTTGCCAAGATATTAGGGTTGATATGAGGGTTCAGCACACAAAACATTAGTGTTGTGCGAATATTCAAAGTTTCAAATAGGGGTTTCGTATTATACACTTTTAGATATTCGCTTTTGGGATGAACTGCCATATTCATATTTTTCAAGATGTCGATCGAGTCAGGTTACCCCGTTGAACGTGCTTCTTACCGAGTACCGGTGTACTGCGGAGAAGCACCACCTGCAGAGCTCGCTTCCACGGGTGTTGCTTCGCAGTACACCGGTGCTCGGTAAGAAGCGCACTCAACGGGTTAGCCTGCCGTAATCAACACTTGTCTAAGTATGAATGTCGCAATTGCGTGCTTGGAAGAAAAGTACTCTTTAAAGCGGGACAATGCACGCGTACACCTGTTGTATATTAAAAAAAAAAGAATGGAAACTTTGTGAATGTTGATATCTACATTGCAGTAAAATGTTCAAAATTAAACTACGACTGTTATGCAAGAGTATATGTTAGGCAGAGATGCCCCGACAACCTGTGTTGTCAGGGAATCTCTGAAGAAAGAATATTTGCATATAGCAAGAATTGTAACTCCACTCAATAGACTTCTTCCAAAACCGACGCGCCCCATTGCAACGAAATACCACGCAGTGCACTCTGGGAACTAGTTGGCCACTCAGTTTCGGTTTTGAGTGAGCAGGTTCATCTCAAGCTATCACGCCGCGACCGAACGCGCTGATTGCGTTTTCGATTATCTGACTTTTTACGAATGTACAATAGGCTCATTCTCGAGCGATACAGCATGAAGACCGGGGCACTTTCCTTGGTTCCCAAAACACCGGATGTTGTGCGTGCGTATGCAAACATAGTAAGACGTGGCTTTGTCACCTCACCCCACCAGTGCATCTTTGAGCTCAATGTCAGTAATCCCGTCTAGTACCAGTGAACTACAACATAATTTGGTCACTTTGAGCCCGGCACATATTTTGTTTGCCAAACGTCCTCTTCTTGTTACTTCATTGGGCGAAAAGCAAGCTGCATCTTCTCATGATTATCAAAGTTGAGCCCAGCATTGGCGCATTAACTTTTAAGGAAACACAATAAATTCGACCTCACTACTGCACAAAAGTTACTATCATGCCTTCCTCGTGTCATCATATATCTCACACTCAAATTTTATGCTGAAAAGTTTTTGCAAACACTGAGATCGGCTCGCTACGACGCAGGCCCTAACAAGCGTTCCCTACTCCTCGGTAAGCCTTTTTGGGCGAACTTTTCCTGACGCCCAAGATCTGTGCCTGAATGGTGTGTCTGAAATTATTTCGGCATACTCATTCAGGAAGAAAGCAAACACATAATAAATATATTATAGCCATTAGCAACCGTCAAATGCGCTTTTAATAATTTTGTTCGTTTGGCGCACCGCTTAGAGGTTCATGCCCGTCCGGCGCACTTCCAGTGCCTGTATGATTGCAGGATAGCTTTATGCGCATACGCGATGTTGAATATTAGCGGAATCTAAGCGGGTGGAAACTTCACTTCGTGCAGTGCTGCGGGGCAGTAGAGATAAGAGATGAGAAGTGTGTTCAAATGGAGCTTTTCAATGGCGCCTCCAGTTTTACCTCGTGTACTTAGGCGTATTAAGAAAAGCAGTAATCGCAAAAAGTTATATTTCGTTTATGGATGCACAAAACAAACTTCCTGAATAACAATACTAATGTAAAAGCTCGAGCTCGATGTATGCATACTTATTGGTTGCTACAGCTTGCTGATTCGCACACAAGCAATATCCCCGAGCTTCGCAGCGTCGAAATTCTCAGCACTGGCTCGTCCACATACATAGAAAGGCTCAAGTACAAAAATACAACAAGCATGCGTTAAGACAAGCTATACGTCTCGGGCTTGTGCTAAAGCTTCGAGGTCTGGCCATTTAGGTTAGTTTAGAGAGCACAAATGATGCTCTCGGGACCAGAAAGCATGAGATAACGGCCGTTAAAGGGGTACTCCACCGATTTTTTGAGCTACCTCAACTAACTATATTTTCTAAATCCCCGGCCTTTACTCTCTCCGGTATGCTATTTAGAATCGCGAAATTCATAATAGTTATCGCGAAATCGGCAAATGAAAATGATGCAAAAACCAACATTCAAATATACGCGCGCTTTTCAGGGCCGTGACGTCAGTGGCAGGCAGGCTTGCCAGTCTAGCAAGCAGCCAAAAAATAGAATATGCCAATCATTTGTTCCGTGCTGGTGCGCGGGTACTGCAGCGAGCTTCCCAAGCATTCATTTGACGCCATGAAACTGCTTCGAATCAGTTTAAAACGAAATCTACAGCCCAAAGAGTGAACCCCTGCCTTCCACTGACGTCACTTTTTCATTGTTGCCAGTAGAGACTTCGAGCTTGAAAAACACGGTGAGGACCAAAACTGTAAATTCAATAACTTCGCGAAAAAACTATATTTTGACCTAATATTTGGAATACTATTTTCGCGATGTTTGTTTGTTAGTTTAGCAAAATTTCAAGCAAATCGGAGACAATGAAAAAATCGGTGGAGTAGCCCTTTAATAGTCCACGCTCTATGTGTGATTTCTTGTCGACGTGTTGATCAAAACCGAAACCATGCTACTCTCCTTCCTGGCCAACTAGTTCCTAGAGTGCAACGCGCACCGTGTTGCATGCAGGGCTTTATGGAAGTAGTCTATTGGTTATAGCTGGATGTTTCTATAAGGTTTAATTTTATGTCAGATCCGTTTGAACCCCTTGCATACTCATTTTTTTCTTCAAGGAACGTACAGCAAACTTTTATTTTAAACGAGCGATTTGCATTAAAATAAGACAAAAACATTTCCTCGACTTCCAGATGTCGTATATTGCCCTAAGTCAGGACTTCTGGTCGGGGTCCCACTTACGTGCAGACGCTGAAGTTGATAGAATGCTTGCAGCATTTGCATTGTATTTATCACTCCTGTCAATGGCCATCAAACTGTAGAGCCAGGATTAATGATTCTAGGCAGAGGTTCTGGACGCATGGCACCAGCAGCAGCGATGACAACCTCCAGTTTGAGATTGGAAAAATTAAGCTAGCTAAGATCATCTTGACACAAGTGTACATTATCTCTTCCCACCAACCATGTTGAGGTAGCCTGGGGAAAAATTAGAACTACTCTGGTTGCTGAAATGGCTCTGTGAAGCTGCAGTTACAGTCACCGACCTCGGACATGATGGGGTTTGCGCAGAAGTCGTCAGAGAAATCGATTTCGGCCAAAATATAAAAATTCTCGTGCACCTTCCGCTTACGTCGGTTGCTTCTCACTTGCGTGGTGATCGCAGCTTTTGTCTCCATTGTCCTCTTGCTGTATTTGCCACTTTTTTCTGGGTATTCACTGGTGCACTGAACAAAACGCAATCAACACCAGTTGGTACAAATGTTCAGCCGATCGATATTGCTTAGTTACCAGGCCTGTTAGTAGATGGCACTTGCACTCAAAAAACATGAAAACAATGACAAACGAGTAACGCTGGCCAAAGCATGAGATTGCAGTGGCGGCTACTGGACGATGGCAAAACTGGAACATACAATCCGACTATAGTCTCAGTCCAGCCTCTTCATTGTATAAAACGTGAAATCGGGGCTACAAGTCAAATTAAAAATGGTGGAGGTTCTGCTCGAGAACCATGCAAACTAAACCCCTAGAGTTTAACAATGAGTTGCTCGACATCCAAATATTCAGCCGACATACAATTTTTTGGGTTGACTCGTTGCGGGGCCACCGCGGTCCTGCAAAGACGTCTGAATTGTAGAACATCTCCAATAACTTGACCGGCGACTGCTATCAAAGGGGTACTAAAATGGATCTTGAGATCATAGTTTTATGATGCAGACCCGAGCGCCAGGCCCTAAGTGTCCTAGAAACCTCAAAATGACATTCATGCTTATTTTTTTTTCTCATAAAAACACGAGTAAACATCGCAACATGCACCCTTCTTCAGAAATTAATTTTTAAAAAAGGGGCGTGTCACAATGTTTGGTCTTCTTACTTGTTGGTCTCGTTTTCTAATAAGAAAGAAAACCACGCACGATTGTAAATTTTGGATTTCTTGGGCGCTTGGGGCACATGCAGTATTATCTCGAGAGATAGCCTGCCTAATATCAGGTGAAAATAAGGAGCGGGCTATTTTTCAGTGTACAATCGAGAAAAGTTGAAAAAAAAAACACAATTTTTAGATCACATTTTTCTGCCAAACTTGTTGTCATTGTGACGAGGCACAGTGAAGGAAAGATGGCTGTACTTCCGAGACAGGAATGTTTGCTTATATCCCACCATAGCTAACTAGCTGCATCTACGCCGAGGTCTTCATTGATCCGAACACTACGATTACTAGGAGTGGGCTAGCTTTTGGTGTTCAAAAGGAAATAGCAAACCGAGCCAAAAATAGGGGGCGGGTTATCTCTGAGGGTGGGGCATTTCTCGGGGTGTCACGGTAGGCCGAGTCTGTGCCGTGGGGATCTCAAAACCCACTTTCGTGCCGCTTTCAAGCTACGCTTAGGGAGATTTCACCGTAGTCGCGTTTTGCGAGGTCCAGTGCAGCTCGGGTCGCGTCGCTTCTGGTTTTGAATGTCCTATCTTCCTTCCAGGCTGGCCGAGAAGAAGGCTGCGATTGGCTACGTCTATGAAGACAGCACGCCGGTGACGTCCACGTCCGCCGCCGGGCAGAATGAGGATGAGGAGGAAGAGGACAAAGAGGACCTCAGCGACATCGACCTGGGTGAGTCGGTGGTTGGGGAGACGTCTTTTCCAGTCTGCCACGCAATGAGCGACACGTCGCGGGGTCACTTTTTGCACCGAGATGCCGGGACTATGGCCGCCCCACCCTCCATCTCGGCACGGGGATTCTCAAACTTATCGGTCCCGGGGGACACCCAGCTACCTTGAATGGCAACCGAGGAACTGGTACTCGACTTTGACGCAGTAAAGCGGCGTAGAAGCTTTTGGATGTTGCACACGACGGTGCAGGTAAATTGGGAGTGTTTTCACACATGGTTACACGCTAATGGGTCGCTTGGATCCACTCAAACGTTGCTTAATCCAGAAACACGATTTGCTCGGGGGTGGGGACGGTCGAGGGGATTCGGGAGCTCGGAGGGGCCACGATGGAAATTCGGGGAACCTTTGGGTTCCCAAGAACTCAATTCGAGAAGCAATAGTTTAGCAAGAGCAAACTATTTGTACCCTCTGTGGCTATGCATCGCTTCGGGTCGGTACGATTCACCCCAAAGCCCCGAGGTACTTCTTCGTGCCCGGTGGTTGAACGGAGACGTTTCAAGTTCGTGTAAACGCGAGAGGTCTGTCTTGTCTGCAACGTGTATTTTATTTTTTTTCGCCGTCTCTCACTCGTTTCAGACATCACCATCGACGTGAACGAGCTGAACGACGACCAGGCGAGAGAGATGAATGCGAACTCAGTCCTGTATGGCATGGAGGATACGGACTTCATCTCGTGAGTGGAATTTGCCCTCCGCAACTTGGAACCGTTGTCGCCGACGGGATGGGAACGGTGGGAGGGCCTTCCTGTTGTCCCGCCTCCAGCGTGAGCTTCCTGTCTTTGACGACGCTTTGGCATCTAGCGAGCCTCGATTGTGCGTGCGCAGCCAAAGCGCGGTCGAAGGAAGCGAGCGCGTCCTCCCGTCCCGTCGGTGATTATGGCGTGCGGTTTTGTTTGCGACACCAACGACGCTTCTCTGTTTCCTCTCGTGGTGGAAGGTTTCTGCATCTGGACAAAGAAGAGCAGGAGCGGCTGAAGCAAGCCAGAGAGCTCGAAGAGGAAAAAGCCATGTACTCGGTGAGTGGTCGGCTTCGCTGCCTCGAGGAATACTACGGGTGCGTTACAATGAGGGCTTACACGATCGAGCAATGGTGGCTCGTCCTTTGCACCTCTAATCCTCGGAGGCAACCAGACGTCTGGTTGCCGCCGTCGCTCATAGATGGCGGCAACCTTTCCAGCTATCACAGAGCAATGGATAGTTAGGTGAGCTGGTGAAAATTCATTGTAGGAAACAGCGTGCAAAACGCACAAGGACAAAGAAACACACGGGACGAGCGCACAGCTTCGCTGGTCTTCCTTCTTCACCAGAGTGGAAAGGCTGAAAGTTTTTCCTTCAACGGCTATTGAACTCGCATGATTCCATCTCTATCGAAAATATATAAAAATCAAGCAATAAATATTCACGAATTTGTGAGTATCAGTTATATCTAAACCAGTGGCACCGCATCTGCTCCCGATTTTTTACTGCTTCAAAGCGCCGTGACCGTTGGCAGTCGCAGCTGTCTAATCAAACTCTTCCACTCAAAACATTGCACTGGGCCCTGGCATTTGCTTCCACCACATATTTGCTGGTAAACTGAGTGTAAGGTGTGTTATCAATTGTTTCCAAACAGCTCGCTATTCTAATGGACGGCAATGTTACGGCGGTGGACGTTCGTTTGAAGTTCATTGGTTTCGCAGCAGATGACTTTTGTCCAGCAGACGATAACCGGTTTCTCCGGACCCCGCATTCGGCGCAGTGACACACACTCACCCTTAATGTGACGTCAGGTGCCTCACTCCTGCGCTCCTATTGGGTCATCGGGGCTGTAGCCTCCACAGTTCGCCAAGTTATCGTGAAACAGGGTATAGCCACGATAAAGACCCGATATGCATTTTTGATTTTGTAACGAAAAGTTGAAAAAAAGTAATGCGAAAAGTAATCAATTACTTTCTGGTAATTTTTTCGATTACTTTTGTGGTGCAGTAATTGATTACTGTAATCATTTACATTTTTTAATAAAGCAATTGTAATTGTAATCGGTTACTTTTTTTAGGAACGTGTACAAGACTGGATACTATTTACTAAGTACTAGTTACTCTTCATCTTATTGGAAGTTTGCCAGCTAAGTAGATGAGCATTGACGAGAACATTTCATTCCTGCTCCCTTCCTCGACCAAAAAATCGTGTTAATTAGTGGTGACATCCACTTGTTTAAAAATGCCGTCACTGCAATGCTTTTGGTGCCTGAGTAGAGTCGATCGATCCTCTTCAGGGGAGGAAGTCTCGGAGAGAGAGGAGAGCTCTGAGAGAGAAGAAACTGAAGAACCGCGTAGTCACCAGCCCACCCAGGTGAGAACCAAAGGAATCACTTGGCCCGTCCCACCGGAGTTCCGCACTTGTCCATTTGTGTAGAAGTGTTCGGTGATTGACTGCGGACCCCTTGCCATTTCTCCACAGTTATGCAGCGAGGGAGAGTCCAACTTACAAGCCTTTCAGGTATGTCAGTACGCTTTTAGCTTCTCCGCTTTCGTTTGTTTTGCACTTCAGCCGCTAGTTGCTTTCGGATCCATTGGGGTCGCGAGCTTGTTTTATTTCAGTTCAAATGTTTTTGCTTGCTATCTATATTTGTGAAACGTAAATTGGACAAAGGTGCTGAAGGTGGATGAATTCATTTTCTTTTACCGCTGCCGGTTGAGAATACAAAGAAAAGAAAGAGCGAACACGTCACAAACCCGATGCGTACCCCGTTTCGTTATAGTCCTTTCTTTGCGTTCTGAGATCGCAAAATAACAAACGCAAACCGCTCCTTCCACTTACGCATACTCCCCGATGCGCCGTAGGTCGGGTTACCATAGTGTGTCGAAAGGACGACTGGAGGCGCCGCTTGTTTCCGGAATGGTCCATTGGTTTCCTTCGGGTGTGCAAAAGACCGTTGGGGCCGAACTCTACGCAGGGCCCAGTCCAGCTCTCGTTCGAGGTCGCGGTCTCCACAAAACGCGGGCGAGATCACCTTCATCACCAGTTTCGGCGGCGAAGCCTCCGAGGACGAAGACGCCACGGGGACCAAGAAGGCGGCGGTGAAACCGGCCGCCACTGCAGCTAGCACCACAAAAGCCTCGTCCAACAACGCGCCCAAGGCGGCTTCCACTTCGAAGGGGGCCGGCAGGCAGGACAACAGCAGCTCGTCCAAATCAAAACCCAGGGAGAGGTCACGGTGAGGAGACACATCTCACCAATTTTCGAGCTTTTACTCGTTTAATTAAAGCCAAATTTTGTCATCTTCCTGGCGTTTACTTGCTTAGTTACAGTCAAATGTTGTCAGTCACTGAGGGTTTCCCCCGCTTAATTACACTCAAACATTGTTATTTAGTGAGTGTTCACTCTTGTAGAGCGGAACGTCCTTGGCATCGCAGTTGACAAAGTCCAAGTCTCAATCTCTGCTTAGTGCTGGCCAGCAGTGTACCATTTGGTAATGTTTCAGTACTTGCTCCCCTGTAGGAAATTAACATTTTCTTTATATTAGTTTTTCTTAAAAAAACCTCCACCCGTGAAATTAAAGTGCAACAAACACTTTGAAGGCACTTTCGTGACACTTGCACAGATTCCCGAGATCTTAATCTTGACACAGAATGTGTTACTAGGCTGTAATGAAAGAGTTTTGTACAGGAATTGACTAGACACTTAGCGCCGCGTCGCCATTTGGCTGGATCTAATGTCCTCGCCGATCGATTATGAGCCCCAGACTGACGCCGACGCTGCACTCGCGTTTGTCCAGTGCCCGCGCCGGCTTCCGACTGATGACATAGAAAACCCAGCACTGCGACCTGTTTATCTTAGTGTTCTCGATTGAGTGCAGCCATACATAGGGTAGGAGAGTGTGCAGGAGGCATGGTGTAAGATATATATACAGTTGAACCTCGATGTAACGAAGTCGGTAAAATTCGCAATTTACTTCGTTACATTGAAATTTCGCTAAATCGAAATTTGGCTTTAGCATGCAAAAAAAATTCCGAAACATTTTACGGGTATGAAAACTCACCGAAAATGACATTTATTTAGGGGCAAAGTAGTCCGCGAGTTTTGCTTGCGCCTTGTCCGACAGTAGCAGCGGCGTCATACGGCGTTCGAGCGCCCAGAGCGCTTGCACGGCATCTTGCTGCCCATGCGACGCCGTGTACCTCCTCAGTACGTCCGTTGCGTCGAGCACTTCCCGAGTGCTCGTGATCTCGGCAGTTTCTTCAGGATGGCGTCCAAAACGTTTGCTTTCACATCCAAAGAAAGAACTTTACGTTTCCCTATGGCGGCAAGCACGTGAGTGAACCGCCCGGTTGAAAAATAAAGCTGCTTAGGCGGTGTCAATGTTTCCAACCTACACAGCACTCTTGACCGCACAGTTTACTTGCACCCTTGCGCCCACAGTGTGCTTGCGCCTTTGCTTTACATCACGCTCGCAAGACGATAATCGGTCTTCTCGGTCTTCTCCTAGATGGCACTGCCCGCGCGGTCGCGCCATCACGTCGCTCCCCCGCTGAAGTTGGCTCCCGCGCTACCCGCGGTACAGTGAACTATGATGATCAGTGAATGTCAGTGGTGATGCTGCTATGCCATGTTAACTTTTTGCTCGGCATTTTCTGGCCAGCCCCGCGGAATCCGCTTTGCTCCACGCCTCGCCGGCGCTACCGGCGCCGCATCCTCGGGCAGCCTAGGAACGTTGGAAGGCCTGTCCCCGTGAAGTAACCTAGCAAGCGCTCGCGTTTGCGCATAATTTTTTTATTTAACCACAATTTTTTTGCGAAGTTGTTTTTTAGAGTATTTATTTATTGCCTTCTATGGCAATGGCGCTTCATTATATTGAAATAGCAGCAAAATAGACTTCGTTATATAGAGACTAAAAATACATGGAGTCTATGGGCAAGAAATTATGAAAAATAAAATACTTCGTTAAATCGAGGATTTCGTTACATTGAAGTTCGTTATATCGAGGTTCGACTGTATATAGAACGAGAGAGAGAGAGAGAGAGAGAGAGGTGAGGACACAGCACGGCGAATGCTGCGACACTATCGATGAGGTGAGGTTTTATTGGTGCACACCCGAGTAGCCTCAGTTGTTAGTGTCTCTGCCGTCCAGACAATGCAACTGAAAAAAAAAAAAAAATGAAAAAAAGGTGTCTTGTTCTTGTGGCATTTGGGCACGCGCTTTTTGCTCGGAACGTCTGCCGCGACCTTGACGGACGCCGGCTGGAATGCCGCACCAGGTATCTCTCCACTTCGACGCGTTCGTAAAACTGTTATTGCTGCTGTCGAGACACGAAGCTAATGTCAACGACGAAGCAGTAACTGAGCAACACGCGTAGCGCGAGTGCCAAGTTCTGCAGGACGTGGCGCACTCGAAAAATGACTGCAAAAAATGAAAGACGTTTACAATCCCCTGTAACGCCAAATTAGAGCACAGCTCTTGAGGAGGAGGAGGGGAAATTACGGAAAGGAAGGTATGCCCCTCCTCCTCCCCTCCCATTTAGCGGGAAGGTTTCACTAAATTCCCTGCTAAATTTAGCAGGGATAATTTTCCGCTAACTTTAGCGGGGAATTTTTCCCGTTAATTTTGATGGGGAGTTTTTTCCGCTAAATTTAGCGGGGAAATTGCAAATTGTAATGCAAAGCGCAGTGACGTCACTCATGACCATCGTGACGTCACATGTGATGTCACGCGTGACGTCATTATGGGAAACATCCCTTTATGCAGCGTGCAGTTACGCCAATATCGTCGCAGCTAAAGCCGGAAACAGGCGCCTAAGAACTGCATTCTAAAACAAGCTTGTCTTTCATAAAGAGGCGTAGTAAACCGGGCCCACATGTCGAGTCGTCTGGTGGCGCTGCTTGCGAGCAAGGCGGGAAAAGGACTTTATCTGGCAGCTGCAATTTGCACAGTGCCCACACCTATATATTTATATAACATATATCTTGCACTGCGGTAGGCGGCAAGGGGACCGACAGTGAGCACGTGCTTCGGAGGAAATAGGGAGATGCAAAATAGCAGATTGCAGCTGGTGCGTGCGACCACGAGAGACGCAAGCTTCGCATTGTACTTCCACTGTAGTGCTAGATTTGGCAGGGCCTTCTTCCAGAGACAATGTGTCAACGATGGTCGCGCTTTCGACGCACGAAATATGTGCAGAGTTGATCCGTGCAACGTCATCTTGAAGTAGCACACATTACATTCTGCGTTGGTACCACTGCCTTTGTTTCGGTAATGCGAGAAAGATGCAAATTTGGTTCATGAAAGATTAGCAGTCTGAAATGTATTACACAGGCAGAGAGGCCGTGACGCGTCTTCTGCTTTTGGATGGAGTATCGCGGCGATTGGGCATTGCGACAACATTGCGAATGTCCCCAGGTCTCGAGGCCGCTACAACAGCTCGACCCGGTCCTCAAACCATGGCAGAGGGGCTCGGCCTTCGCGCTGGGGTTCGTCCAGCTCCAGGTCAAGGTCGCGCTCAAGGTCGTCGTCGAGGGGGAGGAGGGACAAAAGGAGGAGAAGGAGCCGCAGCTGGGAAAGGTCGTACAGGACGCAGCGCCGAGGCACTCGGCCCTCTCCGAGGTCGAGGTCGAGGTCGCGACAGCGGAACAGCAGGTGGAGGTCACCAAGCCGCTCAAGGTGAGGTCTGGAGTCGCTCAAAGTCTACACCCTGAGTGTCTGCACTTCTTTTCCCTCGACAGCCATTCGAGAAAGATGGATCTTCCTCGAGATCAAGTTTGAGAGCCAATGTGGCTTAGGTAGCAGCACTAGTGAGGTCCTTTAGGTTACTTTTTTCTTACTTGCCTACTGATTGAAAGGACATTAAAGTTTCCAAATACGGACGGATTAATTGTCCTCAAACACTGAATTCCCTGTCTGGCTGGGCGATAAACCACTTCTCCGCTTGCTCAACTGAAGTTTGACCGGACACCTGAGCAGATAAAAGGGAGCAGGTGTTACAATGGGAGTTTCTGGAGTTTATTAAAACAAAAGCTTGTTATAACAGAACTTTGTTACAAGATCTTATAAGAAGCTTTAGTTAGAAGAGTTTATTAAAACTGAAGTTTGTTGTTATAGAACATTGTTGCAAGAGGCTTTGGGTGGTTAAAACAGCAGTTGTTAAAACAGGATATAGCGAGAGAGCAAGGGTTCGTTAGAGCCTCAGTTCGTTAGCGAAAAGCTTTGTTGCAAGAAAACTTTATTTCAAAAGAAATTTGTTACGATGACTCTTTGTTGCAAAAGAACTTTCTTATAACAAAACTTGGTTTGAAAAGAATGTTGTTGTAACAGAACTTTGTTATAACAGAACTTGGTTGCACAAGAATTTTGTTATAACTGAACTTAGTTGCACAAGAAATTTGTTATGACAGAACTTTGTCACCCGAGAAGTTTGTTATCGGAGGCTCTCGCTGTAACAGTTCGTTACAAGTATGGATCAACTCGTGCCTGCTAGATCTAAGGGGGCGGTCTTGCGCAGGTCGAGATCGAGGTCGAGGCGCCGGGGCTCCCGCCGGCGGTCGTCCTCTTCCCCGCCCAAGGGCCGGCGTTCGCCGTCTCCTCCGAAGAGGCTGCCGAGCCCTCCCCGCAAGTCCTACTACCGGCACAGTCTGTCGAGGTCGCGCTCGAAGTCGCCCAGCAGCGAGGCGGAGCGCAAGTCGGGGACCAGCGAGGACGACAACAGCGAGAGCTCCCGGGGTCAGGCGGGGGCAGGTGGCGCCAACGGGGTGCGTCGCACCTGGCCCGCAGCCGATGCGCTGAAGTGAGTCGGGCCGACGGCGTCTCACAACTTTAAACTTTTTGCCATCCGCCAGTATTTTTTTTTTTAGAGCGATAGCTTTATACGGGAGTTTTGCACAGACCTTACTTGCTTGTATTGGTCGCGCCGTAGCGAGGCCATGGGAGAGTGTTTTTGACGGGGTGCAGCTATTGGTTAGACATCATAGTATGGGTGACCAATGGCATTGTGCCGTGAAGAATGAGTTAACTGGGGGTGGCGGACGTAAGCGGTGTGCTAACATCCCTTTCCCCCCCCCCCCGGCTGCGTAGGAACGAAAACTCTATAGTCTGACACGCACTGCATATATTAATAGAATAATCTAGTAGATTTGGAGGCATTGCGAAATGCTGCACATTAGAAATATCATCAAGTGCTGTCGCACCTTTGTAATTGACAAAATGTCTAAGCCACGCAATTTTTATTTTTTTTAGGAAAGGTGGGGGGGGGGGGGGGGGGGGGGTTACCTGATTTGTCTTTTGACCATCTTGCCTTTGAATAACCTTTTTCTTTTTTAGAGGTTGGTCAACGGCACTGTCACTTGTGGCATGTGGTGCTGCGTGGACTTTTCCTCACTTTATCCACATTTTTTTGCACGTTTTTGAGCTGTGCCTTTGTGGAGCGCAAAGTACCTACTGTTTTCTGAAGCTGAAGTAATAAGGCAGGCAGGATTAGGTTCCTGAAGACGCGAGAGTGAGGCGACTAGGGATTGGGCGTCGCAAAAGTCTTCTATCGTGCCCTGCCTGTTTGCCACAATGTTCTATTCTTAACTCTCGGCATAGGTGTCAAAGTTTCCAGCTTAAAAAACAGATGCAAAGAAAAAAATGTTTTTTTTAGACGGTTTGAAGGGGTAAAAGATGCCATAAAATAAATTTATTGCTTAAAAAACAAAAAAACAGATAGAGCTATATTTACAGGGCAAAATGAATTTGTAAGTGGCGTCCGTGACCGGCACAGTCTATCACGTGGTGCTTGCGCTCTTTCGGGAGCTTCCTATGGGCTCTAAAGCTTACTTATTGAACTTAGTTTTTTTGTGGCACTTAAAGAGTACTAAGTAACTTTTAGAGCCCATAGGAAGCTCCGGAAAGGGTGGAAGCACCACGTGACTATAGCGGCCATTTTTCTGCGGGCGCCAACTGCAAATTTGTTTCGCGCCGTAAATATAGCTCTAAAAAAAAATTTTTTCTTTCATTGTAAATTTTTTATTTTCTTTTGATCCAGGTTGTTTGAAAAAAATAGTTTTTTTCCTTTGCATTTTCAGCACTGCGATCTGCTTTCGTGTTGTGGATTTTGTTTCTCAGCATCTGTTGGTACTAGTTTTCCTTCTTTCTGCATTGCCTTCTCTCAATTGCAAAGTTGTCATTTTTTTTTTTTTTTTTCTACCAGTGTGCTTCCAGAACTTGGGGTCTTAATGTCCCTCCTGCTTTTCGAAGTATTTTAGGTCCGTTCTTTTGCAGGTGAGATGCTGCTGGTGAGGTTGCACTAGTATATCAGGGGTTGTGCAATGCTTTCTTTTGTGTTGTTTTCTTACACACACTGTTCTGAAGCAATCTCTCACTCTTTAAGGGATGGGTGGTAGTACCTATTTTCTTCTCGTTTTTCTAGTTTTTTTCTAAATTTTTTGTCTTCAAACATGGGTGTACATCGGCCTCCCTGCTTGTTTTTAGTCTAATTAAATCTGCCACTGTGGGGTGAGCAATAAATCAAGATAAAGCTTAAGGTGTCTCCTGCAATGGGATGAAAATGCTGTGAAACAAAACGGAACAGCATTAAAGAGAACTAAACTGGCAGTCTCCCAATCCAACAAACTGTGACGGTATCTGGGGAATGTGCATTTTGTATCCACCGTGCATTGTCAATACTTTATACTAAGCAGTGCTTAGTCTAGGCGAAATCGTTTTAAACTCCCTCATCTGTCTAGTTAGTTTTTTTTTCTTCTGCGCACACAAACGTGAGAGGGAACAATACAAGTCCTTGATCTTGATTTTGGCTTGCAACAGCTATGTTAGTTTCAAAAACTGCTACCTCATTTCGAGTGTGCAGCGGCTAAGACAAGTGTCTTCTTTCCAGAACCAACGTCTCTGTGGGTAAACCCGGTCCTGCCTCCAAAGTCAGTAAGATCTTGGTCCTGCTTTCAAATTGTTGCTCCTCTTTCTTTTTCTTTTGTGGATTTCTTTTTTTTTTTCTTTCTTTCTCTCTATTTTGTTTGGAGCATCAATTGGGGGGGATTCCGACAAACTCTGGGGTGGTGTCCCGTTGCCAAAAAGAACTTTGAAGAAGTTTGAAGCAGCAACCTGCAAAGGTCCTCCTCTTACTCGGGAACAACTGCCGAGGGTCACGAGCTTGTGCATGAAGCTTGGGCAGCTTGGGGTCCTTGCTAACGCTGCGTGACTCGCGCCATTCTCGTTTCACGTTGCGTGATGGCATACAAACGCGGTCTTAGTTTGTAGCAAGAAGTGGATGTGATACAGTACAACCTTGTTACAACAAATCTTGTTACAGCAGTCGTTGGGTCATAAATAGGGTTCCGTGTTTTCGGATAAGCCCGAAAAGCTCTGGAAAACACACACGGGTAAAATTTGCGTCAGTTCGGATGTATCCGAAAAACTAGAAATTTTGAGGTCATGGTGGCAAAATGAAAAGAAAAAATTATGATTTTATGAGTTAACAATCTTTAAAAATGGCCACTTTAATTTTTTTTTTTCATCTCAGGTTTATGACAAAATGGAGTTTCCCTGTTTATTTCGTCAAGGCCCATACAGTACAGCGGGTCAAAATACTGTACTTGTTGGCCACTACAGAAACCACTGTCCTGGTTTCCAGTTTGGACCATTCTATTTGTGCTTCTTAAATAGAGGAGGTGTCGTTAACTGTGAAAGAAACCCATAGATTTTATAAAAGGGTAGCTGAAGCTTTTATGCTTCCCAATGAGTTTGGCTATTTCAGAGTACTGATATTTATTGAAGCAACACTTGTTTGCAAGATTTGTCGTAGGGCAGTTAGTATAGTTCCAATTACAAGGGCGATTGGCAGTAGTACTAACTTTTATCAACTTGGAGTTTGTTTTTGTCCAAAGAATATTTATCTTTGTTTTGAATTAAAAAAAAAAAAAATTGGCAACAGAGTAGAATTAAACTCAGAATTTTGGAGAATTGTGAATCTAAGAAAAATAAACTCCAATGAACCTTGAATTTCTAGCGACAAAGAAAACTCAGAAAACCAACTTCCCAATTTTTCGCGAAAACTCTGAAAGCACAGAATCCTAGTTATAAGACACTGGTTTGTGAAGTTTGGATGGTCATCCTATCTGTGCCGTTGAGCCAGCTTAGCTTACTACAGATTCTGTTATATAACATACATTCGGATATAATGGACTATACTAGGGAGTTTCTAAGTAGTTCGCCATTCCAGTATAGGGGACTCTCGGACAGCAGTCATTATTTCGGACATTATGCGGCTTTTGTTTTGCAGCGGTGGCATCCGTTTTGCGAACGGCTGTCATGGCTCTCAGCGCCTCGTGAACTTTGTACAACCCAAAGCGCACAGTGTTGACGACCATCGGTGCAGCTCAATAAAACATTGATACCTTTCAAAGTTCATTAAACCAGTTCTTTTCGTATGTTCATTCACATTTTGTCAGTCTCGCTTGTTAGAACAGACTGCAGTCACAATCTATGTCAAAGTCTGTAGTAGAAGTACCCGCGCTCTGCACACTCCTTTTGCAGCAGACCAAAATCATCATGCCATGAGGTCTGTTATAATGAGTTTATGATGTAGTGCATTCCTTCAAATTGGATATCCTCTACCATCAGCCGTGTCTTTTGACGGCTCAATTGCCAGAAAGAAGTGGTTCGCATTGCCCTCTTTGCGTCGAGGTTTACCTTAGCCCAAGCTTCCGCAACGCTTCAGCTCCCGTCTCACGGATATTGCTTGGTGCACCAAATCACCCTTGACTTGCAGCAAATAGAGCGACTCACTTCAGTTGTCACCATCACTAAACGTGCAATGTGCCCTTTGCGGAACAACTTTGGTTTTCGGATGTGGTGCAAGCAACGCTATTTTTCTGTGGGTGTTGGGAGAGAAGCGGAAGACGTCTTGCTCAAAGTCTGAAACTGTTCTTGTAGGGCGGCGCTCCGTCGGGTCTGACACCGCGGGAGAAGCTGAAGCGCAAGATGCAGGCTGCCCTCAACAAGCAATGTGAGTGTTTTGCCCCGAGTATCTCGCATCCAAAAGTTTGAAATGCATAAAAGTCAAACACTGCAAAAAAAACAAAAACATCCAGGTTCAAGTTCTGTGTCAATGGATGCCTATTCGCGACTTTGGCAAAACAGACGGTACCTAGCGGAAAAACTGAACCGGCTGAGACGGGTCCTTTCACCATTTCTGCTCATCGCCTGTGACTTCCGTGATTGCACGTGGTCGGCGGCTAATGCTATAGTGGCCGAAGTAAAGCGAATGGAAGTTGCGTTGGTTGTGTCTAAGGCAACAAACACGGCAGCAATCGCAGGGCTCCAGGGAAAACAATGACTCATAGTGGCCTAAGTAACTAGGTGTGCCTTGCATTGCTTCTCACGTCGTGCAGGGCAAACAGTTGTCCCAGCGACCGTCGTATCGTCTAGTTGCCCGGGTCGCTCTGATCGCAACCTACGCAACCGCATGAACCAGGCATTGTGCGTTTATTAACATTCGTCGGCGCTGTAAAAGCACAGTAGGTAGTCCTTTCTCTGCTTCTCTGAAGAAGGCCAAGCCTCCGGAAGTTCGCCTATGCCAACACACCGCCGCAGGTTTGAACATAGCGGACGAAAATCGTGGCAAACCGTTCCGAGGTCAATGCTTACCCGCCGAAACCCGAGTGTCGTGCGTTTAGCTGGTGCACGACACGGCACGACCGGTTTTCGGTTGCCATCTGTGCTCGAGAGTGGAGACCCCTATTGTCCGCTGGAGTCACGAACATGCGGAGACGTTGGTCTTCCTTCTAACGAACTCTCGTGGAGCGACTGCCGACCTGGGGCTTTTGATGGGCACTGTAGCATTGGGTCTAGCTCCGTTTCTGACTAATCGGATTATCCAATGTGATGATTGTAGGCAGCTCTTGCAGAGCTCCGCCGTAATGGTCTTCCGAACAAAGTGCTGGATGTGAGCTGAGGGTTTCGCGTATGGCTGTTGAAAGGCAACAAGCAGTCTGCTGGAGCTGTCGTTGAGTTTGTGAGCAGACCCGTGCTTGTTTGCCTTGAGAGACAGCTAACGCTTACGTTTCTGTCTCGTCTTCCAGACAAAGCCGACAAAAGGGCTGAACGTGAAAAGCAGGACAAGATTCTGCAAGAACGCTGGGTGAGTCCCAGGGGCACCCGTTACATTCCTTTGAAGCCATGTCAACTTGGGCTGACTGGCTAAATATGCGCTCAGAGTTCATGGCTACTTATGCAGGATACCAACAAAAACAAAAACACCTTGTGGTTCTTCGTGCTTGAGTATGCCCTTGTGATATTATTGAAAGTTCTCAGAGTCCTTCACATACTTTTTCTCTACATCCACAATAGCCGAACTTGAATTCCACTGTCTGTAAGCATGATCTCGTTTGTTTGAATCTGCTGTTAGTTCTGCCGTAACTTGTTTTGTTCATGTGCCGGATGACCTGCATTTGTAAAAAGTATGCTGTTCTACACTTCACCATGCGCAGCACCAATGAAGGTGCAACCCCACCATTCTTTTTTGATGGTTTATAACTTTCTTTTTATGTTTTCTACATTCATAATAAAGTAAAATTAAAGGCCCATTATTTAGCTATACTGTCGAGATCGGTTATAACGAAGTCCGTTATACCGAAATAGTGGCTACAGCGAAGCGATCACGACATTCCATTCCCTTTTGCACTTCGTTAAAACCAGTCGGTTATAACGATATAGCGGATATAGCGAAGTGATTTCCGATTCCCGATGACTTCGTTATAACCGGTGTCGACAGTACTTTAATGTCGTAATACTACATTTATTCTTAGCTGTTTATTATTTTGCTTTTAATCGGCCATGATATCGGATAGTGAGCACTTTTATTTCTCGAGTGAAAATGTTCTGACATCCACAATAACTTTGGGAATGGTCTGTGGGATATAATGAATTAAAGAAAGTAAGCAATGACCTGTGCACTGTGCAGAGAATGTAATTAAAAAAAAAGAAATTGAATAATGAAGTTTGAAATGGTATTATTTTCACGTGCTATGAAAACTGAATGACGTCCACTAATGAAAATTGCAAAGCATTTTTTGATATTACATTTTCCAGTACTTGCCGGTCGATAGATTGCACGTGAAATTTAGTATTCAGCCTAAAGCTTTTCTCATTTTTAAGATCAAATACAGACGGCAACATCTGTTCGAGAATAGCTTGATGTGCATTTGTCGTCGTGTGCCACAGAAACGGCGCCAGATATTTAAGTGTCAGATGCCTGGATGCCTGCAGTGAGCAAGCCAGAGTTGTCAGAACAGCAAGCACAAGGCTGCAGGTGGACTGCAGCTGCTTTTGTGCACATTCCACTGTGCGTCGGTATGCATGCTTGAAGCAGTCCGCATGAAATGGACGACATAAAAGAGGGGCGATTCCGCCGCGTTTGCCAAATCAATTGAATATTTTTTCATCCATTTCAGAACTCATTTTCACTTAGTCCAAACCAGAACTCTTCTGGGCTCTGGTTTGGACTCTTCTTTTGGTGCAGAAGTTAAATCTGCAGTACTGAAGAGTGCTGCAACCCAGCACTGTTTGCACTCTGTAGTTTGTCGAAGTCATTCCATGGATAGCAATGGCTGACTGTTGATGCATGCCCTCCACAAACTTCTATGGTTCAGTGTGCCAAAAGCAGAAGAAGGATTTTCTGCCCACATGGCTCGAACGATCAACTCCATGGTCTCTCTAAATATGGATATTTAAATTTTGAGTCGTCTTTCCTGGTTTTGGGAGAATGGTGTCAAATGCTACTGCTCCAAACTCGGTAAATCTGTAGGTGTTAAAAACATGTTGAACAGACAGTATTGCTTTACCTTGTTTTTTATCTGGCTTGTGTTAACACGTTTCTTTTTCTCATTTTAATGCAATTAATATAATAAAGAAGAGAGCAGTGAGGGTAATTGTGATATTTGTTACCTTCAACCTACCCAATCATTGTTTTTAATTAGCATGAAATCGTTGACATGTCCTGACTTTATTTTTTATTTATCTTTTTACCCTCAAGGCACAAAGTACATTACAAATCCCTAGAACAGTTTCTAAGCCCACTGTAGATGCATGCAGTTAACTCATGTTAATGTAACCACTTTTTTTTTTCTCATAAGGTGGTCATAGAGCAAACATGTCATTTACAGTGAGGGGGGATAGGCATAAAAAAATGAGTTACAATGCACTTCAGTCCTGGTTTTATAACTGCTAATTCTATCACTTGCTCTCAGAGTTCATTAACCATTAGGGGAAAACAACCCTGAACACAACAGTGCAATGCCTTTTTCGGGACTTGTCAATGAAGCGCACGACAAAGTCAACTTTTACTGCTAACCTGTGGGAGTTCCAGCCACTTCTCACCCGGAAGGAAATCTATGGTAGGCTTCATGTTGCTCGGTGCCCATATTAACAAGATGAGAATGCACACTTTTCTGAGAACTCTTCCACCGAATGTCAGTTGTGCCCACATAAACAACTTGCCAGAATAACAAACATGTTTTACATGCAGAAAGGCTGCAGAAAGGTCTGTGGTCGTGAAAAAGGAATGTTAGATTTATTAGGATTTAAGATCTAGCATGTCATCATGATTACGAGAACAGTACATTCATACATTACTGTTATGGTTCAGCAGTGCAATGTACAAGTTGTTTGCAAGAAACATGAAGCGGTATGCTTTTCCCCAAAATGAAGACCTCAAGTGCCTAAATATGAAAACTTAACTTTAAGCCGTATATTTTTAATCTTTTTGGCGGAAAATAACATTTGTCGTTGACAGTGGATGCTATTTGTTTGCACATATTCGTGAGGTCCCCGGGAAACCATTTGCCCATTCTAAATTTTTTAAAGTCCTTTTGAACTTTTCAGGCAGACGGCATTTTATTACATTCTGGAACTTTGGCACCTTATCTTGACCGCCAGCCTCACATTTGGACCCCAAGTCTAAGCTTATTTTCACGAAAAGACACTCCGTTTCCGTCACAAGTGCCATAGTAATAGAACGCGTCAACAAACTAGCACAGGATACATTGAGGCATGCAAAGACGTTCATCGTTAAATTAACTTACGGGGATCGCCGCAGTAGTGACCTTGCGACCAGTGTTGGAGGAACCTAGTGATATTTGTTTTGTTCTTTGTTTCGACTGCCAGCCTCACATTTGGACCCCGAGTCTAAGCTTATTTTCACGGAAAGACACTCCGTTTCCGTCACAAATGCCATAGTAATAGAATGCGTCAACAAACTAGCACAGGATACATTGAGGCATGCAAAAACGTACATCATTAAATTAAGTTTTGGGGGCCGCCGCAGTAGTGACCTTGCGACCAGTGTTGGAGGAACCTAGTGATATTTGTTTTGTTCTTTGTTTCGACTGCCAGCCTCACATTTGGATCCCGAGTCTAAGCTTATTTTCACGAAAAGACACTCCGTTTCCGTCACAAATGCCATAGTAATAGAATGCGTCAACAAACTAGCACAGGATACATTGAGGCATGCAAAAACATACATCATTAAATTAAGTTACGGGGGCCGCCGCAGTAGTGACCTTGCGACCAGTGTTGGAGGAACCTAGTGATATTTGTTTTGTTCTTTGTTTCGACTGCCAGCCTCACATTTGGACCCCGAGTCTAAGCTTATTTTCACGAAAAGACACTCCGTTTCCGTCACAAATGCCATAGTAATAGAATGCGTCAACAAACTAGCACAGGATACATTGAGGCATGCAAAAACGTACATCATTAAATTAAGTTACGGGGGCCGCCGCAGTAGTGACCTTGCGACCAGTGTTGGAGGAACCTAGTGATATTTGTTTTGTTCTTTGTTTCGACTGCCAGCCTCACATTTGGACCCCGAGTCTAAGCTTATTTTCACGAAAAGACACTCCGTTTCCGTCACAAATGCCATAGTAATAGAATGCGTCAACAAACTAGCACAGGATACATTGAGGCATGCAAAAACGTACATCATTAAATTAAGTTACGAGGGCCGCCGCAGTAGTGACCTTGCGACCAGTGTTGGAGGAACCTAGTGATATTTGTTTTGTTCTTTGTTTCGACTGCCAGCCTCACATTTGGACCCCGAGTCTAAGCTTATTTTCACGAAAAGACACTCCGTTTCCGTCACAAATGCCATAGTAATAGAATGCGTCAACAAACTAGCACAGGATACATTGAGGCATGCAAAAACGTACATCATTAAATTAAGTTACGGGGGCCGCCGCAGTAGTGACCTTGCGACCAGTGTTGGAGGAACCTAGTGATATTTGTTTTGTTCTTTGTTTCGACTGCCAGCCTAACATTTGGACCCCGAGTCTAAGCTTATTTTCACGAAAAGACACTCCGTTTCCGTCACAAATGTTATAGTAATAGAATGCGTCAACAAACTAGCACAGGATACATTGAGGCATGCAAAAACATACATCATTAAATTAAGTTACGGGGGCCGCCGCAGTAGTGACCTTGCGACCAGTGTTGGAGGAACCTAGTGATATTTGTTTTGTTCTTTGTTTCGACTGCCAGCCTCACATTTGGACCCCGAGTCTAAGCTTATTTTCACGAAAAGACACTCCGTTTCCGTCACAAATGCCATAGTAATAGAATGCGTCAACAAACTAGCACAGGATACATTGAGGCATGCAAAAACGTACATCATTAAATTAAGTTACGGGGGCCGCCGCAGTAGTGACCTTGTGACCAGTGTTGGAGGAACCTAGTGATATTTGTTTTGTTCTTTGTTTCGACTGCCAGCCTCACATTTGGACCCCGAGTCTAAGCTTATTTTCACGAAAAGACACTCCGTTTCCGTCACAAATGTCATAGTAATAGAATGCGTCAACAAACTAGCACAGGATACATTGAGGCATGCAAAAACATACATCATTAAATTAAGTTACGGGGGCCGCCGCAGTAGTGACCTTGCGACCAGTGTTGGAGGAACCTAGTGATATTTGTTTTGTTCTTTGTTTCGACTGCCAGCCTCACATTTGGACCCCGAGTCTAAGCTTATTTTCACGAAAAGACACTCCGTTTCCGTCACAAATGTCATAGTAATAGAATGCGTCAACAAACTAGCACAGGATACATTGAGGCATGCAAAAACGTACATCATTAAATTAAGTTACGGGGGCC